AATATTTTTATTTTCTCATGTGTGTAGTTACATATGGAAATAGTATTGTGAAATAAGTATTTTACTAAAATAGGAAAATAATATTTCATCAAATAGTAATATTTCATAGAATAGTATTTAGAATAATGGCAATGCAATTAATAGTATATATATATATATATATATATATATATATATATATATATATATATATATATACTATTGTATACGTATATATTGTATATTGTATATACGTATATATATATATATATATATATACTATTGTATATTGTATCGTTTATATTTTATATAAGATTGCAAATTTTTATGTATTTTATATCTTTATGAACGTAACTAAGAGAAATAGAAGTTAAATAGAGATTACTATATATTATAATAAATACTCTGCTTTTAATATTACTATTTTCATATATCTTCGCGCACTGCATCATGTATATTTGCATTCTCCAATTTCCCGTAAATGCAAAAACATCCGCAGTATTTACCTACTCCAGTATTTAACAGACGAAACAAATTTCCATTTAGATTCCATTTCTTTAATTACATTCGTAAAAATATAAAATTGCACAAATATCCGCACTCTGTTCATAACAGAACGTGATTTTTCGCAACAACTCTAATCACGTAATACCGATGACTCGTTCGAACAAGACCAATAAACGCAAAGCTTCGTGAAAATCATCCCGTGAGTCGAACTTTCGCTTTCGAGAACTCTACATCTGACTCGTCGATTCTTCTCGGTTCTCTTTCTTCTCCTTTTTTCTCTTTCTCTCTCTTTCTCTTCAATCCAGATAATACCGATGAACAAGCAAAACGTTGCTCGCATTTGCACGGTCACGATTTTAATGGCAGCGAATCGGCACGCAGGGTGCTAAAATACCGGTCTCTGCGGCGAATATAGCTTCATTGTGCATCTTCCCATTCGAATGTTGTTTCTCGCAGCCCGAGAAATTCCAGGAAACGAGCATAATCGATTTTAGTTGCGAGAATATGTTAGCAAGCACGGGCCACTAGCAAATGATACGTGTAATATATTCGGAATACATTTGCAAGATAATGGTGCCTCCACCCGGTTCGAACTCGAGTGAAAGATCGGTTAGGCATCAGTCTGTGAAAAATAGGCGGTTCTCTTCGTCTACCACGATGAGTTCCCGTGGAATGTACGCGAACAAATAGCCTGACCAATCGTCGACACGCTGCTCTTCTACGACAGGTGAATTCAAGCTTCACTCGTCATCGTTCTTCTATTTGTACCGGGTGACGTTCCGAGTAACGCTTAAATTTTCTAAGGCGCTACAGGGAAAGTTGTTTCGATTTTTTGTAACGAGTCTGGATCAAAAAATAGCGATACGTTTGTTCTTTTTTTTTTTTTACATAAGATTTAAAGCCTGAGTCATGTTGTAGTTAAGAATCTGTTGACCGCGAAATTAATTTGTTAGCAATCAAGACCGAGAGACTTTTAATAGAATTTGACTCGTTCGTCAACTGAGAAAAGGAGCATGGATGATGAATATTTGAGCTATTCATAAATCCTTAAATAAAAAGCATATTAGGAAATTCATTGAACTATTCGTATGACTGTTTTTGATCGTTGAGTGTGAATGCCTTGATAAAATCCTATATTGTGACTGATCGTACGATCTAAAGATATTTTTGATCGCTAGTATGAAGGCTTAACGTTACCAATTTCTTTACTCTATTTCGATATGAGGAATATGTGCAAAAGTATATCAGAACGAATGGGAGCAAGATTTTTCTTTGAAGATTTTGTTTTTGAACCGATTTCATAAAAAAATAAGGCTTGTTCTGAGATTAGGAATCGATGTCGCGCTTCTTCACGACCCTGAACTCTCTCCATATGACTTCACACGATTACTAAATGCTTCTTTCTTATTCAATAAGAGACCGATAAAAAAGATCCTTCAAAAATAATTCAATTGCCAAGAGAAAAAAGATATTCTTGTAATCCTACATGAAAAGTGAAAGAAATTCCACTCCACTTGATCTTGAAAAGTCATTGTTCTGTCTTCGAACGACCTACTAAATTCTCAATTGATAGTAATTTAAGAATATAGAAAACTTGCTGAACTATCTCTCAACTCGTAAATCGTAATCCTGATGCTATTTATATAAATTTATCATCTTCGAACATCCTAAAAAATCCCTACAAGACAGTGATTTAGAAATAAAAAGCAACCCATTAGAAAATTTGCTAAATCTTCCTACTCGTGTGTAAATTGTAATGACACTATTTCTATAAATTCTCTCTTTCTTCAAATACCCTATAAAATCCCTATAAAACAAGTAATTCAAGAATGATAAACCTTGCTGAACCATTTGTACATACATATATCAATATATCAGAATCTCGACTGTTTTTATAAATTCGCCATTTCGATCCCCTTAGTCACGAATATTTTTGCAATTCGCCATCTCGATTTCCTTAATCACGAATATATTTTTATGCCCCCGGCAGAACTTACGCAATGTCATCGGCAGGTAATCGTTGTTAAAAATAGGTACTTGCGTTAGATCCAGAGACGATGACGCCGTCCGAAGTCCGCAAAGGACGCCACCAAAGGATCCACACTACATGGATTCGTCACTATCGCGCGAAACGGTTCCTTTTTTTTCTTTCTCTCCTTCTTTGCTCGGCCACGCGCTTTTCCAATAACTGCTCACTCACTCACAGCATCGTCCAGCGACACTCGCGACCCGTTTTCGCCGCTCGATCATCGTCATCCTCGGATCCTTCTTGCACATCTCCTCGATTTCGACGTGAACCGGTGAAAGCACGCACTCGCGCCGTAAAACCGGAATCCGAGCCAGGCGAACTTCCACCGTGCATATACTTGTCACAGAAAGTGTCCGTTCGAATTCACTGCACCTCGGGTATCACGTACGCTCGAGCGTACTCCAAATCGCCTGGAGAGGATCGATCGCCGATCTAGATACCTTGGAACGGCGCATCGCGAAACGCGCCTCGATCTCAATCTCGTTCTCTTTTTATGAATCAAATGGACAGAGTCTTGGTTCGTAGAGCTTTGAAGATTATCCTTTTTTGGAATTAACGTGTGTGTCGGCTTATTCGAAAAATTCACAAAAGCAAAATTTAAGTAAAGTATTAAATATTTTTAAATTCTTGAAAATTGAAAGAATTTTATTGTTATAAAGAATTATATTGTTCGGTTATTCTACAAGTTTTCTAGAGAGAAAAACTTTCATAAAATCTAGACTAAATGATAGTGTGAGTATATCATTGGATTATCTTGTAAGTAATGCAATTTTTCTGAGAAAAAATTTAGTAAAAATATGCTACGAATTTTTCGAAACAAGCCAACATACTTTTAGAAGGAGATCGACTTGTTCTGACCAGATTTTAACAGACGTTGAATTCATCCATGTCTCTGAATCACTTTGTTTAGCTGTCGAGATCTCAAGGGAGATACTCAAGGTTAGCAGAAGAGGCTTCAGCGAGTTAGATAATAGTAGCCGATGATTCGTTTCGGTCGAATTCAATTTCCAACTCGAACCAGTCTTTCATCGGCCGATCCTTTCGGAGCAGAGGATTCCAGCGAATCGTGACGCAAGTAATCGCGAAACGGGCAATTGTGAAAACGAGTTCGCAGAGAAAATTCGCTGGTCCAGATTTCGAACGTTTCGATCGTGACCACGTCTATGAACTTTCGAAAGTCGTTAAAACGAATGTAGTTTCGACAGCGAAACCGGAAGCGGTCAGTCGAACCGTATGAAACAAATAAATCACCAAGACGCGATCGTACGGAACGATCGCCAAATACGCACGAAACCGTACGCGTGGAGAGAAACGAAGAAAGTGCAATGTACGAGGCTCGGTGTACGTGACGGGCAAACGAAAATGGAGGGATTTATTTTAGCGCGCAGAAAAGAAAAAAGAAAAGCAACCGGTTCGCGTTACGCCCAGCTAAACGCATAATTTCTGATCGGATGGCGCGCACACCTCGCGACATCCTTGACACCATCTGCCTAAAGGATGTGCTAAAGGTCGAAGCTATCGTTCGCTCTGACATAACCTGCACTCGAATCCGCAGTACCATTTTTTCACGCAGAATATCTACATGCTCCTCGTTTCGCTTTTTATATTTTATATTTTGATACGTTAAGGGGGATCGAGTTCGAGAAAACTAACGGATCGATCTCTTACCACGATGGTTTCACCGATAAAACGTATCGAATTCTCGGTCGAAAGAACACGAGATGAAAGTGATGCAGCCTCGGCAAAAGTGTTACACTTTTACGCGAAAGATCGAAGGACACCGCGGACTTTCGATATCCTTCTTCGAGGATTTATAATACAAATCGTTTCGGGGCCAGGATTTTAATTCTCAAGATTCAGATGTAAAAATAAAGAAATAGTGGGAAATCTATTATTATGGACGTGTAAGAAAAGAACGTCCATTTTGGAGAACCCTTTGCAAAAACCTTCGATCATTATCGCGTTAATTATCCTGCTTTTCCAAGTATCCTTGAGAGGTACACGACTTTCGAACGATCGCAGATAGACAACGATCCGAGATAGACACTCGCGAATATTCCTGCCGAGTGACCTTGACTTTAGAAGAGGCCAAAGCCGTTCAGCGTCGGGTCCAGCGATGGAGAGCTAGCTATCTACCCTACGGGAGATCTCTACTTTATCAACTAAAATTCCGGCTTCCTATTAATCTCACGATCGCGAAAGGGACCACGATTATTGAAATGAAAGGAGAAACTATCGCTGGGTATCGACAGTGTCCGGCGAGTGGCGGGCCAGCGGCGTGTTCACCAGATCGAAAAGAGAGGAGGAAAAACGGCTGGGCACGATCGATTTGAGAGAGTAGGAAGTTAATAAGGCAGAAACGAGAACGCCACGGTAATCCAGGTGATTGTTAAAATTGAGCGAGGTAACGGGTAACATATCACAGCGGTGATTGAATGCTTGAGAACAGACGTTAACCAGGGTGGACCACCGTGCAGCAACTTACCCGTCCCCATGGCTGACAGCAGCCTCCTTCAGGCACGATCCTTCCGTGTATCCGTAGTCCAATGTTGGCTAGTTTCACTGGTCGGTCCACAATACGAAATAAAAAAAAAAAATAAAAAATAAAATAAATAAATAAATAAATACAAAACCACCTGTCGGTGATCAAGTTCGTGGAAAAAAAAGGACGAACTCCTCGTCCAGTCGGGAGACCGCGGACGAACTAGTGGCTAGCGAAGACTTTTGGTGAGACTTCGACGTGAGACAACGACGACGTCATCACCGGCCTGGTGTCTCATTGGTCGACGATCCTTCTCTTCACTCGGCTGGCCTCTCTCTTTTCACAGGCTCTCTCTCCCTCCTCTCCTTCTCCTTCTACGAACACCTCTCTCGGCTATCACGCTCTCCTTCTCCTTCTTTTTCCTTTACCCCTCCTCGCCCTCTGCCCTCGACAGCACGCTCCGCGATTCCTCTCTATCTCTCACCTGGAACAACCCGATCGTTCTTACCCGTTCCGACACGTTTTCAGCGGTGCTCGACAGCTATATACTCCGACTACACGTTTGAGTCGGTGGACGCGCGAACTCCGAGAGCTCGACGCCTGGAACCACAATCTCCCTCGCGTTCGTATGAGAAAGTCTCCGCAAGGTTTATCGGCGCTCCGCGAATGCTAGGCTCTGGGTTAAGCGTCTTAAGAGGACAGATGATCCTCTTCCTAGAGGTCAATCGGTACCAGACACGCCACTCGAGTACCTTGGAATTTCGCAGAGCCCCTGCTCCGTTACGTTCCTCAAGGTTGATCGCGTTCCATCCCAATCGCCAACGATCGGACAAAATCGTGAATCCTTGCCACTTAATTGGGAATTATCTTCCACGTACACCTACAATGGGTGAAGCTCTTTACATAATTCGCGTTTGATCATATTTGCAAACGGAAGGCTCGACTTGCACTTCGTATAGCAAACATTGCCTGAAAATGATCATCTTCTTCGTTCAAACGTATCCACGATTTAACTTAGACATCGGCTTAAAATAGTCAATAATCTGGACGTTTGTCGATTTGCGATGTCGGCTCGCGACTCACATGGTAGCGTTAGTCGAACCGTTTGCTGATGCATAATTCACAAGAAAAGGTGTGAAAGCGATGGGTGAGCGCATTCTTCCTCGATTTACGCGAGATTCGCCGGATACGAGCGTACCTTTGAAATTCTTCGAGTACGCGATCTTCTGACGCGAAGACTGTGATGTACCTAGCGATGGGATCAAGCATGAACCGAGTATAATCATACTATATAGACAATGTTTGAACCTTATAAATACTGAAGGAAATAAAGTAAAATAAAGTCCTCGAGGTGATAAAGTAATCCTCATGACAAAGTAAAATCTTCAGTACTTTTTACAAATATTTCAACAAGTGCTTACACTTACATAAAATATACTTGAACCTGTATTGAACAAGCACAATAATAAATACATCAAAAAATACGTATTACTTGCACTGATAAATATATGTAAAAAATTGAAAATGACTATAATTCACTGGCCAGCAGCTCAATTGAACATCATCATATAAAACTTGATCCCATCACTAAATGTACCGCGCGTTCGAGAGGTTTTTCTTCCAACATAAGATCACAAATCAAGAAAGGGATGAAGAATCGAGCGAATGTTGATCGCTGACGTTCGTTTATACGCCAGCGTTCCTCTATGAATCGACACACATGGCCACGGCTGGCCATAGATTAAGCATAATAGTGAAAAGTACAGAAGTACACATCCATGGATTCTTCTCTTTGTGGCCTCCGCCTGTGAAGTGCCTCGAGGCGTCGGGGTTCAGCGACACCGGAGTGCTCTAGCCCGACTACACGATGTCATTAGAGTCGCGCGACTTTAACCGGGCTTCGCGGTCTCGTTCGACGACGCTGCACGTGATTTCATGGAATACGCCTCAACGGAAATGCGAGAAAAAAAAACGACGTTTCCTTGCCTTCGTTAACAAGTGAAGAAAAATAAAAAGAACGCCTGCAGGATACGAGATTTGATTTATGTTAATTATCAAAGGTGCAAAAGGAAGCGCGATTTAGATTGAACTGGAATGAATTAGTGCCGTATGAGTTCAGTAGAGAAATGGTACAAATTATGTAAGTGTAATTGAGTATGGAGAGATTGTTACGAGTTTGTAAATGCATACAATTACGTATGTATTTATGCTAATGTTTTGAAGCATGCAAATGTTTGTATTGATACTATTTTCATTAGAATGCACTAAAAGACTTTTAATGAGAAAGAACTTTTGAAAAATAAGAATTCTTTCATATTTTCCTTGAGTTTGATAAAAATATTTCAAGAAAGATAGAAAAGTCAGTATTTCAGTTTACGGCCTTTCAAATAGGAAATTTTATCACTTTTCTTATATCATTCTATGTATCTTATATTCCTACTGAACTTCTCATATATACTCAGACTGTGAATTTTTATATTTTTAAATAAAGATATTTTTATCTAATTAATTTGTATCTAATATTAAAGGTTAAATTACTTCATTTTGGAATTCTGTATTTAATTCAATTTTACAAACTTCTATCATGAAGAATTTATAATAAAATACAATCAAGTTATAATTAATCAAAATAAAATACTCAAAATTTTAGTAATTTAACACATCCAACAATACTATCTTAAAATTTAAAATTGTATAATGAATACTCTATATCCTCTGGAGAATCTTTTTTATCTTTTCACATATTCAAAATTTAATTTTTATATAAATACATAAAAATTCTCAGTCTATATATGGAGGACTCAGGAACTAATCAATGTAAATTATTAAAAATAACTTTTTTATCGAAACCTCTTCGATGAAACTATTTAATTGTAATATCCTAATATCACATCATAACGATAATTTGCACACTATAAGCTGTGTTTATTGAGAAACGACTTGCACTGATTGACTCCTCAGCCTTTCATATATTCAATTAAATAAATAAAACAACAAAATAAATATCAATTAAAATAAAAAAAAAATCACTTCGTAACGAAATCCAATAGTTACGAGACATTATATTTCTGTTTCCCAATGTAACAAAAAAATTTATTGAGCAAAACCTCTAGCAATCACAGAAGTGGGCGGTTCGCAAACAAGGTAAGAAAGTACAAGATCACATCTTCACACGGATCGATCCGCTGCTCCAATAATTACGCTGCAAATATTTGCGAACCGTTTCAGCCAACGAAATACCAGATGAGCTTTTTTTGTCGATATCCTTGAAGCGATTCAATCCCCGGTTTTTTAGTCCTTCCTCCATCGGTTATACGTGTGTGTGTGTGTGTGTGTGCGTGTGCATGTACCTATATAATACAGACTACATATTAACTGTTGCTCCATGAGCTGGCAAACGCACAACGATTCCCAGCAAAATCCCCGGATCCCATGAATTTTTCCTTCCGTGGATCGGAGCAACGATCCGTGAGGCACGATGCAATCTTTTAAAGCATCGAGCAACGATCCATGAGACCTCGGTCGAAGGAGATCTCGGCTTCCGTGAGTCCAACCAACGATCTTCCCTGTGATATCGGACCGATCTTTTGTCTGATTAAAAACTTTTAGCGAAATCACATTGTTTATGGTTACCTCAGTCGAAACGATATTGCACAACTTGACGGCGCGGCGATTACGTTAACCGCGATTCACGATTTCACGCTGGACACTTGAAATCAGCGAGAAAGTAGACCATTCGGTCTTGTTTTTAACTTTTAGAAGCTGTACATTCTACGACTATCTTTTACTTTTTTTTCAAAAGAGAAATTTTGATTTTAATATTTCGCTTCTGAGATGTATTCAATAAATAAACTGAGAAAATTATGATAATGTTATCATGGGTAAAATTTCACTTGAAATCTTATTTTTTTTATCTTGAAATTTTATCTCAATAAATAAACATAACTGAATCGATATAATCTAATATTTCATCATGGCTTAATATCAGTTAAATAGTAAAAACATTATTATTTTACAATAACGTTAAAATAAAATTCCCCAAAATAGGATAAACTTTGAACCATAATAGTGTCTGAGCCTTAATCGAATCCTTTTAAAAAAATTTCTTTCTTTAAAATTGTTATAAGTATTACATTATAAGCATTACGAGTATGTAAAAAATGAAAAGAACCTGACGTACAACGTATCAAATTGTCTTTCAAATAAAATCTCCAGATCTCGGGCGTACATACCTTAAAAACACACCTTATACTTTATACGATGGCGGGGAGAGCTCAAGTTCGCCAGGGCGTAGTATGGGTAACGGGTTCGTGGGGGCACGTGTTCATTTCGTATTCTTTTCGACGATGCGTCATCCGCCTGGCCAACTGCGGATAAACTTCGACGCCAGGCCAGGGAGAGCTGATCGGTGGCTCGATCAAATTTCAAAAGCTTGACCGTCCGCCACGCAAACCACCTTGTAATTGGCCCCCCTTGTACATTTTTACGGACACGCTCACGGCATCCCCGAGATGATGAGAATGAACGTTGACACTGTTCCCGGAGTCAGCCTCTTCCGTAATAAATACATACCTGTCCCTTTAAGATCTCTCTTCGCTCCGGATAAACAGCTCTTTTCTTGTCAGTAACTAAAATATTCTCTTTCCTCTTTCCTCTTTTCTTATCTCGCTATAAATAATATCCCTCCACTTAAAATAAATTATTCTCCGATCCTCCGGCACGAACGAGCTATACAATGTTTTCTCCCATGCGGATTTCCACAATTTAACGCATGATCGTCGATTCTTTCAGCGAAACGGTCGTTAATGAGCAATCTAACTTGCAAAAAAGTTTACGTACACCGAGATATTTCGATTTCATGGAAATACTTGTCCTACAGGTTGTACCTGTGATCAGCGCACCGTACAGGCTCAACAAAAGAAGGGACGATATCGTTCGATTAAAATACCGAGCAATATCAAGTAATTTGCAAACGAACCAGGCACGAGTCACCAGGTGACGTGAATGATCTTTCGTTCCATTGAATTATGCGTTACATCATAATACAATCGCCACACGCTTCGCCGACGACATAACACAGCGCACTTTTCCGTCCAGAGAATTCCTAGATCGGCCGGAGGTCACGATAATCGACGCGTTTCCCGCTTTCGCGATCGAACGCCAAGCGTAAAAGCGTCCAAGCTAATTTATGGCGCGTAATTTGCGCCGCGATGAATTGAAATAGCCAATTACGTTGCTGGTATCTCTGACGAGAAGCACGATCAGTGGCGCTATCCCTGATTTTTGTCCCTGCGCACATTTTTTGAAATTAATAGACTCACAACATCTCATTATTTATATACTTAGCTTTATGCTATGTAATGTTGACTTCTTAAAAATACTTTCACGATGAAATACTTCCTTTGGTAAAATTATTATCCCTAGAGAAATAAAATTGGTTGTGTTAGTAAAAATAAAACTTGTTAGTATTATGAAAATTTGCATGCAATAATATTATTGTACAAAAATATTTATACGATAAATCAAGCAATAATGTTAAACAAACTTATTAAATATGATAGTGAACGGAATAACTTGTAAAATTTCAATGGTATTAATATTGATATCATTGAATATAATACTTCTATAACATTATAATTGAATTGTAACATTGTAAAATATTAATTGAATCGTGTAAGATAACCCAGGTGTTTCATTCACCAAAACGTGCATCCCACTATAACTTTAAACGTTTATTAAAACGGGAACGCAACGTCACGCGATTTTAAACATCCGTTGCGGGTTTAATAAACGTGATCGAAATTTTCTTCATGCCAGCGTCAGCATATAGATGAAAAGTGGTGCCCGTTCGTGGCTCTCAAGCGAACGCATCGCCTTTGTCGGCATTGAAATCACCGGAGTTAATCATCGTCAGAGGCGAACGACCGACCGGGGAACAATTAAAACTCGTATTCAGCTCGAGCATCTTTCGCATAGCATCGGGTTTTGCGACTATTTTTCAAACAAGATCTCGAAAAAGATGTTCAAAGGTCATTCTTTAATATTTTCAATCAAATGCAGCGACGTTTTTTATCGCATCGGTGCATCCATTATCTAATGTAGTAATAACCTTGATTATATAATTATTCGCCTGCTCATATGAAAGGCATCCTTCGCTTTATATCTGTTTTACTTCTTTGTCCAACCGGTAACGATCCACTCGCGAAAACAGAATCCGCCTCTTCTATCTTATTGATGATCCTTCCGCGAGACGCTACACTGCAATTACACGGGATGTCGATGAAATTCAAGGCCATTCTCCCTCATTCATATGTGTCAATACGAATAGATATGATAGCTTGTTTATTTTACATCCACAATTAATTACACGCCCATATATTTATGTAACTGTTCGAAACATTGTAACTGGGGAACTTGTAAATGGAAAATTGCTCGAACATCGCTTTATCATTCTCCTTCGCTGAGATAGGTGTGTACAGTTATACAGAAAATTAAATTACTTTCATTTTTTCAAATTTTTCTGTTTTCCTCGAATTAAACGCGCGCTTTTCAGTGGAAAATTGCGCGGAATTTAAAGATCTAACAAAAGAGAATAGTTTGTCGAAGAATACAGATAATCAAGGTCGATCAGATTAGGACGTTATTAGATTGCACTGCAGGTTCTAGGGATGCTCGTTTTAAGGATACTCGGAATGGAGATGGGCTGGAACAGGAATAGCAAGGGTGACGTAAGCACCCAATCTGCACACAGCTCGCATGCCTAGATCGAACTAAGTGTTGGTGACTTCACTAACGCCAGTGTCGCGACACATCGGTTCAGTCACCACTGCAAATAGCCGAAGAAATCGATGAGAAGCAGATTCCAAAATTCGAAAAAAAGGAAAAATTATTACCTGTCGATTTTTTCATAAATAGACATTAATCGTTGACCTTACCAAGATACTGAACTAGTGTTCTTTTACGCAAGATATGACCGCTTGTCAATCTTTTAAACCGAGAACTAATTCGAATGGAAGTATGTTGCTAAAGTTCGAGCCGATTTACGTAGAAACCATTACGTCAGTACATTTTCTCTCGCTTAATTTTCCATTAATTTTTATTGCCTTCGAAACCAGTTCTTTGTTCTTTATGATTTAGAAACACGATACTGTTAAAGCTTTGATGTCGATCGTATAGCATTGCAAGCAAAAAGGTTCGTGCCTTGAATAGAAATTAAAATTGTCCCGATGATCGGTCGATGAAAATCACGATGACCACATACTCAGAAATCCAACGAGGCGGGTGTTTACTTTCACTGTATGAGAGATTCGCTACATACTCTTGCTTTTACGATCGTGATGATGAGATTGTTAAACAAAATTCTTGAAGTTGAATTTATGTTGATCGCCCACGGATCCTTCAACTTTCCTCCTCGCGACGGTGTGTCTACACCAAAAAAGAGAAGCAAAAAAATTACAAAATTGCAAAGTTACAAAAATCCCCGCGAGATACCCGTTCGTGGATATTTCGTTCTCGCATTCAATTCCAATGTTCAATTCAAGGTGACTCACGAACATAGTACGCAAAGTGACCGGATGCATCGACGGTAATTTATCCGCCACTAAATGGATTCAACCTTCAATGCTAATTCGTCTAGCGAAAGTCACGGAAGTAATCAAAGACAGAATTAGCGATAGAATGACCGAAACGAACTCAAGTTGAAGAATGTTCCACGATCAAAATGCTCGAGATCAATGCACCTTTCGAGCGTACCATTAACGGAGCAGCGTCGAACGTGCAAAATTTTTTTACGCACGGATATTAAATCGGAAGGGTCATCGCGATGAATACTTTCATGGAGAGACATTTATACATATACTCGCACATATAGCGATTGCGTAGGCAAAGTGTGTGGGTTTGGCCTTCAAAGTCCTTCGGTGGAAGAACAGGGACCAGGATCGTTGAATGCGTGGGCTTCCGGTAGGTGGGAGGACTGGATTAAAGGCATCTCTTCATTACACGTAACTATATCTACCATTATCGAGAAAGTCGTTGTTTCACAATGAGATCGTTTATGATTGAAATCATTGATGTAATAACATAAAAAAAAAGTAGAAAGATGACATAGCAAATAACGTAATAAAATATAATTCTAGATACAATTAATTTAAAAATATGACATATGAACAACAAAAATAATCATTAAACTTATTACTTTTTTTTCTTTTTATTTAGTTTCATTCAGCAACTTTAATTTTTTTCTGTTTACGTTCTTCCTTGCGCTTTTGTTTCTCAACGGTATCATGCAGCCGCCTCTTTTTACGAAGAAGCCATATTTGCTTAGCTCTCTCTTTACGTCCTTCCATCATACTCCTATATAACTTGCGATGTTTCTTTTTGATCATTCGTTCTCGTAATCGGTACTCTTGCTTCTCTAACCGTTTCTTCTCCCATGGATCCTCCTTCATCACTTCTCCAGTTTTAACTTTCATTTTCTGTAATTAAAAGCAAACAATAAATAAAAGAAAATACAAAATTTTATATATATATATATATATTTCAGGATGATCAACCTTTTTCAATCTATCTCGTTCTTGTTCTTTCTCATTTACTTCGTCAGACTTATTCATTTCAATTTCCTCTTTCAAATCATTTTCTAAATCTTCTTCTCCTATTTCATTTTCTTCTTTTTCGTTTTCATTTTCTGTTTCTTCTTCAGATTCATCTTCTTCTAATAAATAAAGGAAATACTTATTGGCTATTAATTATTTGCTTAAAATACAAATACGCACCATCATTGAGTCTAAAATCAGGATCCATAAGAGCACGCTCTTCTGGTGGAATATACGTTTGATCATGTTGATTATCCGAAAATGGCGAAAGATGTGGCGGAAGTACGCAACCCATTAAATATTTTTCTACAGGCAATAATTCTCTAGCATTCACTGAATCAAAAACCCATTGTGGCTGTACATAATATCTATAAAAACATTAATTGATATCTAATTATCAATTAAAGATTGAATAATAAAAAAAATATTTAATAACATTTATAAGCATTACCTAGAAATATACTGTTTGGTCATATTGGGTCTATCTACTATATGATGTGTTATTGTTTCGTCGTTTTCGTCAAATGACGCTCCAACAAAGAGTAATTTATCCCAGGATACTTCGGCTCCGAAACAACGTAAAATGAAAACTAAAGGCTCTCTTGGTACTTCTCTATTTAAGAAAACTTTCAAATCTTTAAATAGTGTTTTCAATTTTTTTATTTTATCTGCTTCTATCTTAGCTTCTTCCAATTTTGTAGCCTCACTTTCCTAAAATAAGTAATTATATATAATTTTATATATATATTTAAAAAAGTAAAATATTCACTTAATTTGTTCACACATTTGTAAACTGATCCATCTCCAATTCTTCATCTTCTGTATTTTGCAATGTAGAATCCAAATTTATTAATGGTACATTCAATGCAGCTATTCTTTCTGATACATATGTTTCTTCATCCACAAGTATCTTTTCACTATTATCTACACATGAAACATTTCTATTATATTAACATATAATAACATATAATATAACATATTTATCTATTTAAAAATATTCTAAAAAAATTACCATGAGTGGTGAGTTTTGGGGGATAATATAAATTAAGAGTATGATAAAGCCTAAAATTAACAAAGCCTAACATCATGATATAGAATTCCACAAATATAGACATCATTTTAAAATCAACATCATTTTTTGCTTGAGGCTCAAAACCAAAATGATGAGGAACAATCCAATTTATTGTTTGCCCTTTGATTTCAGCTTGATAATAATATCCCTTAATCGATACAAACACTTTGCGTAAAGCTTTAGCAGCAATTACAGCATGTAAAAATTCAACTGTTAATCTTCTACATAATAAAGATTGATCCCTTGGTACATGATTAAGAGATGGAAATGTACTGAACAAGAAACATAGAGTTAAACAATCATCCAGATCTCTAAGTGCATCAATAAATGTTGGGTAACGTTCTTTAACAATGTGATCTAATTTCAAAGTAGGATGATTACTTAAGTATCTTCTCATATCTGAAAATTCTCTCAAAGCCTTTGCTCTTTCAACTTTTCTAGTAAATACCTAAAATATAATTTCTTTTAACATTTATAGTCTTAAGTTATAATATTATAAGACTCAAAATTTCACGTACCTTTAATTCTCTTAGTTTCCATATTATTGGTTCATGCATTAAAAATTGAATATCTTTTTTATGATACAATGTTTTGATACCAGATTGTCCCTTTTGTGCTCTTTTACGATTACGTGGTTCTCTTGGATATATACCTTTTAATATACACAGTCTACGGAAGTCTTTCAACGTAAGCTGCAATTTTTTTAAAGCAGCTTTCCTCGACATGAACTGTGCTCCTTCTCCAGATTCATACTATGAATATAAAAGAAAGTTTTAGCAATGAAACAAAAATATTTTGAAAAATAATATGTTTTAAATATACTTCGTCTTCTACAACACAGTAACCTCAATTACTACAACCACTTAGTTATAGAAATAATTTTTAAGAAAATCATAAATAATTTTAACAAATACCTTTTTCTTTCCTATTACAACCATTTTGTAGTGCAATTTTTATACAATAAAAGTATAAAACTACATAAACGTATAAAAAAATAAGTTACACCAATTCACGTGTTCTGAGAAAATAACGCGTTTTAAAAACAGAAAACAGCGCCACCATATGACGAATATAATAACACATTTTTAAACATTTAACTAAAATGAAAGAGAACAAATAAGAAAAATATTAAATTTGCGACTTTTGTTATTAATATATTTTATTTTATTATATTTTTGATTGCGCACAGCACAAACAAATATACAAAGTTATACATTAACGTATTATTTTAGACTTCTTAATTATCTTCATCTGAATCGCTTTCGCCATCACTTTCATCCTCCAATTCTGGTATAGGAAAGCGCAGTATAGCTGCTATTCCAGTAAGTTGCTCTAATTCTATATATTATTAAAAAATGTTTTAAAAATACCAGAACCTAAATAATTTACAACTCTCAACTAACAATAACTTACGTTCACCGGATACATGCAAACTCGAAAATATTTTTACATCTCCACCATAATCTCTTACACTTTCAACTAATTCCACATACTCTTTTCTTGCATTAATATCTTGACATCTAGATATAATTATTACAATTAAAAAAAGAATACTATATCGTATAGATATAATATTCTTTTGTATCATGTATATAATATATATTGTTTACCTAAATAATTTATCTGAAATGAGTAATGTCTCAATAGCTTGAGATTCATTAGCTTTCTGAATGTGCTTCTTTCCATAAAAAGCTCTGGAAGGATCAGTCTGTAATATTGTATAAAATGTTTCTAGTGCTTTCACTTCACCTGATGCTTTTGTATCCGAAATCCGTGAAGTTACTGCAGGTTCAGCTAATATTTCTATTGCAAAAGAAAAAAAAATAATAACATGCAGTATTATATTCGCTTAATCTGAAAGCTTAATATACCTTTCAATGAATGTTTGAAACCAGAACTAGAATGCACAAGTAAAAATTTTCCTTTATTTTCTAATATTATTTTATTATCTGATTTAATGGCTTGTTGTACCATGTAATCCATAAATTGATCTTTGACAAAACCAGGACTTGCAAGAATAATACATTTCACAATATCGAAATTGATGTGTCTCAAAATCCCTTGCATTATATTATCATAAAATCTTGTTAAACCCTAAAAAATATATTTAATATGAAAATTTTATTCGATATTCAATATTTACTCTAAAAAAAATTTTTATATATATATATATAACCTTTTCATGTTGAGAAACGTTTCCTTTTCTTTTTCTAGGAATAACTTGATCTATTTTTGCACGAACTATTGTCATATTGGAAGTTATTAAACAAATATGTGCTATACCTTCTTGCATTACCACAGCAGCAACATCTGCATTCTGGAATAAAATATTTTGATTTGTTATTTAACATTCCAATACTGATTTTTGTTATTATTCTTATTACTATAATTTCACCTGTGTAGGATCACATGCAGTATCAACTCTTTCCAGCGAAATGGAATCCCATTTAGCTTTAGTGATGGTAAATTTTCTAGTTTGTTCTACATCCAGTGTATGATATGCTCCCATCTACAAATAATTGTAAGTTATATAAGGTTTTCACAATTTGTTGGATAATTCTAAACTGATTTACCTTAACATATTTATTTTCTTCTACATTTCTACCTTTCAGTCTTAAAACACATGCCTGTGTATCAAAGTCAATACCTTCTACACATATAGTTAAAGTAGTTCTGACTCTATAACTGTTAGAACTTCCAGTTGCAGATTCCATTTGCACTTTTCTATATGTATAATAATATTAAGTGAAATATCAAGATTTATATTATACATAATTAATGTTAATGTTCTTACCTAATAGTAGAACAACTAACAAAATCTCCTTCACTAATAAGATTATAGGCATGCCATATATCTTCTGTATTTTCTGGGACAAGGGCCACGCTCCTAATAATGTTTTTCTCCTTTAAATGCTATTGTTCGCTATTACTATTATTCATTATGAACATTAATTTACTTACCCTTTTCCATCTTTATCGACATTCTTAAAAACAAGCTTCATTTTATATAATTCTATTCATTAAACCTAAAAATTTCAAAAGTTATATATTGCAATTCCTCTCTCTATCAACCTTAAATAATTTATTTAATAAATATCATGATATATTTTTAAATAAATTTTGATACAATCCTTTTCTTGATCTTCCATTGATTAGCAAGGGAGATATTTCTAAGTTCATTGTACATGTTACACAATTAAGAAAAAAAAAACGGAAATGTAAACACTGAAAGAATTTATTTACAAGTCATTATTACAAATATAATGTACATATTAAAGTTAAAATTAATGGTATAACAGGTTAGGTTTGTATCATGTCCGGGTAACAGTTTCATGATATTTAACTAAATTATGTAATTACCTTAAAAATAATTATATAGTTTCGTACTTAAGGAAATTAGACATTCCATGTTTTAAATTTAATTAAAATAGCGTAAAATAAATGGAACCATATGTCAAACATGGTACTTCTCCGTCGAACGACAGTCATTATTTGTAGTAAAAGATTTACAGATGGCGTAAAAACTAAATTCCAAAAATATTATCAACCGAAACAGAGAAAATTTTCTTTATTTTAATCATTGATTAAAAATAGAAAAATCCAACACTCGATGCTGTTTGGTATTGTCATAGACGAAGTATTAAAACTTATTTTAAATTAAAAAAAACACAGGTATACATGTATATATTTCAATGTAATATTATGTTACACCAAGAAAAATATCTCAAGGAATTAAATTAAGTTATAATAAGTTCGTATATTTATTTTAAATATAAATGATAAATAGTGTGCATCATGTTTGTTTTATTATACACTAATTATTTAGTACAGAATAAATTTTATGATTATAAATAATACGAATTATAAAATTTTTTTCTACTAAAATATATAAAAATATTATTGGTGAACTAAAATTTTAAAACTTCAAAAGTATACTATCTGTTTGTACAATATTTTTACATGATACAGATATTTTCCTTGTAATAAAATACATACATATATGTAATTTATGTAATTGATCTAATTAAATATATATTTATTTATTTGAAAAGCTTTGAAAATTTCTTCTTTTCTATTTGATCTTTCTGTTTAATAGCTGCAGAAAATACTTGCAATTCTTTTTCAACAGTATTTTGTAATGTAGGGTCTAATTCAGCAGCTTTTGTTAAGTCTTTAATGGCTTTTTCTTCATCCCAAGCACCTATGTATGCTTTACCTCTCTTATATAATGCTTTTACATTATCTAAGAATAATTTTATATTATTTATTATTAACATATTTCAAATGCTCATGTATTCGAAATATAAAGTAGCAGACCTGGATCGTGTTTAAGAACTGTTGTACAATGTTCAATAACTGCATAATATTCCTTTTGAATTAATTTACATTGTGCGTAGTTTAAAAGTAACGGAGTTTTCAAATGATTTAAAGCTAACCATTCTTCTTCATTCGGTTTTTCACTACAAATGACATATAACAATAACAAATATACTATTACAAAGAAGAAAAATATATATATTCATATACTAACGCAAGCATAAGTTGTTCCAATATTCCAATGCCTTTGGCATACATTTCACATGCGCCATTATAATCTTTCCCTTTAAATAATACATTTCCTTTTTCTTTTATGTCTGGTATACTTTTCAACTTTTCATCTTCAGTCATTTGCCATGACTCTTTTTCATATTCATCAGGTAAGATTACTTTAACAAGTTCTAAAAAATACATACATTAGAAGGAAATACAATGTTTATTTCATAAAAGTGATCAATACCGATTGTAAATTCTAAATCCTGAGGATATTTGATAAGTTCATTCAAATCATTATATCCAATGCCGTCATTTTGTAAAGTGACACCACAACAATGATGACTACGCTTTTCTGATTGTGGCTTTCCAACTTCTCTCAATGTTTTAGACACAAAAGGATATGACGTAACTAGCTGAAACAATAAACACTATTAAAATATCAATTTTAAATATTAAAATATATTTTTATATTATTATAAACCTACACTTTTGTCAACCCTAAAGCAAGCTACTTCATTTAATGCCATTTTTTGTACAATAACTTCCCATACTTCTAGTTTGAACTTTTTTCCTAAAACAAGCTCCATTGGATTTCCCATTGTTTTACTATCATCTATTACTGTTCTTTCTGGATCACATTTTGTTGTTTTAAAATGGAAAATTACCTAAAAAGTAAAATTTGGTTCCAATTATAATTATTAATTTGTGCTTATTATTCATTGTGCTAATTTAATTAGAATATTAATGTAAATATATGCACTTTAGTCCCAGGTACAAAATTAATCGTTTTGGTTCCTGCATGAATGATAGTTTTTACTATGTATTCCTTATTTTCCATTTTAACAATTATATATAGCAATTGATAAAATGAAATTTTATAAAACACCAAATCTAAAAAAATTTGCAGTTGTAATATTAATATTATTATAGAACATATGATAATTACAGCAATATTACACCTTATATGACTATACAGGCGAATTAGTTTGTAAATATTAATTATTGCAAGACATTTCTTCAAGACATGTTACTTTCAATGTATTTAAAAGTTGATGTTCAATTGTAAAATATTTTGCTCGATCATCATGATCACTAAATTATCTATGAATCAGTAATATCATATAATTCCCATCCAGTCTTGAAATTTTTGCTGAGTCAATATTGAAGAATGAAATTATCAATAACCTAACAAAATTATCGAAAGTCGTAAGTGAAACACAGTACACGAGTACTTAGTTAATAGCCTTCCAATGTCTTATTATGAAAATATAATTTAATCGAACTGTTTAGAAAATTATTAGAAATCGAGTGTTAAAACATGCATGTGAAGTGATATTTATCATTTTAAATATTTTGAATATTTTTTCGTCAAAATCGTAGACTTTAAATATATATACATATGTATGCATGTGTGTATATGTATATGATCGTAAAAATTATATAATATTAAATTAAATATTTATTACACTTAACAATATTTTAAACGTTTTATGTATACATGATAATAAAATAAATTTTAAATTATTAAGATTTTTATAAGAACGAGCAGTCCAGAAAAATATAAATGAAATAAAATAAGTGATATTATTATTTAAAACAAGGTATGATTTTCTATATAAAATATTATTTTATATACATAATTGGGAAATTATTCGTATTTAATAAGTAATTTCGACTTTAATAAATAATCGTCGCTTTTATGTTATCTATAGCACAAATATTAATTTCATATATCTTACAAAGTTTGCACAAAGGAAGTAGGTGGTTGAATATATATAAATAACAAATTAACAAGAATTATCAGTATTTTATTGTTATCCAGATGAATACAATAATTGAAAAAACCAATGCTCCTACTGAAAATATAAATAAACACAATGTACATAGTAAGTTGATATGTTAATATATTTTTATGCCAAAAACTTTTAATTAAGCATTACTACAATATATCAATAATTTTTAGGTGTGGAAGAGATTCAGATACCTGTACCATGGGGTAATATAAGTGGTTAGTAATTTATATTTTCAGTTTTAACTATGATTTTAACTATGAAATAAATATACATATGAAAAATTGTCATTAATTAGTGGATTTATAAAAATTGAAAAATAGTACAATAATGATAAATTTAGGCAAATGGTGGGGACCAAATGATCAACAACCACTTGTGGCATTGCATGGCTGGCAAGATAATGCTGGAACATTTGATAGATTAATTCCATTACTACCACCAAATCTAGCCATTCTAGCTATAGATTTGCCAGGTCATGGTTTATCTTCCCATCTTCCTACTGGACAATTTTATTATGTATTTTGGGATGGGCTAATCATTCTACGTAGAATTGCTAAATATTATAAATGGAACAAGGTTAGCTAGAAATTAAAAGTTATACAACGATCTTTGATAATTTATATTTTTTTAATATAAAGATTCAATTTTACTAATTCATCTTACAGTTTTTAATAACATAAATTCATATATGAATATGATCTTGATTTTATTTATAGTGCATTATATTTTATAAATTCATATATGAATATGATCTTGATTTTATTTATAGTGCATTATATTTTATGATGCTATTTAATTATTACGTATCATCACAAAAATTATTTGATACAAGGTTGACTGTTATAAATATTATGCTTGACATTATGCTTTGACATACTCCATCATCATTTATATTGATTGCTTTAAATTATACATTGCAAGTTACATAATGTCGTTGTATAACTGTAGGACATTATATCTTCAAGATGATGAACTTTTCCCAGTCAGCTGTAATTTTGTTTCGTATTGAAATTTTTATTTGAAGACACTTAGGTGATACGAATGTTAACATATCTATGTACTTAAAATAGTTAAATCTAAGTAATTATTTCATTTTGACACACTAATTATTTATCTATAGGCAAATGGTGGGGTCCCAAAGGGATTCAACCAATAGTGGCATTACATGGACGACAAGATAATGCTGGCAGTTTTGATACTTTGATTCCTTTATTAAGTAATGAAATTTCACTACTTTGTTTGGATATGCCTGGTCATGGTTTATCTTCTCATTACCCAAAGAGTCAGTACTATTATGTTTATTGGGATGGCATTATTCTACTACGTAGAATTGTCAAATATTTCAAATGGACAAAGGTTAGCGAGTGGATTCAGTTTTACCACTCTATTTATAATTTAAATAAATGTTGTGATATAACCTATAATATTACAAATCATGTTTTATTATTATTATTATATATATAGACGTAACAGTCAGCCTTGGAAATATATATTATCTAACTATTCATGTTTAGCATTACATGAAATAGATCCATGATATTAAAATGCATGATACACACACATATATCTATTATTGCACATAATAATAATTTATAATAATTTATGTTGAATTAAATATATTAATAATAATTATTTGGTTGCTTAGGATTCATGCATTTCTTGATATATGAATAAGTTTTATTATCATAGGTGAGATTACTTGGACATTCCTTAGGAGGAGCAATATCATTTTTATATGCTGCATCTTATCCTGATGAAGTAGAATTCATGATAAGTTTAGATATTGCAAGTCCCAGTGTAAAAGACATAACAAAAATTCCTCTTATAATTGGTGACAGTATTGACAAATTTTTAAAATATGAATTGCTACAGTCCGATGGTATTCCATCCTATAGTTATGATGAAGTGCTTACAATTGTTGAAGATGCTTATAAAGGTTCCATAACTAAAGAAGGCGCAATGATATTAATGAAACGTGGCTTACGACCTGCCAATGAACCTGAGCGATATTATTTTTCACGTGATCCACGATTAAAGGTAAAATTTTATTTTATAAATTTTTAAGTATATGACACATTAAATGTTAATTTTATATTAACATTGATTTAGGTTTCTGTTTTGGGTATGATATCTTTGGATCTAGTGCTTGCATATGCAGGTCGGATAAAATGCGCTTACCTTAATATTCGTGCCGTACCTGGAATGAAATTTGATCATCCAGAGTATTATGAGAAGGTTTTAGATCAAATAAAATTAAGTGCTAAAAAGTTTGAATATCATAAAGTAGAAGGGACTCATCATGTACATTTAAATAATCCTGAAAGAATCGCACCTATAATTAACAATTTCATATGTACTTAATGATAAAATGTTTTTAGTTGTAAACTGTGAAAGTAAGTAACAGTTAAACTAGTAAAAATTAGTTTTATGCAAGCTATATTAGCTGCATACATAAGATATTTAATATTTAATTTAAACATTTTAATATATGTATATATTCTGTATGTATGATACTTATGTACAGATAATGAAAATGTACTAAACTTATGTACTTCCACATAATACTTGTGCTTCATATCAATGGATTTAATTTATTACAAGTACAACGATTTCATAAAATATTTGATGTGATGAATATACAAAAAGTTATTTATTAAAATCGTACTACATATTTTTTTAACATAATAACAAAAGAATAATATATTTTTTCATTGCATCAAATTCTTCCATTTTTACACAATAATAAATTAAGAGGTGATTACATATCACAATTTAGAACAAAATACCATTCCAACTAACATTTTAGAATTATTTCTATTCTATTGATTATAGACAAAAACCACAACTTTTCTTTTTCCAATTTTTTTAGAAATGAGTCATAAGTTAAAAATATCTCAAAAGTAATAAATGTTACTATTTACAAGGCCAATGAACGATGTTTCTACAGTATGTTTCTATAGTGGCATATTATTATTCTAATGAGTATTACGTTTAGTATCTAACAGCGATAATGCATTAACGTTTCGCTAACGCAATGCACATACCAGTTTACGTTTCTCTGTACAACTTGATGATAAATGACCTCAAAACGATGTATACTATCTTTTTGTTTTTTTTGGGTATTAACTTTATTTTTAAAATTTTACAAAAGGAACAACTTTGGTAATGGAAATGTAATTTGTTTTAAAAAAGTTAATTGTAATAAATGATTGTAAGAAATATCAAGAAAAGTTCATTATTTCATTTCTCTCATAAAAATTAAATTGTTAATTGTAACATTTTCTCGAGTTATTCAAAATTGCGTTATCACGCAAATTACAAAGAAAATGATACAGAGATAAAGATATTATTGATACAGATGTATTTAGGCTACCTATAATGGTCAAACTAAGTCTCAACTTATTTACTCAGCTGGTGAAGTAACACGTAGAAATACAAAATTATATATTGATACTTTATTCAGTGTAGTACACGTTAGTTCTTTTTAAATTTTTGTTCCATATAGAACGATTAGGAGATAGATTTATAAAAAAAATATTTATGCCTTATCAACGACCAGGTAAGCAAGAGTTAAGGTATTAATCAATGTTTTAAAACATCTTATGAGTTATAATTTTGAAATGTAATACAAGTTATTATTTTAACGAGACTAGTAATCGTAAATTTTAATATAGTAATATTTTACATATAATAATATACGTAATATCTTTTAATATTTTTATAAAAATTGAATCCTAAATTTATATTTATGGATGAAATTTAACGTTGAATATTGTATAGCTTTTCGTCAAATTATTGGTTTAGGTCGTTATCAGGCAACTTCTGAAACGAACTTATCCTATCGTACATACACGTTCTACGTGTCAGTAATTACGAGCGATGATAATGCCGTCACACGTAAAAAATGAACGTGAATATTCCATTTCTACAGGTGAATACCGTTCGTACTTGTCTACGCGTTCTCTTTTCGTATTCTTATAAGAACTATTCGTCTCTATTATAGAATTCTTCGTAGTAGATCATCATCGTGGCGTAAGTATATATATTTTCTTTGTTCTATAAAATTACGTAACTATAGTGATCAAATATTTTATTTTAACATGTTACTAGGTAATATAGATTCTTATGACATTTAGTTTATTTTTATTTTTCGTCAGTTTAATACTACCGTTTGAATTATCAGTCTGATGCATCGATCCTAACGATCAACAAACTTTTCACTTGAAAGTTTGTTCGTTCGGCTCGAGTTATTAAACTGAAAGGATGTACTTCGCACGCAACAGAAAATCGATTTGTTATGAAGTGAAATTTTATATGTTGTACTTTTGGAGGTGTTTGCGATATTCCATTACACGTTGTTGCAATTCTCGATCAGTTGGACTATATGCAGCGTAAGTTCGCAAACGAGCTTTTACAAGTTCCAAATCCTATTTTTAAATGACTTTAGTATAGTATGCTGCAAGATTTTTCTTGTTACGTTAACTATTGATTATGTAACACAAAAAATTCTATTATGAAATATTTATAATATTAAAGTAATTTTAAGTAATACCGTACCTTTAAAAATTTTCGATTACGAGCCAATGATTCTTCCGAGTTTATGCGAAAAATAGGCGTCAGCAATTCTTCCAGATGGTTTTCATCTTGTTTCAAAGAAGTATTCTGCACGTGATTGTTATCGGACATTATCGATATTATTGTTTACAATCTTTATATTTATAATCCACCATTTTATTCACTAAATTTTCAATTTTAAACGAATTATTAATATATTGTAATTTATGTGTACAAGTAATGTATTTTGACAAATATGGTTTCTATAGTAATGTAAGTACATATGGTAACATAAATCAATATACCCGCGTCAATGAACATGTATGTATATATATTAATGGAATCGAATGTGCATTAAAGGATAAGGGACTCTTATTTATTACATTTGGAATTTAAACTTTACTTAAATGAATTATATTTAATAAATTGGTATTTATAATATTATATATGAAATCTTATGTTTAAGTATGTATATATGGAGAATGTATTTCTGACTCAATAAAATATTTTTTTAAAAGAACAAAATTCCTTTCTCTCATAGTATTTTTTAAAAGAACAAAATTCCTTTCTCTCATAGTATTTTTTAAAAGAACAAAATTCCTTCCTCTCAGTATTTCCTTTCTATATTATTTTATTTATTCTTCTAGAGTTTGTGACGTTGGCTATAAAAATATATATCATTTTTAAATTTCAACTTTTTAATAGAAAATAAAATTAGGATACTTACAAGAATATATATATGACTCGGTATTGACCGCTCTACTATCTCCGAAAGTCGTGCTTTATTTAATTTATGTTCTTCATCTATATATAAGATATAAATATATAAATTAAATTTTAAATTAATTATAATTAATAAAAATATATAATTCAATAAAATTATTACCAGCGGGAACTGTTAAAGACAATGACGGAAGTTGTACAAAACCTGCCACCAATGGTCGTAAAATCCATTCAACTTTTCTTTCATTTTTCGGAAGTATGTAAATATCGATCTAAAAAAGAAAAATAGCCAAATTAATAATTATATTACGAATTTTTATTTTATTTAAAATAAATGCTCACTTGTTTCTGCCCAGCAAACATAAAGGCATCACTAGCTTTCATAGTCAATCGTAGTGTAATTATATTGTCCGAATGATTTTTTATAAAATACGATATTAATAATGGTGTACGAACCCAACCATGAGCAGGTAATTTAGCTTCCAAACCAATCACTGCATCCTCAACACTTAAAGGAGCTAAAGTAACACTACTGCTTGTTTGTAATGCATTATTATCATTTGCACTGAAATAGCAATTATTAATATTAAATTATTTAACTATTTTATTATTTTACATAACTTCGTTTACCGTTTCCATTTAATGGTATAGACTCCTGTACTAATAGGTTGTTCACCACCTACTCTTGGTATCAAACAATATGCATCTGTACCTGTTTCATTCTCGGAAAGTGTAATACCACTTAAAACGGATATTGTTTGATCTTCATTTTCCCTTTCTATTGAATCTCCCTAGATAATTATATAATTAACATTATTGATATATGAATGTACAATGAAGGATTAATAACTAATAAAAGTATTATTTACCAATTCTATAGAAGTACTTATAATATTTATAGGCCATGGAGAAACACAAGAAATGTGAGGCATTATTATAAATGGTTCATTAATGAAACCTTTTGTTAATGATTCAAAAAGTGTGGTATAAAATAATGTTGATACTTCAAATGGCTTTGTAACTGATAATGAATATAATAATTCTTTTGATCCTTTAATTTGTTTAGATCTCAAGTATTCTACCTATTATGAAATTATATAAATTATTTTATTTTATAAAAATTAAAGGGATAAAGGAAAAAGTACAATATATACCTTTATATGAATATCTCGATCACCAACTTTATGAGCTCTTAAGTATACAGTTTGATGAGTAACGCAATCTTTTTCCAAATTATCAATTGGTATCGATATTACTGATTGTTTATTGTTCATCGTCAAACTTAATTCGGCTATAATTTAACGAAATCGTAATTGGCAAATGTAATACAAATTTTTGTAATAAATTGCATACATACTTGACTGTTCATTTGCTCCATCAGACATAAGTGATATGTTTAAAAAAGCTGATGATATATTTTCACTAGTAGTAATAGATATATTAATAGGAAGCCATTCTCCTAAAAGTGCTGGATTGTTGGATTCAGCACTTATATTCAGATTAGATTCTTCTTGTTTTATTTCAGCACTGACTAGTGGTTGTATTGTTTCAAACTCTCCTCTACTATTATAAATATAAAATGCATCAGTCTGGATAAATATTTACAAGTATTTTATTTTAAACATACCGAAGTTGCTGTATTTCAGGATACAATTGACTTAAAAAATTTGTTTCTCTTCCTACAGCAGAAAATCTCAAAATAATACAACACATTTTATTATTACTCATATATAATGAGATTGTTGTAATACGTATTTCAGTACTATCATTTTGTTGCAGAGCTTCAAATTGATAAGGAAATTTTTTCATTTCTTTCCCACGAAATACGAGAGTGTTATGTTCAGCATCAGCAATGACAAACTCTGAATTATATCCTGGACTATTAACTGTTATTGTTATTTTAGAAAACTCCACAGTATTACTGTATGAATTTCTGTATAAAATAAAAAATTCTATTGTAAATTATCTTTTTTCTGTACATAAAAAATTTGTTAAATTACCTAATAATGACTTCTGTAGTAACCATAGAATTAACAGCATACTTTGGTTGTAAAAATCTTGCTTTAACTTCTATAAATGAACTCATATTATTATTATCAATTGTAAAAACAATTGGTTCTGACTTATTAAGTTCCATTACCCACTTTTCTACTGCGGGACATTTCACATCATCGGGTAAATCAGGTTCTGGAGTTGGTGATTTTTTCTGCAATTTTATCAATTAATTAATTAATTTTATTAATTAATCAATTGCAAATAATTGTAAAAAATTTTTAAAAATTACTCACGTGAAGAATATTAATAATGTTATTATAAACAGTGCTTTTAAAATCCTCCGAAAACGTAGTGGAAGGTCCCAAAGCTTCAAATGCCAAGGTGATGTAGTCTTGAATACTTGTGGAAAGATATGCTGCATGCAAGGCGTTCTTTAAGATATTTGTGATTAAGACGGGCCACCGTTCCCCGTGATATTCCCACAACATGTGCATCAATAATCTGGCCAATCAAATTTTATGATTTTGATGTTAAGTTATGAAATATGTCTAGAGGAAATAATGTTAGAGTCAACTTTTGGACTAATGAATAATATAAAGTTCTTTTAGTAACTTCAATAAATCTGTGTAAATATAATAACATTTAAGTTCCTACTTACGTTAAAACTTTCCCATAATCCTTAGAATTATAATATTCTTCAGCCATTTGTACAACTGAAATATGATTATTATGTGTATTATTGAGCAGAAATTTATATAATTCTATATTATAATAAATAGATGTATCATACCTAACACTCTCCTCATTCTTGGACATCTATATACTTTAAATTGTGAAATTGCGTTGCCCAATAAACCAATGATTATATTCTGAAAGTATGTTTATAGTTTAGAATTAGAGTAATTTTTAACTATGGATAAATAAATATTTTGGATGAGAAAGTATTAAATATTTTTCTTACAGAATGGTTAACTGTGTACTTTTCCTTATACTGTAAAGCCTGAACAGCAAGAGCTTCTTTTGCAAGATCTATAGGTTCAGCACTCAATTTTCCAGGACGCCAAGGTCGTTGCCCATAGAATTCAAGTTTTTCTTCTCCTGCTAATGGATCTGGATCTGGATAACTAGTAACATTCTAAACATATAATGCTTAAAAGTTTTCTGTGTAAAAATAGGACTTATTATATGTATTAATTTTTATACCTGACAAAGTTCTTTGCAAGCTGTTTGTCTTAAACCTGCATGATGAGCTGCTGACTGAAAGTAATAGCCAGGATGCTGAGTTTGGACAGCAGGAAGTCCCTGTCGAATAGCATCATCAAATAGTTCTGCAAATGTAGAAAATTGACTACACATCCAAGCATGATGTTCAAATATAAGTTCTTTCGGACCAATCCATGTTTTGAATCTGCATCATTAAGTAATGTTATTGTGATAGTATTTGTTAGATATTTCTTATATTATTATATGTATTTCTAACCTGTCAGTATGAAATCTAAATTGTGTTATAGCATCTTTAGGAATATTTAAGTTGAACATTACTTTACATAATTTGTAATTTATAAAACAAGCAACAGTTGTAATCTCCATCACATTTATATCTGTTATTGGTATTTCCAATAAGTGATTATATGCTTGAGTATAATGCCTATAAAATAATTTTATACATTTTATTTCTATTCAAAATCTTTCTCAATATTATTATACTTACTTCTGGGCTAAATTTTGATCTTGTTTTAATTCATTTAAAAATGCCATTTTAAATTGATGACGTACAAATAAATGCTGTTTGTGTGCATTTTTTTCCATAGTTTTATTAAGTTGATCTTTATGCCCTTTGACAATACGATATTCATGATGATAAAAATTTTGTGCTAGATCATATAATGCACTTTCCAGCCTATAACACACATAAATATATGTACAGTATGTAACTATAAAAAAGTATATATTTACAATTAGTTTATTAATTACCTAGATATATATCCTAATAAATGATTTCCATGTGGTAAAATGTATAATAACTTTGGAGATAGTTCACATGCTCCACATACAGCCGTAGCACGTTCAGTTGCAATAGTATCTTCAGAACCAGGTGGAGGTTGTGTACAGTGTTGTATAAGTACTACAGCTATTTTGGTAGTCCTTCCATCCAAAGCATTTCTATAAGTTTAAGCAATCATAGATATCAATTATAATATTTTCTGATGAAAAACATTGTGAATATCTAATATAATCCATACCTAAGAGATTGTACTCTAGAAGCACATTCCATTTTTTTTTCATTCCACTGTGGATCATTCCAATCTAAATTATAAAATACAACAACAACAGCTGGAATTTCATTAAGATATTTATTCATCCAATTACGTTTCAATATTCCTTTAGGTTTATACCATTCATATGAGTTTCTCTGAAATACATTAATAATATCTTAGTAATTCAATAATGAATTGTATTATATAATTATATGTAGTATAATATACCTTGGGTTTTACTGTAGGGAATTCATGAGTAGGACTAAGTAATTTAAACTGTATGGCAGAACTTTCTAATCTGCGATTATTACTAAATGCATCCCAAATTGAACGATGTACAGGATTTGAAATATCTAAACCAGTCAAGCCAATAAGAGCTAATGGCTTAGTAGTTAATTCTGGTGGTAACTCACACATAATTAAGGATTAACTATAAGAAAAGCAATAATATAATTTTCTTATTAATGATAAATATTATATACAAAAAAAGAATATATACATTTATAAATTATATTTTATATCAAATAACAATGTTTAAGCACATACCCAACTATTATTTAATCAATGACATCGAAGAAAAACTATTGAAAACTCTTTGTGTTAGAAATAGTAACACTATTCGACGTCTCTATACTTTGACAGTTTAGGTTATATGTTGTTCTTTGATGATATTGTCAATCTGCAGACTACTAGTGTCCTCTATTATCATTATTATAATTATTTTTAAGCTAGAATAATGATTAACAATAAAACAAATATTGTGTTATATTATTGTAATGATTATTAACACATTTGAAGTATTAATTTTTAAAAATATCTTCAAAAACAAAATTTTTATTATGTAAATGAAATTATGTACATGAGAAATTAATTTGCATCCGCATTGACAAAGTAAAACATTTCATCATACGTAAATAAATTAATATATCATATTATAGTGCTTTATTTGTAATAATTTTTAGACGACAATCTTTAGACATAATCTTTAGACAATATCAGAAGCATTTAATACTTCCGATTCTTTATCTTCTTCCATAGGATTCAATTTACTTGCAGAAGCTGGAGAATTTAACTTCGTCTGTTCGGGTGTTAATCGGACTGTTGTTCCATGTCGACTATAATCTTCGATTTCACCTATTGGTCTTTCAACATCTTCTTCAACTATACTCTTCTTACATCTGTTCTATATTTTGAATTTTTAAAATTAAAAAATTCCATTTAAAGTTTTTTCTTCTTAGTTCAAGTCATCTTCTAAAATTTTTATCTACCTGAAGAAGTTTGAAGAATTCTTTCCGAAATTCTATGCTGCATATAAAGTATATGATAATATGGATAGCAAAATTAGAAAGCTCCGTGATAGCAGCAAATGCTCTAAATAAAAAGTAACCGCCATCAACGGTCTTAGAATCATAATATACAAATTCAAGCAATATTGATGGGATCATTGTTATTATAAAACATATTGCCATCACCGACATTAATGTAGCTAAATTCTGTTCTTCCCTAAAAAGGTAACTTTTTATAAAAATCATTATAACTAATAATAAATTTATAGCAATAGAATAAAAAGATAAAATATATTAAAATGCATATTTATTTATTTATTTATTAATTTCTTGTATTAATATATTAATTTAATTTGATTTTTTATTTATTTTTTTATTTAGAAAGAAATATCAGAGTTGCACGGTTTATATCTAAGTAACCAGATATAAATTTTTATTTTTTTTAATACTACCTGTATCCTCGATTACGGGTCAATAAAGAAGTTTCAGGAACATTTAAAGTACGAAATTTTTCTGAAACCGACTGGAATTCTCTTTTTTTAGCATTAAGTTGCAAAAATCTTTTGACCACGAAACTATTTAGCAAAAGAAGAATTATAGTTGGACAAAGCCGTAACGCGACTTCCATTATCCAAATGTACGCGTTCCATAAAGCGCTTCGTGTGATAGAAATATTTTCACGCAGTGTGAAGAGAGTTCCAGTATCTTCTTGCTGTTCATATACCATTCTCATTCCCGTTAATGGAGCGCTTACCTATAAAATGATTCTAATTAAAATTACAACTATCATACACTATCGTGTAGTATTATTTTTTTACAAAAAGAAAGAAGTAAAAGGACGATACCGCGAATCCAAGGATGAAAGAACACAGGATAAATGAGCGAACATTTTTGCGTGCATTTCTGCTGCGGATACGAGCCGGGAAAAAAATAAAGATATATCGATCGACGATTAAGCAGGTCATAATTAAAATGCTGGCTATAGCGAAGGTGTTTACGGCAACTAGCTCTAAATGAGCATGATAAAAAACAGACGGATAATTGTTCCTCAATCCATATCCTAATCTAATAACTGAAATCATATATCTTTAGTGGAATTGATATTTATATTTAGAAATTCTAGATTATACAACATTTAAATTAAAATAGTATTAATTACATTATATTTATTTGAAATATTGCTAGTTAAATTTTTTAATATAATTTTATATTCATAAAGTGATACATACATACAGGTATCCAAGATAGAAGAACTCCGGCGTTCGCTAAAGTTAATCCTCGGAGATATAAATACGCGACTCCTCGAAACACCGGAGTGGATAACACCAGGATTATTAAGACATTACCAAAAATGCCGCCAATTACAATTGTAGGAATTACTATTCTATAAAGAACGCGTAACAAAGATGTAGTCTCATTGAGAGCATGTTTATCAGCGTTAATTATATTGTTCCAGGTAGAATTTTCATCGTCGCAACATAAAAGAGTTCTAAAACAGTTTAAATGTATCCAGTAACGAGCTAATATTAAAAGGTTTAATAAAGATCCAAATTATGTTATGAAATTTAAAAAATTAGAAACTAACAAATATTTTTAATATCCATCATTATTATATATTTTAGATATTTGCTCTTTTTTAAAACATACCCTTTAAATATTCCCGTTAACATAGTGGATACTGTTCTAAAACTATCTGAATGAATTTAAGATAAAGCACAATTTCGAGATTATGTTAAAAATCTATTAGATTTTATCGTTATTTTAAGAAATTCTTTCTCACTCATTTTACCGCTTTCATTAATAGTTTCTTGAATAAAACTGAGACAACGGGTGCACGAGTTCTGCGAGATCCATCCTCGATGACCGTACCGTATTTTCTATGAAAAGTCGATATTGCGCATGCTCTCGCAAAAGGTTCACTTATTGTTGTAGTCAAAGTATATTTACTCGTACATTATAATTATATTCCAGCGCCCTTCGTCGAGTTAATTCAATTTAAGATACAATAAAAAACATGTTCCGTGGTCAACTATAATAAATTATCTAGTTGCAGCAAAATCTCATCACAATGAAAACCAAGAAGAAAAAGAATATATTCGGGAAATGTTTTAAAGTAAAACTTTATATTAAAAATCTCTACTTATTCTGTGTTATCTTTTGAAAACGAACGTTCAACTATAATAAATAAATTGTATGTATATTACCAAACATTGAGTTTTATATGAAAGTTATATATAAATTTGAAATAGAATCATTTATTTTGAATGAGATTCCATCATAAGCTTGAACAGTAAACAGCTTTTCTCCTAACAAATAAAACTATACGTCACACGAATTTATTTTTAGCTACAAAACACGTTCAAAATTAATCGATTATCTTCGTTTGGGTGTATTATTCAGGGTGATATTATTCATCAGTTTCTGTACTATCACGCTGAAGACACTGACGTCAGATAATTTTTGCCCCTGTCACCCATCCAACGAATGCCTGGATGATTCTCAATTCCTTTACAGGAGCAGTCAAGTGTTAATACTGTAACATATAAAAGCAAAAATTTAATTAGAAATTACCGTAATTAGAAATATTTAAATACTGTAAAATGAAACGCAAATACTATACTAGTAGAAAAACAGGGATTACTATTGTGGATGATACATTCCTCTTTAACAGAAAGGTCTTCGAAAGTTTACTCAATTTCTAAAATCACAATCGATATGGATCAGAATACTCAACAAACTATCAACCAATATATGATCAATTATTTATTGTTGTAAATAGCATATTCAGCTGTCTGAGACGAAAAGAGTAATATTCAAATTAATATCGTCAAATGGGATCAAGCGGTGAGCTCTGCAAATATAAAGATATGTTAAAAACAAACGAAGAAATAAACAAGAGAATTATTATAAAAAAGAGAAAAATTTATTCAATAAAAATGTTTTGAAGTGATCAAAATTAACATATAAGTTTTATCGATAGCCAAAGGCGCGTGTTGAAAAAATGGACGATTATTTCAAGCAGAAAGCATCATTGGAAACATCGCTTACATTCGATCGAGTATCTATTCGTGCGATTAACGAAAATGCAAAGCTACGAAGTAAAATTAGCAAGTCGTAAGACAGTATTAGATCGATTTATCAAATTCACCGTACCTGAAAAATGTTAAAGATATTGAACATATTGTTTAAAATAATTTCTTTTATACATACATATATACCTAGAATCTGGAAAATTTAGTCAGAGTTAAACATGCACCGTGTGGATCATCCCTAGGATAGGTGCCGGAACTAATTTATATTGTTGTCCTTATTACACGCTATCGCTCTCCTTGTCTACCGCGCGTATATGTCTGTTCTCGTCGCACGCTGTTGCTCTTCTTGTCTATCGCACAGATATGTCTGTCCTTGTTCCACGCTATCACTCTCCTTGTCTACCGCACAGACATGTCTGTCCTTGTTCCACATTATTGCCCTCCTTGTCTAATGACGCTAGACAAGGAAAGCAATAATGTGGAACAAGGACAGACATGTCTGTGCGGTAGACAAGGAGAGTGATAGCGTGGAACAAGGACAAACATATCTGTGCGATAGACAAGAAGAGCAACAGCGTGCGACGAGAACAGACATATACGCGCGGTAGACAAGGAGAGCGATAGCGTGTAATAAGGACAACAATATAAATTAGTTCCACCGTTTCACCGCTGCGCGACGCTAGTATTTTAATGCCTCTAGTTTAATTAATGCCTAATGAACATAATAGGAGTAGAAAATATTCTTCGATCGGAAATTAAAATATACATAAAACTTTTAGTACATCAGAATATAAATACTAAATTTTGTTGTTACTTTTATTGTATACCTATTCAAACTATTCACATATATCTATTTAAACTAGAAACGTTTCTTTCATGGTAGCCAACAATAGTAATCTAACGCGTATATAAAAACTGTTATAGGTGATTTTTTAAACTATTATTTTTTATATATTATCGAAAGATAATTTCAGGAATGCTGAAAAAGAATTTTATAAGAAGAATTACCTTTCGTTCTTGAATCTTGATATTGTTAACTTTCTCTCTATCATAATGCATAAAGTTGGTACTAATTGAGCGTCAGTATCAAGACAATTCAAAAATCAACGGACTAATATAAGAACTAGGTTCTATTTGAATAAACTTTTTAAGGAATAGTGGTAAAATGAGTGAATTTAAGACGCCAACAACAAAAAAATACAGAAACAGATTACAAACTAATCCAGAGTTGCAAACGCCTATTAAAATACCAGCTTCACCATTTTTAGAGAAGATAGGTTATGGCTGCGGTAAAATAATATAATTATTTAAATGCTAAATTACTATTAATATTAATATTATTTTAATGTGTAAATATATTAATAGGAGTTAATGTATTTAGTCTGGAACGATCGCCAAAGGTCGGTTTTATCCGATCTCCATGGGCGATAAAAAAACGCAATTGCAAAGTTACGAAAGATCAGAAATATAACGAACGTCTTCGATTTGAAGCAGAAGTACTTCGTAAATTAAATCATCCAAACGTTATTGGTTTTCGAGCTTTCGTTGAACTTTCAAATGGTGAGCCATGCTTGGCAATGGAAAAATTAGACTCCTCTTTAGGTAAAAGAATATCATGGTAAAAAAGTTTAAAAAATTGAGACTGCAGTTCTTGTAATATAATTTTTTTAGGTGATAGAATAGAACAAAAACTTGAGAATGATGACGACCCATTTCCTGCTAAAGATATTTTAAAAATAATATATGAAATTGTAAAAGGATTAGAATATTTACATCATACTGCTCATATTTTACATGGTGATGTAAAAAGCTATAACGTGTTAGTTTCTGTAGATTATAAAACAATTAAGTTATGCGACTTTGGAGTATCTTTGCCACTGACAGAACTCTTAGAAATAGATACTTCAAATGGAAGTTTTTCATATGTGGGAACAGAATGTTGGAGTGCACCTGAAATAATATTTGGTTAGTTAATTTTTAATGTCTATAGTAATCAATATAATATGAATAGAATAATATGAACAATATAAATTTGATCCTTCAGAAGATGGTCCTGTTACAAATAAAGCAGACATTTGGGCATGTGGTCTTGTAATTTGGGAGATGATAGCCTTATCACCACCTCATGTAGAACACTCAGAAGTGGACATGGACAGTTTAGATGATTCAATGTCAGAAATGCAAATGAAAAATAATACAAGGGCAAATGAACGAGATATCTCTATGGATGATAGTAGTGGTTTTCTTAATGAAATAATTAACAAAAAGTGTGGTAAGTACTTTTGTAATAAGTTTCAATGGAATGGTAGAATTTTCAACAACTAGTACGTCAAATATAATGATCATAGGTACTCGTCCTGCATTACCTGCTATCAATCTAGGAAAAGAATATGATAAAGTGCTTGAAATGTTTTATGCATGCACTACTGCAGATTATAAACTTAGACCTAGTGCCAAAAGTCTTGTTAATTATTTTAAGAAATATGTTTATACTACCAATTAGTAATATATTATCTATATATATTATTATTTTTAATACTTCTTAAACAATTTTATGTTTCTATGATTATTATTATGGTTATTATGATATGGTAATAAAAAAGATTAAGTATGTATAATGCATATTACTTTATTTATTTAGATATATTGATTTTTACATAATAATAACTTACATAACACAAATAATAAACATTTTCAATTTTATGCAACAAATTCTTCAGTTTTGCACAAAATTGTATTATTATATTTTTATCCTTTTATAAAAAGATAATGACCATCAAAAAAATAATAATTATTATACTAATTATGATAGCAAGTTTGATTTTCCTCTAGAAAAAAGTATTTTTTTTATTAATTAATGTCGTTTTCTTACTTTATGTAGAGCTATTATTTTTCACATAAATACCTTTCTATGTCTCTGGCTCCTTTTCTCCGCTTTTTTTATATCAATACGACCAACATCGACATCATCTGCTGCCCTTCCAGCATAATATTCTACACTATTTATTTGGTCTCCCTATTAAAACAGAAAATAAAAATTTTTATGTATGTATTTAAAATTAAATATAGTTATGTAATTTATTTGCACTTACTTGTTTTTCAACAAGAAATGCCATTTCTGTAAACATATCTCTAACTTCTGCAATTGATTTTTCTACTTTTATTATATCATTATACCTACTTTGAATGTCTGATAATTGTAGCTTTGCAATTTTACTGTCTTGTAAAATCTATTTATAAAACAATTCATAATTATTTAAAATTTATAAAATTAACAATATATCGAGATAAATTATCAACAAATCTTACATTATCAACAAATAAATTATTTTCTTCTGCATCAAATAATTTTTCCAATTCTTCACTTGTAATATGTTTCCGGACTAAAAAATTTTTAAAAATAAAAAATTAAATATTAAACATCATTTAAGTATTTAAATGAAAATGATGTACAATTCTTACATACTTAACATTTTTTGTTGATGTAAAAGTAAACGACATTTTTTGTGATATCTTATCATAGATGCATTATAATCTTCCATAACTTCAGAGAATAATCTTATCATCGTTGTATATTGTATCACTTTAATTCGTATATGTATAGGGCCTTCCCGCGCACTACGTAAAGTTAAGTCATCAATGCAGTTAATTTCCTTTCCCATTTCTATAAAATAAATAAAATATTTAACAATTTTAATAAGAAAATGAAATCAAATGTGAAAACCAAATTTACATAGTTAATTTTTGTTGTTATGAAATTTATCTTAATCTTTTATAATTCACATTTTTTGTAAAATTACACATTTTTGCGTTCGCAAAATAGTCTCGATTAATTAATATATAATTTAATTATGCTTAATTACTATTGTTAATTATTTAATTAAGGGACTAATCATTTGATAAAATATGAAGTTTTTGTTTAAATTTGTGAACAAAATTTTCAGCAATATATGGTACAGTATATAAAACTACAAACAAATATTACAATATTTTTTGCTATACTTTCCAATGAGTGTAATTGGTCAGTCGGTTTCCCGCTTTCGAATGGACGCTAAAGTCTCATATACGATTCTTCGCACTTTATACGAGATGTTTAGTGATAAGCCATCAATAAAGTTTTCTGTTAATCGCAATAAAATTTTGAAATTGTTTTCAATATGTATCCAAAAAATGATAACTTGAAGGCGTCACTTTTCTTTATCATAAATGATAAGTTAAGGTTATGTTTACATTTGTAAGATAGATAAATGTGATAATAACTAGTTTCATTTAAAATGACTTAAACTAAATACCTGTTGTTATTATGGAGTCCTTGAAAATATTCAATAATTTCAAATTTAGTGAATTAAACGAAGACTGGATTCAATCTGTATGGGATGGAGAATTTATAATTTATAATGAACCACCTGATGAGTACCTCATGTTTTTAGAGAGTGAAGATATGAAATTACTCTTAAACGAATCTTGCATTGTTGTTAAAGCTTGGCTACAAGGATGTACAAGTCAAAGTGATGAAAATTATGATTCTGAAATATCATGGAACACATTGATTACTAAGGATATAAAGGTGCGTGCTTTATTAGCTGTATTGGGTTATATAATAAAGAATGGTCAAAGCAAAGAAGCTGATGAAGAGACAAGACAATTATGTTTATATGCAACTAGTTTATATTTTGTGCTTTTGGCTATTCCTGGTAGTAGTGCGTTCAACGTATTTCATCCTAATTTATATCAACGAGCCATAGATACACTTAAAATAGGCTCTGAGCATTTACAGCCTCCTGTTAAGAAACGTAATAAATCAATAAATTTAGATGATCTAAATATCACTGATGAATTAAATAAAACTATTATTCTTTTACCTAATGAAAAAGAAGTTCTTATACAAAATTTGAATATTATTGTTTGTAATTTAATTGTAATGATAAAATCATTTTGGTTTAAAGATCACGTACAATCATTAGATATTACAATTCATGGATTAATTGAAGTTACAAAGATAGAGGATGATTACGTGATCGATCAATATTTTAATAAACAAATAGGTACTTTGAATGTTTCTTTGCCACAAAATGCTTATGCAGCTTTGAAAGAATTATGCAATAATAAACATGGACCAGTTAAAATAACTATAACATTCATAGCAAAGTATGTATTACCGCATTTGATATATAATCATATGGATGCACACGTAAAAATTATTACAAACATACGTGAACATACTATCAATTTCTTAAAAGATTTATTGAATGAATATGAGAAAGAAGCCAAAACTGCAATTTTAACATTAATACAACACATAATGCTATCATGTCCAGACCGACTTGAAGCTAGACAAAAACAAGCTAATGTGTTGCTAAAGCTTTTTGAAATATGCAACCAAAATATTGCATTAGAAGCCTTTAAGGATTTAATGTTATTGTCATATCATTCAAAGATATCTTTTAGATTATTTGCTCAAGAAATAATTGGAAAGTTGTTACTTGAATCTTTTTTAATGAATTGCAATATAATGGATAGCTTAAAAATTAAAATGAAAAGAGCATTGTTTGCAATTGTATTGAATAGATGCATGGATTGTTCAAGTATGGTAAGAGGAAAAGCCATGGCTATAATCGCCGAGTTTGCAGAATCTGATAATGGAAAAGATAAAGAAATATTTCTAACCATATTTAAAGACTCAGATGTAAATAAACAGTTCTTTGCATTTCATGATATAAAAGATTCTCTATATGAAGATATTAACTTATTACCAGGATCAAATATATTAATAACTATGCTCAAAGATAGAATAGAGGATGAAAGAGCAATGGTAAGACGAAGTACATTGCAGATTTTCAAAAATTTGATTTTAATATTTCCATCTCTGATACATGACATTGTACCTGTAATTAGTCTCAGATGCAGAGATTCAACATTATTAGTGCGTCGGTTTTCTGTACAAGTTCTCTCTCAACTTCTAGAACAATTTCCAGAGAATTCTCAACTTCTACATGAGTGGGTACAAACTGTTATACCACAAATATTTGATATTGAAATTAAAGTACAAGAAAAGGTGCTGGACTACTTAAAAGAATTATTATTAAATAGAATACAACATGTTTCTATGTGTACTGATAATATTGCAAATAATTTACCATGGAAAATTTTAAATTCTATAACTAATCTGAAAATGAGAAAACATTTATCAAAAGCCTGTAGTATGTGGGTTAAAAACGGTGTTATCACCAGTTCTATAATAAAAAATATACAATCTCATATTGGAACAAATAATAACATAGAAGCTTGGGTCTTTTTGGTTGCATTGGCTGAAAATACCAAGTTACCAAATATGAATAAATATTTTTCAAATTATCAAGAGATTTTTGCAGAAAATAATTTTTACACAAGTTTGGTTTTGCAAGTTTTAAGATGTTCTTGGGAATCTTTAGATTATAAAGTACTAGAACATCTTCATATCTATTTATATAAATGCTTACAACAATTTAAGATTAATTTTGGATTAATTAGCATTTGTTTAGATATTATACATAATATAATTTATTATTTAAATCCTGATAAAGATAATTTGCTAGAAGCAAGCATGTTGAATCTAATAAAGATTTCAGAGATAGAAATTGAAAAAATTTTTAAAGGTGAAAATGAAGCTATAGAAGCAGCACCTAATTATTTAAAAGCCATGTTTACATTAGGACATGCAACAATTTTATGTACTTACAAAATTTCACCGTTAACATTACGAATTTTGCAAGGAATGTTATTGGAATGGGAAGCACTGCCAGAAATAATAAAAGAAATAGAAGAACTGCAAGCTTCAGCTGTTGTTATTCTTGGACAACAAGCAATGAGAGACCGTGAAATTGCTAAAGAAGTAGTCAAAATATTTGGTAGATTAATGAAACAAGAAATAAATTTGAATTCAATTGCACAAATTGCTGTAAAAATAAATGCTGCAAAAGCTTTAGCTGATATTTGTGTTAGATTCACTGCTTTGGTTGAACCATATTTATCAGATATGTGTGTAAGTATGAAGGATTCGACTCCACAAGTACGAGAGGCTATTTTGGTAATATTTATCCAACTTCTTCTGGAAGATTATATAAAGATCAAGGGTCCTTTCTTTTTTCATATATTAACAATGTTGTCAGACTCGGATGATACGATACGTGAATTAACAATATTTCTTATAGAAGAACGACTTTTGACAAAGAATAAATCATTAATATCACAACAATTTCTACAGAGCATATATCATTATAATAATTATCAATCTCAACATAAAGTTTATCATCATAAAATGTGTGAAAAAGAAAAGAAAGCTTTAACACTTCCTGGAAGAAGGAATGAAAATAAACGAAAAGCAATTTATGATTTCATGTTGGATCATTTAGATCCTCCTGGAAAAATTAAATTACTTGTAAAAGTAACTAGTCAAATACTTGGTGGAACTTGTGTTGATTCAATCGACATTAAAAAAGAAGAAGGAGCATGTATTTTAAAAGATGCATTGTATATAATTAGTAACGATCGTTTACGTCCATCATCTTTTAACAGACAAAATGATGATGATCAAGAGACCGAAGAATGTACAGTTCAACCAAATGGCTCAACTTCTAATGCTATTAGTATTATTATTGAAGGAATCAAAAAACATGGTTTAGAAGTTCTGTTACCTACATTAATAAAACTTAGGATAAAATTATCTATCCTAAAGTCACCATTAGAAAATGTTGTGAAAAAAGTTCTGGTTAAAACATATTCTGAATATAACAAGGACCAACTACTAAATATATTAAGCGAGTATCCTAAACTGGAGAAAGAAGTGGAGCAGTTTAAAAAGTATACGCAAGTTTATTTAGTGTTATATATTACTGACTATTTATAAATTTACTGATTATTTTTTAATTTTAATTTTCCATTTATTTCAGACAAATGGAAGATATTAAAGTTAATGATGAGAATTTTATTGAAGAAGAAAACTCTGCATTAGAAATTAATAATCAAAATGCGTCTAACAAAAATTTAAATCTAACAACGTGTAATTTATATCCTAAAGTTGTATTGGAGCGACTTTCGATTTCTCAGATGTTAAATTTTGGCAATACATCAGTAAATTCTCTTTCATCAACCAGTGCTTTAGAAAGATGCAATTCTTCAATATGTTCAAATTCAATTTTACATTCACCTTTGCAACCCGGTCCTAGTATAAGTACGCCTACATGTTCTCATCTTGATTCTAATAATACTGTAAATCATGCTTCAAAAATTAGAAGACTTTCTAGTCTTTTTCAAAATGAAAATGAATTATTTGATTGTAAAATAAGAGAAAAAAATATTTCTCAGGTTCAAGATGATAGTGAGTCTGATTAGGATAGTAAGAAAAATTATTGTTTCTTTATTTTTATTTATATTGCACTACGTAAAAATGTAGGAAAAATTATGCCTACCTCTTAATTTTCGTTGAATACGAAATGACGTTTGCGAAATAGTGTATGTTCGACTTTCCAATTCTTTTTGTATATCTGAAATATGTAAATTATTAATTATCGATATTGAGCACAACATTTGGTATTTTGTTCTTACCTTTATTGGTGTATGATAAAATATTATTATGTAAATCCTTTACAATAGCTGTATTGTCAGCAATAAGTTGAATTAAGTCTCGAACTTCTTCAACCTATATTAATATTATTTGTATATCTATTGATAATATAAAAGTCTGTGATATTTAAATGATAACTTAAATATTCATATATATTTATATATACGTACTTGATCTAATACTTCCTTCAATTTTTTATTTTGGGATATTTGGATGCGTACATCTTGTAAAAATCCTTTACCAAATGTAGTGCAATTATTTTGGTACTAAAAAGAAATAGTAGGAAATATTACATTATATCAATTTTTTAACAGAGGACTAATAATAAATGATGATATTTAGAAAACTGACAAAAAATATTATTATAGCTTTTATTATTGATATAATACTATTACACTGTTCCAAATTCTATCATAATATAATTGTTAAAAGAAGTTATAGAATGATAAAACACTAACGGCACGTAACTCCGGCATTCGATCACGGACCATGATAGTATTGCTTGAGAATCAGCGTGTAACTGATAATTGCGTGAATTATACACATAAAATATGTTTTTTGTTATCTGTCTTATCAGTGCAGTAGAGATAATGGATAAAATCCATTATGCCGTTGACATTAGTATTTGTAATTGACTGTGTGTAAAGAAATTTACAAAAAAATAAATTTATGTATGATACGACTCGATTCGCTTCACAGCTACACTGTATTACTTAGAAGATGTTTTGCATCTGAAATGAAATAGGAAATAGGCACTTAGCATCTGGATTACAAGGACAGCATTGACATGGATTGTAAACCTTTGACTTGTTCTTTTGTAGATTTTTTTTTGTATGTTATAGTAATACTAATACTTCTTTTCTTCTAAAACTTCAGTGCTTTCTTCTTTTATACAAAAATATTTTTTGTTTTATATCAAAAAGAAATTGTTAATTAAAAGTTATTAAAAATATATTTCGAATAAACTTTTTATATTTATATACAATTTAGATAACAAAAGTACAATTAAAATACAGATGAAACTGAATTTTTGTGATATTAAGTAAAGAAAAAAAAAATTTAGTAAAATTTACATGTAATTTATATCAATGTGTAATTTAAAGTAAAGCTAGTAGTTATAAAATTATTTTTTACATAATTAAAAATTTATATATTAAATGTTTTGTCCTTTTTCTTCAATAAATTTGCCGTTAAAATAAACATAACATTTTGGGAAAACAGTAAATGTATTTATTACATTATAAAGTAACATCAAACAAGCAATTATAAATATATTTCATTACATTTAGATAACATAATATATTTAAATAAAACATCTTAATATCACCATAAAGAATTTTAAGAACATAAAATAGTTTCCTTTTTTTTGTGCGTATTGCACTAACACTAATGTAATATAATATAAATCAACAGAAGAATAGTATTAAAAAATTATTAAATTTTACTCTTTTTTTTTTAAGGCAAATCAATCAGTCTTATAAAACTTTTCAATTAGAACAAAATGATTATATTATTTAAAGATTCATACATATATTATATATTACATTTATGTAACCACGAATTCAGTGTTAACAAGATATATAGTTCATATAGCGCTATTCGATATATAGCGCAAACTAACTTTGTAACTGTGGGATGTATATCGCCTACATCAAACAAGTGTTTTTTTAAAAATTTCAACGTGTTGTAAAATATTTACAACAAGAAAATACATTAAAATATACTTTTCCTACTTTTAAATATTATAGGATATGTAAATTATATACATAGTGAACAAATAGTTTTAAGAAAATGACGGAGTTTTAAACCACAGTCTTATGGTTGTAGCATAAATCAACATCTTTGTTTACTTTCTAACTTTGTTTACGTGAAATACAATAAGACTGTAATCACTTGATCATGTTGTATACAAGTCATATCTAAAGTATGTTCAATTTGTGACACGTATATATATACATTATGTGTACATATGTGTATATATATATCACATTTTTTCAGAAATACTGATTTCTTACATTGGTCTATAATTTATTCTTGCTTTCTCACTTTTTCATCTTCTAATTTTTATTTTTAACGCATAGATAATAAACGTGGATCTTGCTAGGATGTTCCCGTCCGCGCTCTAATTTTATCTTTCAAATAGTTGACTACTTGCGTCTGTGAGTGTCTAAGAGCTAATTGAAGGGGCGTGATACCTTCTTGGTTCACCAGTAAAGGATCTGCTCCTGCACCTACCAATTGTCTTGTAACAGTCATTTGTCCTGTTAATGCTGCCGCATGTAGTGCACTTTCACCATTCTGAAACAGTAATTATCTTTTGTGTAATTTTAAATGAACTATAGCAAACACTTTAGATATTATCATACTTTCCAGTATTTGATATAAATATATTTTTCATAATTGGTTATAAATTACTTTTTTGTTAAATATGACTGATTTGTTGATTCTCGTTGATTATAAGATATAAAAAAAAGTTCGAAAACTTTTCAGAACTTTTGAGTTTCGACGCAAGAGACATTTGCACGTACTGGAAGAATACCAAGAGATGGACGGTACTTAAGTAGTTCACCTACAACAGCGGTGTGGCCCTTGTGAGCCGCTTTGAATAGCGGGGTCGCACCATCCTACAAAAAAAAAAAAAGAACACTCTAGACACCAACCATTCTTCTGAAAAGTCGAGTCCAACTTCCTTTCTTTGCCCGATCATTCACCACTTACATGTCTGGTGGCATCGACCTTCGCACCAGCTTTCAAAAGCCTTCTCACAATATGGTCGTGTCCCATTTGCGCTCCTATCCATAAAGGCGTGGCACCATCGGTTCTTGCCGCGTCCGTTTTTGCTCCATGCTCCAGGAGAACCTCTAAAATACGCACGTGGCCATTTTGGGCGGCAATGAATAATGCCGTGGCCCCATCCTACGAAGTTCAAAAAAGTTGTCACTCTTCTTGAAGATTGCTGACTATACGCTAATGACAATTTTTATAGATTAGGTAAACGATGAGTCTTTATCGTAAAAGTAGCTACCAAACTATCTTACCTTCATATAAGCGTTCGGACTGGCGCCTCTTTCGATCAGACCTTCCACAACATCTAGGTGACCGCACTGGCACGCGACGAAAAGTGGGGTACCGCCGTCCTGCAATCGCAACCAGAAATTGTCGTTTCCATTTCACCTGGCTTACACCGATACTTTTTACTTTGGTACAACTTACTATGCTGCAAGAGTCAACGATGGAACCATGCTCCAATAATAGACTGGCGATGTCCATGTAGCCACCTTGAGCGGCGAAGAACAACGCCGTGGTACCCGTCTGAAAGTAAAATGTAATAAAATTTTAGAGATTCCAATTAAACGTCGAGGTGATTTTATAAAGTAGCAGAAAGTTCTTTGAATTTTATGGCACGGAAGACTATTTTATTATGTACTTTTGTAGAAAATACTATTAGAGTAGACTAGGCTACAGAAAAAACTTTGGTACAAAAGTATTACAGCATGATCAATATTATATGTTGAACTTTGTTTTGCTGTAGTTAGAGATGTAAAGATCAACTATAAAATTCATGAAATATGTATTCTTCCTATTCTTTGTCTACAGAAGAAGTTAATTTCACTAAATGTACAATACAATTTCCGTATAAACTCTCGGAGTTTTTTATTGATAGAAAGAAAGGAGAGCAACAGTTCCCAAAAGAAATATATCAATATTGATTATCGAAGTACGAAGAGAAAGCTGAAAATAGAGACTATTAAAGAAACAATGAAACACTTTCAAAAATGGCAGTAACAACATGAAAATTATAAGAAAATAATAAAAAATTTCGACCAATTATTTAAAATGTCAGAGTTTTATATATCAATGAATAATTAATGGGATATTTAAATGTCACAGTTTCCTCAAGTTCCGCATGCATGTGACTGCCTGCTTGAATAACTCATAAATTTTACATTTTATTCCCGGTCTGTCAGACGTGTCTTTCTATCTGTGTAAATTTAGACTAAATTTATTATACCACTGTCAGACGGTCTCTTCCATGATAGTAATACCTGTGGATTGACAGTGGAGGTGACATTTTGTCACTTTTGTCGCGACTACCTATTACAATATACCAGAAATACCTATCCTGCGTCTGTAAAATTAATACTTTATCGTTTATTTAACGTTTCGAGAAAAATTAATGTATCATCAATTTTATTCTGATCATGATAAAAAAGAATCACTATAATATAAAGTTGCAATATCCGGTAATGATTAACAAGGAGAACAAAGAACAAATATGTGGATCATCAATGGGACATTATACTTCTACGATTATAATTAGATTCATTGATAAACTGCGAATTTTTGTAAATTTATGCAATGTTGTAAAAATATATAAAATATTCACAATACACAGGTAAACCATATCTATCGCAGTACTCATTGGATTCAGCGTAAACCACTGATTAATGTTTCATATTGATATTCGGAGTCAAATTCTGAATAATTGAATAAAAAAAAAGATAAATTTCGAATTGAATATCTATTTATTGGTAAAAGAGAGAAAGTACTGGTGTGTCTCTCGAATATCCAGGAAAGGAATAGCATGTCCAGACCGATGCAAACACCGAACCTGTTCAAATGCCAGCTATATATGTATGCACTTTCACTGACGTTGTTCCATTGCCTCGAAGCATCGATGATTATCACCTGAACTGACTATCCCGAAACTACTGATTTCGAATTACAGTATGTTTCGCCATTTCATTGAATGTATATACATATTAGAGAAATTGCCAGAGTAGGGCTACAAGTTCTATGGAGTTTCGATGTTTTCTCAAGCGTATCAAGTCAGGAGACATAATACCTATCCATTACAAACCACAGAAATTCTATAACGACGATCAACCTGTCTATCTAGTCACGGTAACAGCCGCCATCGTGGTCGAATATATTTTTTTTCTCCATTCGACCTGCATCCGATCACGCGTTCGTCATGGTTGAGGATCTTGGGAATGATACATACCATTGCAATTCTCAACAGCTTATAATTAAATACTACAATCATATTATCTTGGCATCTCTTGCACGACTGAACTAATATTAGTGAAATTTTACAAATTATCAACACTAAATAGATAATGACAAGTGAAATTGTACGTGTAAATTTTACAAATCAATTGGTCACATGTGCTTAATATGAGATTGTAAAATTACAAAAAAAAGGAATATACAAATATTCTTTATTATAATATTTAATATTAATATAATATTTATAATTTCTTGTCAATTAGACAGTGCAAGAGTGCCTTGCTAAATATTCAAATCAAAATCAAGATTTCTACTTTTCTCCATTTATCTTCTATACGTTAATCTTCAGTAAGGATTAAACTTGAAAGTATATAATTCGACTATGATTGCCAAGAAGCACTTATCAAACAATTATCTGATGTCGATTCAGTAAAACAAAAATCTGCGAATAATACATAGTTACACATGTAGAAATCCTGTGATGCAAAGTCGCGCAAAATTGGATAGGATAAAAGGTCAAAGTTATTTTCGACACCAGTTTAAGCCCCTTTCGCCTCGTAGTTTAATTAATTTGTTGAATCGCGGGCGAACGCAGTAATTAGAGGCAAATGGTGCATGGTACCTGCGGCGCGTGTTGCGCCCTGGTCCCCGATGGATGATCGTATCAATTAATGCACGCTTCGTTCGAAACCAAGAGGATGCTCGGACGGACGACGGCCATCGTCGATTTATAATGAACTTGTTACTTCCTGCGTGTTAATCTGCTTTCCAACGCACGCTATTTGAACGCAGTTGCCGTGTTTATGCGATATACAACACGCTTTCGCGCACTACAAGCATACACATTTATTTGAAATTCTTATGAAGAGGCACCCGGTGAAGTTTGGAAAATTTCCGCCAGGCCGGCGTACTCAGGAATCCCGAAATTATCTTTCGCAACGTTATTGTATTCTTTATCGGTGCTTTTCTTTCATTCCATGAAAAAATAAACGCCTCCTGTAAAAATAAATCAGTTCAGAATTCGGAACCTCCGAAAATTTTCATCTTTGTGAATGTATAAAAATAAAGTGTGATAACATACTGCTTCCGTGAAATCGTATGACTCAAGTGATAGATATTTGATAGATATAATAATGTATCGTTAATATATGAACAAGATAAGATTTTGATAAGTCAACCGTGTTAGATATTGGGAATACATTCTTCGAGAAATGTTTTGCAGAAGGTAAATCTCTTCGCGCCTAATTTAAATTAAGGGAAGAACTTGAATAGAAATATATATAAAAGATATTTCTAATGCTAAACTAAGTTATTTTAGAATTAGTCTACCACTCGATAATAAAAGGATTCATAAAGGACACGATGATAGAATCCGCGAAACTCGATATATTTGTGCAACAAGATATTTGCTGGTAATCACGGAAATGATTTGTTTCAACCAGTCGAAAGTCTGTTTCTTGAACGAGGCCAAACTTAAGGGATCAGTGTGTCACGAACGCCCACGCACGATTTTCAAGCTGATACCGGCAATTTGTACAAAAGCCGCATTTAGACGGTTCGCGCTTCACGCGAATATCGTTCTACGCGGCCGGTCGCATATTACGGTAGACGTCGCTGCTGAAATGCATTTAAAACACGCGAATCCCGCGTATACCAGCGATGCAACCTATCGTGCTTCGCTTCAGCAACCTTGAATGTGCTTATACACGTACCTAAAGCGTATGCTTTATGTAAGTATACAACAGGTATGTATTTTACACATGTATTCTATGAGCCAACACTGACAGTATTTGCGAGGGGAAATATTCGTCCGTTGTATTCAGGTCGTACTTTTTAGAAACTATAGAACAAGCATGTCTAATTAACCGGCGTTAACGAATTCACATTTGAGCTTTCGATGCAGCCAGCTTCTTTAAGTCGTACATAGATTCTAATGTACACTTTTACCGATGTTTCACTTTACTACATCTCTTCTATGCTAAATGAATAATCTTCAACTTGTTAACTAGGTCGTTCTTCAACGACGAGCTTTTCTGTAGTTGAGATTAAAAATTAATAGTAAAGATAACAACTATCATCCGCATCAGCATGATGCGAGAGGAACGAATTTCTCACGAATCACAATGCTCAATTAAAAAATCATAGATAACCGTATTTTCTAATATGGAAAATGAAGTGGTCACGCTGTGTATTCGATTCAGGGGAATGCTATGTTCTCTAATCTCTTAGCATGGATTAGAAACTCGCCTATCAGGCGAAATAATCGAGCGACTTAGGATCGCTGACTCGCAGAAATATCCAGAACGGTTTGCGATTAGCTGCACGCATTTATATTCAAGTATCTGCTTTTCCTCGATTGACTCTCTCCTCTTTTCTCGATAATTAGTACCGGTTAAGAATTCATCTAGATTGTCGAGAAATCGTTGAGAATCGTTACCATTTCGGTATCGGTAGCGACAGAGTCTGATTTTAAAGATGATTGTTAGTCTTGTTAAAAAATAAAAATAAATTCTGGAAGTCAGGCTACGTTGATTGTGTAACGGGTCACCGGGCGCTTAGCTGACATAATGCGCGTTTGCGTAATTCGTTCTCTAGAACATCGTCACTTGGTCTCGGATGCCAGAAAAGAATTCTTCGAACGCTTTTTTTTCTTTCTTTTTCAGTCGCATCTTGACTTATTTGCAAGTCGATGTTCATGTGACATAAAAAAAAAAAAGGGAGGACAGGTGGATATTACTTGGATCTTAAGAAACGTGTGGTGAGAAATCGTATGCTATAAATGATTTTGGAAATTGAATAAATGTTTATGTTGGGATATTTATAACGAATGAGGAGAGATTTGAAGAATGCACGTGGAACGAGAACTGTCAGAGAGAAAGAAAGTTTCAAGAGTCATTATTAGATTGCAGATGTTTATGCATTTATGGAAAATTTTAGAGTACAAAAATTCATATAATATATATGTATGAAACAAGTCACTGCTTAGACTTTATTTTTTACACTGTGTTCATCCCAGATTGTATCTAGTCATCGTCATTTTTATTATTGCATATTTCTTAATGACCTTTCTTAAGTCCCCTTCGCAACTTTCATTTCCAAAGAAAAATAAAATCATCAAATTAAACGATGATCGCAGTGACGACAAATAACTTATCTAAACCATCGATGAGTTAATCGACATGAATCACGCATAAAGATACTGTTCTTAATTGAAAATTAATTTAAAAAGTTAACGGACATTCTGTGGCCGAAAATCGCGACAGTGCCCCGGTGTTTCATTGGATTTGCATACAATACCGTGATTCTCGATGGCAGAGTATACGTGGGCTCAGCGATAAATCGTCGCGAGCCACTTAAAAAAGGCCACTCGACCGCTTCCTGGTGCCTCGTGTTACAAGCGACGAGCTTTTTATGTCACACGGACTTCCCAAGAGCTCTATATGAATAGACCAAAGAAGATCTCGCGTCTTCACGTTTCTATTTTCGAAAAAATAGAGACACTACAGAAAGATTACACGTTTGTTTCTCCTTGCACGCACCAGTTTTTCCTCGCAGCATGCGATTATAATCATCGAGAACGTAACGCAATTTACAAGATTTATTATCGGGTACGAATGGAATATGGTATTATCGTACGATACAGATTAACGAGATAAATATAGAGACATTAACAAAGCTAGTTGTTTTGAAATGAGTTTAGATTCGAGCATATGCATTGTGAAACTTTATACTGTAAGTATTGTTGTATTAGATTGCTAGATAAGTTCTATTTGTTAGAGTAAACCAGAGATAAATTTAATTTACAACGTTTACATGGATGTTATAGAAAGGACTCATTACATTTTTTACGACCTCGAAACTAGATAATCTTTCTCGCTTGAAGCCTTTTGTAAGACCAGATCTGTTATTACTAATAAATCTACAACCTTGCTAATGAAAATTATCTTCTTGAATGTCTGATCATTAAGAGAGTAAATATTTTATCTTCTAAGTTGCAAAACCGTTGAAACATTATGAAAAACAGTACATTGGCATCTTTAAATTCATCAAAAAAGCGTGATAATCTACAGTCTAATTGTAATATAGATAGTCATATGAATAAAGAGGTGGATAAAATTTATTCAGCAATCTAATATTTATAGAGCGCGAAAATAATTGTCGCCTTCCAATCTCCAATTATTAAATCAATTATACGGAATACTTTAAGCTTATGTAGTTTCTCTCGATATACTGAGAGACATTTGAAAGTTTAGGAAAAAGATTGCAGTAGATTACAAAAGAACAAATCAGCTGGAACTACAACTTCCAATAGTCGCAAATAGTATTTCCATTCAGTGAGTAACAGGGTTGCCAGGACGTTCAACGGGTTTCATTCATTTTTTAGTTCATTCATGAACTGGCTCAGGACTTACCAGCCGTCTGGCATTAGGATCCGCCCCTTGTTGTAGTAATTCGGTGACCGCTTCAATGTGGCCTCCGGCGGCGGCCAATATTAAAGGAGTCGTTCCATCCTGAAAACAAATTACTTAGTCAGTGATCTGTCGCTAAGAATCATAATAAATCAATAAAAAAAACATTTTATCATATTTTTCTCTTTTTAAATTTTCAATTAAATTTAAATACCGCAAAATCTGACTAAACCTAATTTAAGCATATAAATTCATCCGTGTGTGATCACTCGTACTTCGATATGCTCTGTCCATAATGATTGCTATTTCTCTGCATTGCTTTCTAATTGATTTAAACGGGTCTAGTATCGTGATTATTCATACAAACCAGTATCATTGAACAGGCAATTATGTATCGTAAATCTGTCTTCGGTATCTTATGCTCGTTTCGAACTGATTTCTTTTACATATATATTCGATGTACCGAATCACGCGTCGTCGCTACCATCGGTAATTTAGCGCAATAACGAGGCGATTGTTAGTAAAGTTCCCCAATTGATATAACGACCAATCAAGAAGACTGGTCCTTAATGATGCGATTAATTCAACCGATCGTCTGCAAATTAGCAAAGGAAAATATCTTTAAAATAATATCGCGTACGAAAACTGCTTCCTCCTCTTGACTAAATTCCAAATTTCCCCTGAGTATAGCGGCTAAGTTTGACCATGTGCCAAAGTAGAATGAATATCAATGCGTGATCTAATAAACCACTTTTGAAACTAGGAATAACATTATTCGAATTATTCGATCGTTTAACAATGCGTCGCTATTTGCATAATTAAACGATTGACCCGATGACTGATCGTCGCCTGGTAACTAATTTCTTATGGTCTACATCTACATATTCGTTATGCGACGCGTCGATGAAAAGAAATACTTCTCTCCTGGGTCTTCTTGCACAATAATTTACTACGTAACTAACAATATTCCTAAAATGACAAGTTATAAATTAGTAGATTTTATCATTCTTTTTCTTTTCACAACTTAATAATTTTTTCATTAAATACAGATGATTGTAAAATTTCCTTTGTGTTATTGATAACTTGCAGTTTATGATTTGCATATCATATTATTCAATTGTGCAAGATGATTTTCTTCTACCTTATCTTTGCAGTCGACATGGACACGACCAGAATCGAGAAGAACTCGAAGGCGCTTCGCATCTCCGCGTGCCGCTGCCAAATGTAATTCTACGTCCCAAGGTGATTCTTTCTATAAACAGAAAATGAATAATAACCTTTAAAACTTTAAAAACAATTTTTATTATACACAGTGCCGGTCACTTCTTCTCCAGTATTATTCTCAATTTTATTTCATTTCCTCTCCTCCGTTACTTTACTTTTACCGAAAGAATATTTTATGGTCTCTGCGTATCGATTAAGCAATCATAATTACGAAAGGTGGATGAACTAAACTTGTCCGACTGTGACCGAGCTTGCGTTTCTCTGGTTTTCATATGAAAATCGATTTCTCAATATTTTTAACATGCGTACATACACAGCTCTCAAATGTTGGTCTCAACGAGAACACTTGTTAACGGAATCAATCGAAACAAAATGCTTATCCATCGTGTACGCTAGAAAATTATGGAATGAGATCATAATTAAAATGCAAATCGGCAGACAGCGTTGGCAGGCGAATATCGAGCAAATAAATTCTGCTCAAGAGTTTTTCCGAACGATTTTAAAAAACAGCGTGTATATATCCCGTTTAAAAATACACGTACGTAAAGTTATGTAAGTTTACCAAAGTACAACATTGTTTAGTACGAGTAACCGGTTTTTAGGTCATCTAGCGTTGAACACGACGATCAATGTATAAGAAAGATTTCCCGCGATCTTAATCGATCGCTGTAACTTGCGACCGTGATTATTCCGAATCTCTTATTCATACATTTGTTCTATTAAAATACCAAACGAGTAAAAACGATAATCATGTACTCGTAGAATTAAGAGGACAACGTGTTTGCAACTTATTATATACGCAGTCAAGAAATGACATCAGTTCGCTGAAACTTCATCTGATCTCATCTAGTTTTATGACTTTAAGCGTACATATATGTGTACACGTAAAGGATCACGAGCAAAGTCGTCTTTTTTATTTATCGTACATGCATGCATATTTTAATAATAAATGATCATTCCGATGAATATATGCATAAATGGTATACAAAATACGTGCGTAATAGTACGTAAAAAGCAAATTACGTTTTTTTACATTGTTTCCTTGAGAATGTATATTTTACGTCTTTCTATAAAGAATGTTTCAAACGCGAACTTTTGTGCTCGATTGTTTATTTGAAGTTGTTCCAAGTGTAAATATATTTTATCATGCGATTTACCAACGAAATCTTCGAAATCACGTCAAAATGGTGTTTTCTGCATATCTTGAACTGCATTCAAAAACGTGGCATTCAACGTTTCATTCAAAACATATCGATATAGCAAAGTGTATATGTTGGATAATAAATTGAACACAGTGATGTTTTAACAGAGAAATGCTCACCTTCATAGACATGTTCGATGAGCACGTGTAGCTGGAACTCGCGCAATTAACGTTTTGTTGTTCTTATAGGAAAAAATATAAGTGCACTTAGCATTAATGTTGCAATTGCATCGCAGTGCACCGAGCATACTTTGGCTAGGTATTGTGTATTAATTTTAGTTGTAATTGGCATGTAAGAAACAATACATGTTTTAACATCGGGGACACACTTTCGTATTACAGTCCGTTCAAATACATGTAACAAAACGTTAAATACACCTTCCCGTGTTTACGAAATACGAAGGCACATTACAAAAACATCTTGATACACCGGATGACTTCAAGTCACCGAATGCCCGATGGAACTGTACGGCTGTAATATAGACAGGATATGTTTTCCTCGCTCTCCGTTTGGTGGCGCTACTAATCGTACACGATTTAAATTTTTAATTTGAATATAAATATATCACATTGTATACTTAATTTTTATTTGCTATGATATATTTATATATATGTGTCTGTGTTGTTATTCAATACAAATATCTTATTCGTTCATTTACTTTTAAAGAAATATTATAAGAAATTATTATAATCAGAAATATATACATTTTTGTTATATTAATCGTATATAATTGATTAAATCTACTGCTTTTCAAGTATTTAATAAGACTGTGTTTAGAAAAAACAGAAATTGATACACAGTATGAACAGTATATTCAGTGTGAACATATTAGAAATACATTTGAATTTTTAGGAACATATAGAGACTTATTATCAATGTTGGCAAACTTGATTTTAGTTTCTGACTATCTAATGTTGTCGAAGAAACTCTTCTTCGTACGAAGCCATTTTATAGTGCACATTTAGCAATCAGAAGTAAGAAAATATTTTAATTTAAAAGCTCCTAATGTCATAATTCTGTACATGTAGAAGATTTTATATTTTAAGCTTTGTTATAGATATAAAAATGGAGAACGATAACGGAGTAATTGTTGACTTATACATCCCAAGAAAATGGTATGCGATACACGTGGATTATTGTTTCTAACATATAGTTCTGAATGCTTTTTTAAATAAAAAATACAGATATAAATTAATATTAAATTAATTGAATCTTATATAAATGGTTTGTTACAGCTCGTCGAGTAATCGTATTATTCATGCAAAGGATCATGCATCTATTCAATTGAGTATTGCTGATGTTGATCCTGAAACTGGACGCATGACTGATTCTCAAAAAATGTATGCAATTTGTGGAGCTATTCGTCGTATGGTACGTCATTTACTGTTATACCAGTTATGCATATGAATTAGTATTTTTAGTATTTTTTTTTATATTAAGTAATTGTTTATGTAATCTTTTCAGGGTGAATCTGATGACTGTTTAGTACGACTTGCAAAAAATGATGGTATATTACCAAAAAATTTTTAATCTATGATGATTATTTTATTCTTTCAATAAAAATATAAAAAAAGCTGATACAGTGTGTATTATTGCATATTTATAACTTATAATTTTGTTATACATATATATATATATCATTTATTATATGATTTGTACATAGAGTTTTACATATGAAATAATGGATCATTATATACATATATATGATACAGAAAGATAAATTTTTAAATATTTCATGCTTCTTATGATGAAACAATTTTTTTTCACTAATTCCATTTCAAAAATTATGTATGCAATGATCATATAAAAATAAAAATCATTTTAAAAAATATAGTTGTATATGTCAAGAAAGTATGGTTTGAAATATTAATATTTAACTGCATTCAACAAAAACATTTACAAACGTGTTAAAATATGTATCCACTTTAAACTTTATATTATACATGTAACATCTTGGATAATAAGAATTAGTATAAATTCATAAATATCTTGAAGAATTATCTATTCTTTAAGGACGTGTATGATCTAAGTATAGTTTTAATTGATTATTATATTATTTTAAAATCTCAATTTATCACATACTAATTGTTATTATAATTGTTGGTAATCAAAGGTTAGTATGTGATCATATTTTCCACTTTTTTCATGTCTTAAAATTTTTTGTAAATTTGACATTTATAATGAATGAAATTAGACATTTATAATAATTGAGTAAAAATATTTCTTAATTTTGTGCACATGTTCCTCATATATATTGTAGTTGGGAAAATATTGAAACTTGTAAGAGATTCAATATGCTTTAATTCTAAAAAATATTTTTGTTATATGTTAGTATCATTTACCGGGAACTTTATTTTCAAGCATGAATATTGTTAAAAAGTGATGGAACTGATTTGGAATTAATACTTCAGAAATATTGCCCTGAGTATAATCCTATTGATGCCATTTTTTGTTCTTAATTAGTATGATTATTATATGGTTAGGCCAATAAATCTATATATTTTTAAAGATTAGTATTTTTGAAAGAATAAGTAATTCTTAATTACACATGCAGCAAAATTTTATCTTTGCAATAAACTAATACATGGTATTATTAAAAAAAAAACAAAATGAGTTTAGAGAATTAAACATTTTTGATATCGTTTTGATAATGATAAAAAATAGAATAGTATTATGTAAAACTTAAATTAATGATTTAATAACTTGAATTAATACGTTGGAACATATTTTAATTTTTTTTTCAATTTTTTTAGATTCATTTTTTTACAAAAATGTCTTTTGTGGATTACAAACCTATCTTTTTTAACTAAGATTTATTTGTCTAATTGCAATAAACGTAGAAATTTCCTTAGGAAATGAAATTGCTGGTCAATTATTCAAGGCAATCTATAACATTATAAATTTCATGTATATCTTACACTATTTTTATACACAATTAAGCCTGTATATCAAACATTTAACACAGGAGTGTCTGATAAGGAATGAACGCGATTGAATCTACGATTTTTGAGAGTTGTAATCGCTTCAATAAGATCTACTCTTTTACTAAAAAAATCAACTATAGCTTGACCTGTTAAGGCAGATGCCAAAAATTGTTCGACACTTATTGACCAATCTGGACCAGTAGACGCAACTACATTCGACGGATTTCCATTGCGATCATGTGACTAAAAATTGTGATTTATGTAAAATTTATAATGTACTATAAGATTACTTATTCAATATAAATTGAATGTGTTACCCGTTCCACAGCTGAAGGTGTTTGTTGCTCAGCAATAGCAGCTAAAAGTAAACTGTCTTCAGACTCATCTCGACCGACATAAAACTTTTTACTAACATCGCCTAATTGGAATAAAAGTGTACCTGTTGAAAATATTTATTATTTAATATGAGGTCAAATGTTAATAACACTTTGATGTATATATAATTTACCTATTGAAGCTATACAATGATAAGTTTCTTGTTCTTCTGGTTGTGCAGGGAACATATCATAAAGAGTTTTCCATAATACAATGAAATGTCCTTGTGACATTTTTGGCACAGTTTTAAGATCTAATGGACTATCTTTAGATGCTATCATGGAACGTAAGCTACCCATACTTTGAACTTCCCATGATTGATCCCCCTGTTGGCTGGTCAAACTTGTCGATCGAGATAGAGTGCCGATACTTGGTTCTTCCCCTATACTAACTGGCATTTCTAAAGAAGCAACACTTTGTTCCATACTATCAAAAAAGTCTGTAGCTTCTGCTGCTACTTCAGCACCATCTAATAATGATATAACTTATCCAGTAAATAGTTTCTTATTATAATACTTTTAAGTATAAAATATTTACCAGAATGTGTTGGCGATTCAAAATCAACAGGTGTAAGTAGTGGCGGTAAATGTAGAGTATATAAAAGTTTTAATCTTTGTGTTAAATCTGCGGTCGCTGTCATACCAATTGCTTGTACTAATTCTCGAAAGTTTAGTAATCCATCACGATTGCGATCCATTAACTGATAGTACAATAGTACTTATGAACATTTTCTGTATTTGCTTGATTTTATTCAATAGAATTAAGATACATATGGATATTAATTCCCTAATATATTCTATTATTTTTCATTGTTTTTGTTCCCATTATAGATAACTAATTTAAATATAAATGATTACTTTGTAAAATTTAATTAACTTACACGAAATAATCGAGCGGCGAGAGATTCAGCTTGACTGCATTTTCCCCACGGAGATAAGCCACCAAATAATATTCTAAACAATTCAAAATCTACTTTATATGCCTCGTAAGGTGGTTGCGTTGGATCATAACGATCAGGTTCAGATTTTCGTTGACTCATTAATTCTTCCCTTACTAAACTCAATAGCTCCTACGTAGTAATATATATCATTGTATTTTAAGCATTCGTATTTTTTTATATATTTTTTAAAAATATATTTATATTTATACCTGTAATTCTTCCATTGTCATATATTTGTCAACAACAACACTTCTAATTACATTTTTCTCAATTCCATCTTCTAAACTTTGTACTACCCTGAGTCTGTGTTTTAAACGAAGTCTTTCTATACCACCAATAGTTAAAGATCCATATCTTGAATAGGCTTCATATATTAAAGTTTGAACAGATATACTCTAAAAAAATAAAAACATAGAAATAAAATCGTGAATCTTTGTAAATTAACTCATGCATAAAATTTTTTTTACTCTATTAGGAGCAGCATTGTCAACTGGTCTAGGAAGTATAAGCCCTTCATCATTGTATACACCTCCAAGATAATCTGTTAATAACTGCATTGCTTCACCATCATCACGGCAATTTAACAATTTATCTTGATTCCACTCCAGTACTGTCAATGCTATCTGACACAGGAAGAAAGACCTGTTTACTTCAAATTTCTTCTGTATGTATTTTATTCTGTATTTATTAGAAAGGATGTCAATAAAATTCAATATTTCGACTAATAAAAAATAATTAAAGAGCTAAAAAGAAAATATGTATACATAAAATATGTTGTACCTGGAAAATTACTTTTGCTCCATCATAAAAAAAGCAATCCATTATATTTACTGCACTACTAGTTGGCATGACGCTTAAAAATATGGTTAAGAACCATGAAAGTGATATAACTTTAATGAGACCAAGTTCCTGCAATCTAGCATGTAAAGTTGGTAAATGTTCAGCAGCTAGCTCTTCTAAAAGACCTTGGTCAACAAGAGCACCGACCACTCTTCTGTCATAATAATCAGGTAATAACGATTCACATACATTACATAACTGCCAGAATGCAGATTCTTCTGAACAATAGATCAATAGAACCGAAGCTACTATATTCATGGCCTGACAATAACCTGTTTCAAGACAATTAATTTAAAAATTTTTGAAAGCTTTTGATGACAACAAGTGAAATTTTTACCAATTTGAGGATTTTTCCAAGCATATGCGGAAAGAACTCTCCTTAAAGCACTGATACCAGTATCGGACTGAAATGCTGGATGTTCCGGTAGAGATCGATGTAAATCTCGTTCTATTTCTTCATTTGCTTGACAAGATTTACCTAATGATTGGTCAACTAAGGATTTATAAAGTCCTGGATTCATTACCATTTCGTTCAATGCACCTAGAAATAAATTTCTACAAGCTATAATATATATTGCACAATTACATGATATGATTATGATTGTGTTCACTATATTACCCGAAAAAGTAAGCCAAACTTCTCCTCTAAGAGACTGTGGTACACCCTGAATTATAAGTTTTGCTGTTTCTGTTGTTCTATACATTGTAATACCTCTGCCATATTCTGCAAAATGAAGTTCCCATTGTTTTTCTTTAGCTTCTTGTTTTAATGCTGCTTCACTACTTAATGGAGCTTTAAATAGAGTCATTAATGGCGGTTGTGGCTTCCAATCATTAACAATTTTATTTTTCTCACTGCTATTAGGTAAACTATTTTGAGAAAGTACATGATCCACGCTCCTATTTTAAAACAGAATATACCAATTGTAATATAGATATGAAATTATAACATCACAACTAAGAATATTAAATGAATACTTACAAATTTGATATTTTAGACTTCGCTAATAATTCAGATATTTTTTGAACAACAAAATCTCGATCGTGAATTTGGGCGAATAAAAATGACGAGCGAGCAGTTGTCACTAGGATAGATTTATCTATTCCTGTACTGGATGACTGATTTTCAGCAGGCTCAATAAGCCTTACTTCTCTTAAAGGTATAACTAAACTTACTAATCCTCGTACCTAAATTAAAACGAATATCAATCATGTTATTAAACATAAATTGAAGTACGCATACATTTATAATAAACCATACATTTACCCTGCTTTCAAAACAAAGATAATTTTGGGAAAGAAATATTTTTCCCCAGACATATCTTTTGTTGTATGGTGTCCATAATGTTGCATCAATACTACCATCTAATTTTTCGATTCCTGGTAATCTGAATTGTAATCTGTAAGCTTCGGAATGCGCTCTTGCATCAAGATCCCTTTTTAAGAAAGATGGTTTTTTAGGTACATTTTTGCTGTAAATATAATTACTAAAGTAATTAACATATATGATTTTACTCAGAAGTTTCAAAATAGCTTCAAATACCTTAGTTTATTTAATAATTCTCTATCTTCGTTAAAGCCACTTTTTTCGTCTATAAGTCTAACAAAAATAAAACGATATTAATTTATTAAATATATTTTCCATTATTATTTATTGTATATAAATATTACCTTTTCATAGCAATATTTGTAAGCTGTTCCATTAATGAATATGTTTCTGATTTATGAAGAAACATTGAAAAATAATGCTGCAAAAAAAATAGAAAATTGTTTGCTAATAAAACTGTAATAACTATAATAATAAACATCATAGTACTTCATTTACCTCTTTATTGTCTCTAGTTACAACACGTATACTATCTGGAAATAAGATGGAATTAGTTTTACTTAATTCAGTAATGTCTGCCCATCTTATGATTAATTTCGTTTCTCTTGCCAAAATATAGGCATAAAAACACATATGATTTATTGATAAGTATAACCATCCTTGTCTAGGCAAGCGAGATTTCCAGTAACTAAAATGGCAAAATGTGAGAGTTTCTTAATTTTACTGGAAATTTATTTTTTTTTTCAGTTAATTATACAAGTACCTGCATGAATAATAATTGACCAATTTATCCTCTTTTGATATATTGAAAAGTTGATGAAATTTGAAAGACACAGTTTTAAATGATTCTGGATCCTCTTCTGTAGACAACATAAAGTTCAATATCACAAGAGAAATTTTATTTCTTAATTAATTTTATAACAAATCATTTACCATCAGCAAATTGACAGTCTGGGACACTGTTTGCAATAATGGATTGTATTTTACAACAAACAAACTCAGTTATTTCTTCTTCAGTGTCAAATGATGTTAAAGTATCCATCAGATTGGAATGAAGCCATTCCCAATCTTGTAAAATTTCTTCATGTGTTAAAGAACATGCAATCGCTATATAAGTTAAGAACATTATTATTTATAATAATAATTTTTTATATTAATATACATCTGTATAAATCACAAAAAGTCACAAGTTAGTTAATTTAAATTTATTTATATTGTATTTTACCCCAATAAACTTCTGATGATGGTGTTTGATGTAATATTCTAAATGGTGGAGGTTTAGTGTCAAAAACACTATCCAATGTTCCTACCAATATAGAAGTAATGCCTTTTGCCTTTCCATGTCCTTTACGGCGTTGTAAAACAAAATATACAGTTGCTTGTTCTGTTACCCTATATAATAAAAATAAAATAAAATCAATTCTTTTTTGAAAATCTTGTTCATTATAAGATGTGAGATGAATTCTTTTTGTCAAAATATAACAAAATACTACTCTTCAAAGTATAAAAAAGTGAAATTCAATCGTATGACAGATTTTTCATGATGGAAACAATATGTCGTAAAAAGTGCAATAAAGATACAAAAAATTTGCACAGTCCGTGATAGTTCTATACATAATTTTATATTTACAGAAATATGCATATCAATGCAATTTTTCAGTATATATTTTATTAATAAGTATCATTGAAGAGGGATGAATCTCGTGAATAATTGGCGAAATGATTCCAATAACATTATTGTGTCTCTTATCCGTGTACAACGTATTATAATTTATACTACATGGTATATAATGTAAAAAAAAAAAAAAAATACAGCAACGATTTACAATTTTTACAATGTTTGAAACTTCCATTGGCAACAACTAACGAACACGTAACATCCAGTATCCTAATATCGTATAGATACATCCACGAGATGTAAATAGATACTGAGGAAAAAGTGTCAAATAGATTAAAAAATATTTCTCTATTCAAACGAGTATGCAGCAATAAATAAACGTTTAAAAATTGGCCGTATTTTTATGTGTATGTTTGTCAGCTGTCTTTGACATACGATGTAAACAGTAATTATAACAGAAGATTAAACATTGTATACACGTATCAATTTACCAAAGAGCGTTTGCCAGTAGAACCTCTTGTGGCTTCACCCACATATTGATCACCGTTCTTCCAGCACATATGGCACTAACGATACGAATTCAAGCACAGTTTATCCAAGACACTAGCAAAATTCGCTGCCAGCAATAAAAAAAAACTTGCCGAAGATAAACACTAATACGAACTTCACTACGAATCGGTCGTTGCAAACTGCGTCAACTACTGTAATTTTGCCATACTGTCAACTTGAAATGTCACTATGCGTTCAACATTTTTGTTTTGCAAAAAAATTTTTTACCTTTTGAGAAGGTTTTTTAGTATCTCTCATATATTATACAAATTAAATGAGATGTGTGATTGTAAATAATATTACTTTGATGTATATATAATTACATATAAAGTTTGTAACGAAGCGATTGTAATATTTTTAAGATAACATCTTTTGCAATAGTAACTGATAAACACGTTAAAAGAGTTTGACGCTACTTAACAAAGTATGCGAATTAATTATTTTTATTTTACAATAAATGTGTATATCATAGATGTCGCTACAAATTCTAATTCATGTGAACTCTTGTAAGTAATAACGACGAACCGAACTAGATTACGTACTCGCAAGATTTTTCATTGCAGAGAAAATGGCGTCTCTCGCGGGAGTTCGTATTTTAATAAGAAATACCGGTAAATTTAGAAATCCAATTAGTCGAACATGTTTACGAAGTGCTGTTACGCAACTTCAATCAAACGAACGATATTTTCACTGGAAAAGACAAAGTATCCTTACACATGTACCACAGGTAAACACTGCTCTTTTATGATTTTCATCAATTCTTTCCGATGGTTCAGATACCGCATTTCAATTTAAGCATTATGTAATCAAAATAATTCAGATTTCGATAAAATAACGAATATGAGTAAAATCTTAAACGTGAGATTTGCAATATTGGTTTCGTACGTTATGTCTTAACTAAATTGAATACGCATAACGTGATTGAGTAAGTAAAATAATGTTCAATCTTGCGACATCAAGATATTCAAATTTTCTGTCATTGTTTGAGAATATATGTTGTATGACAAAATGTGTGTTGTATAATAAAAATCAATACATATTGTATATATTATAATCATTATTATTTATCCTATGATGTTTAGATAATATATAATATTATAAATGCAGGAAAATATACAATCTATACGTACTTATAGTACAAACCCTGACATTAAGAAAATTGAAGAACGTGTGTTGAATGTAGTCAGTGCTTTTGATAAAATAACTTCTGATAAGGTTGTATAATTGCATACTTTTTTAAATTATTTTACAGGGCACACGAGTCAAGCAGGTGCGTCAATACAGTATTGCTGAGCCAATGTCACTTGATCTTATTCGCAAGCGTGTACTTTTGGTACTCAATCTGTATGATAAAATTGATCCTCAGAAGGTATCTATTCACAGGAATAATATAACACATGAAAGATCCTTGTGAAGGTGTTTAGCAAATCTGATCATAAAATTTATCAATTTGCAAAATATAATTTTAAAATTTTAATATTTTATGTAAATGTATAATATCTAGTAGCATCATTATTGATGTTTTATATTTGTTAACACCTTGATAGATAGCTTCTCAGAAAAAGAATATGATTGATTAACACCTCGCTTGAATCGTAATGTCCTTGTAATAAATTCATATATAAATCTTATTATTTATTTTTTAAATACATAATAATTAAAAATTTTATATTTTATGCAGTTATCTTTGGATTCTCATTTCATCAATGATCTGGGTTTGGACTCTTTAGATCATATAGAAGTTATAATGGCCATAGAAGATGAATTTGGCTTTGAAATACCAGATATGGACGCAGAAAAACTTTTACGACCTACGGATATAGTACGTTACGTAGCAGATAGACAGGATGTTTATGAATAAATATTCGCATGTTATAAGTCATCTCATTAATCAAGCTTTTTTATTTTTAAAACATTGTATAAGAAATTTCAACCTTAAAATTTGAACTTTATTTCTTCTGTATATACTATAAATTGTAGTAAAAATAAAGTGTTTTACTAGATTAAATTATGTATTATACTGTCTTGTATTTAATATAAAATAAAGAAAAGAATACGTTTATTGAATATTTTTCTTTCATGGTATATATATGTACATATACATTACTTTTAAATGAAGAACCAAATGCCACTATGGTAGTGGTAGTAGTATGGTGTCGCTACTCTCTAGGCCGACGTTACGACATCTCGGATCTTTTTATTTGATTCAATCGAACGTGCATGTTAATCGGATGCAACAACTGGAAAAATGAAGATGGCGGACGGATGTGTATTCTTTAGAAGAAATAGACCCGGAACCGCAGCAAAGGTTAATAAAAATGTTAATTTTAAATGAGAATTTATTTTTTTCATGTTCTGTACGTTATCGTTCAATAGTAGTTCGGTTATGTATAGCGTACGTACAGAAATGTCCAACTGCGTTTTTGACGTATCTTTCGAAAATCAATGAATGCTTTATAAAGAAACTATTGTTTACAAACTAATAATTTATAATATTTCGTTTATATTATTTTATATTCTCACTCACGTATTAATTGTATGTGAATGTTAATACATTGGTTATTCCCTTGTATAAATGCAATTTACTCATAAAAATTTTGATAGATAATGGCAATACAATACTTATTACTTTTTAAGAGTTAATCAATTATTGTAGTAGATCATTCACATAATAAGTGAGTTACATAAATGACATTAATTTCTCATTTCTTATTAAACATTCTTAATTTAGGAACCTTCTTCGTTTAGAGTTTCTGTAGGTGGCCCGATGAACCCTTTGAAGAAATGGATAGCACATTGGCTGTGCAACAATATATTCAACAGATGATTAGAAGAGATCCATCTAATGTTGATCTAATATTAAAAATGCCAGAAGCGCAAGATGAAGCAGTATGGAAGTATGAACATTTAAGACAGTTCTGTATGGAACTAAATGGTTTGACAGTAAGGTTGCAAGCAGAATGTCATCCAGAGGCTTGTACTCAAATGACAGCTACTGAACAATGGATATTTCTTTGTGCTGCACATAAAACACCCAAAGAATGTCCAGCTATTGATTATACGCGACATACACTTGATGGTGCAGCTTGTTTACTTAACAGTAACAAATATTTTCCTAGCAGGTATATATATATAGTATCAAAAGATTATCAAATAAAAAATTAGAATATGTAAATATTTCTTTATGTTTTATTTCAGAGTAAGTATCAAAGAATCTTCAGTAGCAAAACTTGGATCTGTTAGTCGCAGAGTTTACAGAATCTTTTCCCATGCATATTATCATCATAGAACAATATTTGATGAATTTGAAAATGAGACTTTTCTATGCCGCAGGTAAAATGATTATTTGTAGAAGCATTGACAAGAATATTGTTACTTAATTAATTGATCTTTTTACTTCAGGTTTACAGCATTTGTGACAAAATATAATTTGATGTCGAAAGAAAGTTTAATAGTACCAATTATGGAAGAGGAGGGAACGACAGAAAGTGAAGCGTAGGACTTGAATGTTTATTTATATTGTCCAAAATTGATTTGTCAGATTTAATGAAATCGTTGGTAATATTGATATGTTACTGAAATATCTTTTGTAGTTCCAACTGTAAGAGCATTGGAAAGTTTTGGTAATCCGTTTAGAAATATTTTACTAGAATTTCTTGTTATTAATTGAATCAATACAATTTAAAACTATCATCACGTTTAAAACTACATGTTTGCAGTATTTATTAAAAATGAATTCATTTTAAACAATATATTCTATACAAGGTTAAATTCTGTATCAATAAATATTACGTTTTTAATATAATACAGTAATTTAGAATGAAAGAATTTGACAAGAAATTCAAGTAAATTTAGAGTAAAAATATTCAATTTTTTTGGTAGTACTTTATTATGTATCTTATATCTTCTCCTCTTTAGTATTATTATAAATTTGTATAAAAATATTTAATTTTATTATAACTACAGTGCAGAGCCTAACTGTAACAATGATAGTGAAAAATTGTTGATAATTTAAACTGACATAATTTCGCAAAAAAATCATATAACGATCCAGTTAGTCTTATTTTAAAACGCAAGACCTTGACAATCGAGAGCTTGTTTTTTCGATTTTACATCATGTTACATCAGCGGATAGGAAAGTGGGGATACTTTTTTTCGAAAATTGTAAAAATTATGTCTAACAACATTAGAAAAAAAGTCTTCACTTTCGTACATAATGTAAAATTATTTTCAGAAAAAATGAACTTACGATTATCGAAGTGGACATTTTTCGTCATTGATACAGTTACGTTATCACTGTGTATAAATTTATATTTCTCTTTATAAGTAAGTTAATTACGATATATTTGATTAATTTTTTATTAAATATCGACATTTTTTTTTCTTACTTTAAATCATCTTGAGAAAATGAGTACATTTAATGTAGCAAAAGTCATCAGTATGACGTAACTATAATCATTGTGCAGTAACCAAATTAAGCACTTATATGCATTATTAGCAATGATAATAAATGTTGTAGTGTTCTTATTTATAACATATTTATCTTACGTGGGATTGAACTTGAAATGTTGTACTTTTTCCTCCTGTTATTGATATAACTCTCAATAAGGATGTTACATTTTTATCGTCTGCGAAGTATTGAACTTAAGAAGAATGATAGAATTATCAGGGCACTCACAAACTAAGACTAGAGAATACAAGTAAACATAATTTATCAATTCGTTTTATAATCATATGTTTTTATTATTCGACAATTTGTTTAACAATTAATAATTCCACCAATAACAAGGTTGAAAGTGTTCTCTAATTTTATTAAGAAAAAACAATATCAGTGCCGGGAAATTATCTATACTACTGCCGAAAACGTAAGTTCTAATAAATAGTTCACACTAATAATTAATATAAAACATAGGAAAATTGAAAGAAAAATTACACATACTTCGGAAACTATTGCCTTTCGGTTTATTATATCAATGTATCAATTGCGATTAATTCAAAAAAGGTTTTTTTGTAAGCTTATACGAATTTGATACAAAAAATATATTATTAAGAAAGCAGAGAAATGTAAAGTGTTCTTTCTTCCAGTTTCACCAATGGTGAAAAAAAACAAACATCGTGAAAGAATTTTTAAGCAATTTCATTTATTCTTGATGAAATGTGATTTTTGCTAATTGTCTATTGCGAGTAACTTTTTCTAAAACTAAAGAAAAGAAAAATCGTGAAATTAAATCTCTGTAGAAGGCACTGTAATTTTCATAGTACAACACTGTATATATAATTTGTAAATAAGAAACTCGACAGGATCAGTTAACAGAAGATCGAATCGACAGAAATAAAATCGGCTGAAATCGCGTGATTATTTCTGTAATAAATATGCATGTACTGACAAAAAATAAACTTTTTACTTGATATGAACTTAACTATGTTACATCTTTACGATTTATGATCAACAATCATACGACGAGGAATTAGAATTTTTACAAATATACAAAGTTTTGAAAAATACAATTTATTCATACTTTTTACTCTGTAATTATATATATTACGCAGGCTATTCTTAATCGAATTTTATTTACAATTTAATCTTCCCCGCTTATACTATCGATCATCGTCCGCTCTTTTCTTATTCTTTTTTGGTGGCGCTTCTGTTTGCTGCTCTTTCTTTGACCTTTTTTGACCGGTCCTCAATCCCATAGCTGCGAATTCCTGGGCATCGATGCGGGTCACATTATTACCAGCTTCCTGTTTTTTACTTTTGCTCTCATTTTTCATTTCTTCATCATCTAAGAATTCTCCATTATCACCAGGCGCCTGATATCTACACACGACATCATAAAAATAGTATATACCAATATGATCGAAAGACTCTTGTTAAACATAACTTATTACCCAGGTACTGATGTGTCTTTTACTTCTTTTGCAAGTAAAATATGTATCTCCGGCACGTGACGAACTTTCACATTTTCGTCAGTTTCATTCTCCTTTTTCTCTTTCGATTTCTTTGACCTTTATAATGATACATATAGCTCAATTAATAAAGAAATAAAGAATGCTACACTGTACTATAAAAGCGTATAACTTACTCCACAAAACGTATGTTAGTGATCTGATGAAGACCTTCTTGTTTCTGTTTGAAAAGTTCCGCGCAAGAAATAGCTTTTCCAACACCGTGTCCTGTCGCGGTCCAAACAACGCTGTCATAATTCGAGAACTCTTTCAACGCGTATCCTAGAACGTTCCTAATTTTCGTGCCGCTTTTTACCTGAAAAAATTACCAATTAAACAACGTGACACGAAAGTGATGTCGTGAACATTCTGATATTTACTCGCATTAGAAGAAATTTCTCTGTTAAATTCGGTATAGGAATTCCCGGGTCTGTCGGTTCAGGTTCCACGTTTTTCATCCACTTATTTCTCTTCGATTTTGGTCTGACCATCTGGAAGAAAACCAATGAATTATACTTCTCGTCATCTAAATTAAAGTCAATGAACAATTAAGAGATTGGAGATTTTTACGATTTATATTAACATAAAAAAAAAAAATAAATAAATATTTATGATATGTAGCTTCGATTTTCTAACGATCTCCGTGATCTTAAAGGGAATCATTACGAGAGTGGAACCATGAAATGGTGAGGAGACCACGTCTCTCTGCCAGTAGGTCATGAGTTCGCAGGCATCGCTTCTTCGGCGTGCCACTCTTGGAACCATTCATGGAACTTGGAATGACGGAGTACAGTCTTGCACATAAACCTTCGCTGGTTTCATTCTAACTCATTTTCCTTCGTAGGAAAATGTTTAAATATATACAGTTCCTTTAAGTTGTCAACTTCATGAGTTAACTTGGCTTACACCGAATTTGATAATGTTTCATTATTTAATAAATGATGATTAATATATTGTCATAAAGATGCATTTATTTTTCATAGAAAGGGCAATATAATTAAGGTATTGTACTTATTTTTATTACTAAAATAAAACCAATTAGCGAACAATTAATTTTACTTTTTTGCAATTCAAGTCAAATCCAATTATGTTTCATTTAACAAATAGCAATCAATTCATTCTCATAAAGGTGAATTTATTCTTCGTAAAATATTATTGTCTTAAGATAAAATTAAAGTAAATAAATTTTATTCTTTTATAATACAGCGCAACGTTTAGAGGGTACATCATACTCCAAGTGAAAAGTGACCATCATTGGTCAGACGCGTCGCTTCAAAGCCGTACTGATAATTTCGACTCTGTTGAAGAGAATTTAATCCTTTGAGGATACATTTTTTTATGAATGAACGCAACAGTATAATCGTGCAGACTGTACTACGCTTGAGTTTAAAAAAATATAAGTTAATTATAATTTTTAAAATGAAATACATACTTCTGAAGTTGTAACAGGTATGTTCTTCATTTGATAGTAAAAAATTTAATAATCTAATTTATAATAAAATTCTACGTTTAAATAGGTCACAGAAGAATCATAATAAGTATAATCATCAAGAATTATAATGTATAATCATCCTATTATTTTCCTAGATATTACTTCAGAAAATATTGCATTGGCAATCTTACGGCTGTTAAATCCTAGTTTTTTTATAACATAAAAAATAAATAAAGGACCTACCTATAAAATAAATGCTATACTATACCAGTACTGAAATACCTATATGCCAAATCGTCCAAAGCTGAAACTGTTTAGATCTGACAATCGATATATAATTCGTTGATTATCAATTAATATCAGTCCTCCCTAGAATGAAACTACTAGAACATTCTTCCAAACTTCGCGTTCGATGTAAAGAAACAAACGAAAAGCCTACATGCAAGAACAAATTCCATTCTAAAATACTCATTTATTTATTTCTATTCTAACAGTTCGATCGCTGAAAGAGAACTCAAGGATATTAATCCGACGATCATCAATTAATATCAATCTTCCGCGGGATGAAACTGGGGCATCCCTCGAAAGTTGGCGTTCGATATAATTTCCGGAATTCCGAGGCGAACTTAGAAAAAGCATCGGGGCGGTCTGAGGGATCCTGTATGGAAAGCCCCATCAATATTTTCCAATCAGCATTCGATTGCACGGTCTATCCCTACCTCTTCCCCCGGCTTGCTCGTACTCGGGGGTAGCCACGAAGGGTGTAAGGGGGTCGCAGTGTAGGCGTATATGGTGGTGGTATGCGGCATAGCCGGCATAGCGCCGCGACGCCCCGACGCCATATTGCATTATTAAGCACCCCTATCAGTCTCTCGCCCCTGCATTCCAGCATTATGAACGTTTTTATCCCTAAAAGGGCGTCGTTTTGCCTATTTGAAACGAAACGAGCCGGCTTCCCATCGCTCGTTGCCCCAATCGGTTTCATGCGTCATTTCACGCGGACCCCCTTCCCTCTTTGAGGAAACCTTCTACGTCCTTATCCTATTCGCCCGGCACCCACCATGGATACGTGTCCCTCCGGTACACGTACTCTCAGGAATTTTGTTGGACAGACAGTGACACCTTGTCTGATCGATCCCGATTAAACATTTAGCCGTGGAATTCCTTGAAAGTACCTCTAGTTTCGTGCCCGCTACGTCAGAAATCATTATTTGTCCTATATCCGGGTGCAGAGCTGTTACGCTACCGCTCGTGCATGTCGCGTCGTCGTAGGCAGGTAGTCGAGGGCATTACGTTTGCATCTTCGAATTGTCGTATGCTGGTGTGACACTTCACAGAGAGAAGCTTTGGTACAAAAAGCAGGGTAAAAACGAACGAGTTCGCAGCCGTCCGATACATCAATATATCAAAGATGTGTTTCATCGATGTTAGTGCAGCGGTTCCGAATGTTGCCTCTTAGCCACCCCTTCATAGTGTTTTCCGCGATTCGATCCGATGTTGTCTCGCCCGAGCGACGAAAGAACCTAATTCCGGCCCCGACAGGAGATCAACGGAGATCCTCGATGCGCCGGGGGATTCTGCAAGAAAGGAAAGGTCAAGGAGTTCTGACCACTTTTCGTGCAGCGGCAGTGATCCTCACGACTTTTGAAAGAGAGAAAGAGAGAGAGAGAGTGGTGTATTCTGCGTCTGACACCTTTTTAACGATGCCTACGCGCTCCTTTCCCATCGTAATAAACCATCGCGCGTATCCAGAAGCCCGGTTTCCAATTTATTCGAGTGGCCAACCCTTCTATGGCGAAGACGCTCGACGATTTCATCGCGGATGAACAGGGCGAGCCGTTTCCACAAGTTTTCCTCTGGCATCCTGAAGAGGAGCTTCGCTCTCTCTCTCTCTCACTCTCTCTCCCCGAACGATTGTATGAATATTTCCCAGTCGATCGACCTGCGGAATGAAATTTCCCCACCCGGGAAACCTCTGTTTTGACGTATGACCTATTACGAAATCGAGCAACCATTCAACAATGCTCTCTTGTTGTTCGTTAGAACTCACATTGGTTTAGCAAGATATTACGCTTCTTTCTCGCAGCTAATACACGTGGCAAGCAACGGCTATATAACCAACAAGTGCAACAGATGCGACGGATCCGGTGAATTATGAAGCCTACGATCATTTCCTGGAATCAAGTTCATCGTTAGCCGAGAACACCTGCGCCCTAAGACGATTGTCCCTTTTATTCTAACCAAGAAGCACCGAGTGTAACTCCTCGCAAAAATTCTGTTAAAAATTTAACGACGAGGCTATCGAACAAGGAAAAACGGAGAAACAAGGAAACGAATTTTCAGAGGCACGAGTTTAATCAGAAACAACTGTTTAATGCTTTGTAACTATGAAAATTGGACAAAAAGGAGTCGGTACTATCCTTACATGTCCGTTTCGATCGTCTCCTTGACGGAAATTGTGTTCCAAGTCGTACATACATAGATCCACCCATCTCTCCCGCTCGTCCTCGCAAGGATCCGCGAAGAAGATCCCACGGGAGGACGCGTTTGCGCAGCAGCCGAAGAATCCTCGCTGCCTGGATCCTCGATATATCCGCGGTGGTAAGCGAGGCTCGGGATTGCTCGGTCGTGGCTCATTCAACGTACACCGGTTGGACCTTTCGATCTCTGTCTTCGCTAGCAACAGGTAGGCTAGTTTTTCGCGTGGAGACCACGAATTTTCGTTCGACTTAGCCCCGATTGTGACGAAAAAAGTGAAACTGGAAATGTATTCGGTATATCTTCTTGTATCGTAGAGCAAGATTGGGGTAGTTTTTCGAAGAGTGCCTGTGTGAAGGTCGAATATAATTTCTTTCTTTCTTTTTTTTTTTTTTTTTTTTTTTATATGAATACGTTGCTTTTATTCGATGTGCTGTTTCAGTGAAATTGAAAAGATATTTAGACATCTTTCTGTATCGTAGATCCAGATTAGAGTAATTTTTTTTATCTTATTAAAGAATAAAGAGTGTTTGTGTAAAAGATTGATCTTTCCGTCGAATATAATTCTCGAATTTTTTTTAACGAATTGCTTTTACTGTTACTACGCTTACTACGCTTAAATTAAAAAGATTAGATTCTTTTTCGTATCGTAGATCAAGACTGGCGTAGTTTTTTAGAAATTGCCAAAGAATAAAGAGTGTTCGTGTGGAGGACCCTTCGATCGAATATAATTCTGTATTCACCATTTCTTTTTTCTTTTTTTAATTAATAAATTAATTGTTTTCATTCGATGTGTCATTTCAGTGAAATTAAAAAATTATGCAGACAATTTCACGCGTCGTAGAAGAAGATTGAGATCATTTTTTTTAAGTCGAAGAGTTAATCCTTTGATCAAATATATTTCTGAATTTACCAAGTTTTCTTCCTTTATCGATTACTTGTCTTTACTCAATGTGTTGTTTCAGTGAAATTAAAAAAAGTTACAGACACCTCTCTGTAAGATTCTATAATATCTGTGTCAATTCTTGAATCGTTTTGCATTTAGTGACAAACAGAGTGGAAAAAGATTTATTCTCATTAATGATGATCACTGAAAAGTAGAAAAAAAAAAAAAAAAAGAAATGTGATAACTGTGATGACAAATGAAATCACGTCCTGTCCAAAGGTTCTCGAGAGCGAGAATACAGATCATCACCATGGATATCGAACAATTTCGTATGCGTGGCAAGGAGATGGTGGAGTACATTTGCGAATTCATGAGTAACATTCACAATCGGAGAGTAACACCGGACGTTGGTCCCGGATATTTGAGACCCCTTCTACCATCGGAAGCACCGCAAGAACCGGAGTCTTGGGAGGACATTATGAGGGACGTCGAATCGAAGATCATGCCCGGAGTAAGTGAAAAGAACAATCACTCCTCGTTCCCTGTGTTTCTCATGGTGTTTCACGAACGATCAAGATTTTAAAAATCAACAGAAAAAAAAAACCATCGATCGTTACTTGCAGATAACTCACTGGCAACATCCACGATTCCACGCGTACTTCCCGGCCGGAAATTCTTTCCCATCGATTCTCGGTGATATGTTGTCGGACGCGATAGGTTGCATCGGGTTTTCATGGGTGAGTTTGACAATTTTCTTTTTCTTCTTTTCAGAGAAAAATATTCACTTGACATTAGGGACTATTTGCTTCTAACATTTAACACTTCTTCGAAGTTTAAATTTATCAATTGTCAATTTTATTAATTAAATCTTAGATAGTCTTAGATAATTAAATTAAATTATTAAATAATAAAAAAATTTCAACTATTGGATACAATTATAAATATCAATATCTGATAATACCGAGCAATTCAAGAAAATTATTTCTCGTTTGCGTTGTGAATGTAACATTCTTGTTATACGTTACGTGTTACAATATGTACACTCCCGTCCATAAGTCACCGGATACTTGCTTATTTTGGTCTAAACAGTTACTAGAGCACAGATATACTTTTCCGGATTAATTTTATTGTACAATCTTGTTATATTTACTCTATTTTATAATAATACTTGAAAACAAAACTGATATTTAACGTATATAATTGATATATATAAGCAAGTGTCCGGAAGTGTATATATTTTTATGTATCATAAATTTCATTACTGTGTATCGCTTATTATATTCTATATTTCATTAAATGTTATATATTACAAATATAATAATTCTCAAGCTGTCAGAGTCTCATCGATGCACGAATTCAATTTTCTATCAAAGATTAGAATGTGAGCATAGGTCGCTGAAACCTGACAGATTGATCAAGTTTGTTTGCACGGTCATCCCTGTATTGTTCTAGGCGGCCAGTCCAGCTTGCACGGAGCTCGAAACGATAGTCTGCGACTGGTTCGGTAATTCAATATTATCCCGTTAAACATCAACTGAATATATATGAAATATTACAAGAATTGTGTGCTAAATTTCAGGCAAAGCTATTGGTTTACCGACGGACTTTCTTTACTTCAACCCCGGTAGCAAAGGCGGTGGTGTGATACAAGTAAATACTTCCATCCTTTGAAGAGAATCAACCCTTTTACTGTCGATTAAGATAACAGATTGCTGGAAAAAAAAACGTGTGTTTTCTTTTCTACGAAAGAAAGATATTTCTAACGTTGTGCGTCCGATAAATTTCGAAGCAAGGAAGCAAGCATAATTCTTTTCCAAGTATTCTGCACGATACATACAGGCTTATTAATTGTTAAAGGGTTATTCAATTAAAATAAAAGGAAATTGAAACAAAATTAAAATAAAATAAAATAAGTCGTAATGTATGTAAATTGTAGGCAACGAACTAATCGTCAAACGAATTATAGGGTTCGGCTTCGGAGTGTATTTTAGTGTGTATGCTGGCAGCGAGGGCGCAGGCAATTGCCAGATTGAAAGAGTCACCTGCTCACGCACATTTGGACGAAACTGCTCTTTTAGGCAAACTGATGGCTTATTGCAGTCGTGAAAGTCACAGCTGCGTGGAGAAAGACGCGATGATTTGCTTCGTGAAATTAAGAATATTGGAGCCCGATGACAAAAGCGTTCTTCGTGGCGAAACTTTACGTCAGGTAACGTAATACGATATTTAATAGATCAAATAACTTTTTTTTTTCAATTAACCTTAATAGATCAAATTTCTTTTTTTTTTTAATTAACCTTGTAAAAATACAAAATTGCATAAACATTCGTAATCTTACACCGCTATGCGTTCCCATCATTCATATCCACAAAGATGGACAATGCATAAACGCGTTAATTTCGATCAAAGTTTCCTTCTCCACCATCGTCCATTCCTTCAGGCAATCGAGGCTGACGCAGCCGAAGGATACATCCCTTTCTTCGTCTCCACCACTCTGGGCACGACTGCTTGCTGCTCCTTCGACAATCTCAGAGAAATCGGTCCAGTTTGTAAGAAATACTCCGGCGTAAGACGATCGACAATTTGCAAGAAAGATTCTATTCTCATTATTCGTATCGTCTTGAATCTCGAAATTTTCGTTGTCACCCCCTCACGCGACAGGTATGGCTACACGTGGACGCAGCTTACGCAGGCAACTCGTTCATTTGCCCGGAACTGAAGTACCTGATGGCTGGCATCGAGCACGCGGATTCTTTCAACACCAACACGAACAAATTCTTGTTGACGAACTTCGATTGTTCCTGCCTTTGGGTTCGCGACAGGTTCAAGCTGACCGGTGCACTCGTCGTCGATCCACTTTACCTCCAGCACACACACGCGGATACAGCCATCGATTACAGGTACTATCGATTCCATCGACGTTGTTTATTTCATTAAAAAAAGGCAAGGCAGGGAGGGTGCGACGTGGTTGTACGAATTTCGTACACCGGAACGTATTTTTGAATTTGTCAAACTCCACGAAAACCAAAAAGAAAAAAAAAAAAAATAGAGCAACTGATAAAATAACATGCATATTATTTCTTCACTCAATCGTTTTTATTATATTTATTGCGCATTAAGATCATTTGTATCTTTTAAAAATAGTATCAATGATCATTGCATAAGCTTGTACGTAATATTGTTTAATTAATAATATCATCTGTATTTGGATGAAGTATCTAATTATTTCGAAGCTTCTTCTGTTCTATTTTTCAAAAAAATTTCAATATTTTTACATGTGTAACAGAAGAGATCTGTAGAAATCTATAGAAATGAACGATTGTTCTCATAAAGATTCATCTTTCTTTTTAAATGACATTAATTTTAATTGTTTCCGCGCTATTTTATGCAATTTTTCTACAATATCTTTTCAAAGACAAAGTTAAGAACATTGTTATTGTTATTGCCACAATATTTCTCAAAATGTACCATTGAGAAACGAATTTACTACACTGATCAGATACTTATTTCTACTTATTTTTCACCCCCAGACACTGGAGCATACCGCTGAGCCGACGATTTCGATCGTTGAAACTGTGGTTCGTGATGAGAAGCTACGGGATATCCGGATTGCAGGCCTACATTCGGAATCACGTACAACTGGCGAAAAGGTTCGAGGCGTTGGTGAGGAAGGACGCGAGATTCGAACTCTGTAACGAAGTTGTGGTGAGCGATCGGGAGACAATGTGAACGGAAGAGGCTCAGAACACGCCCTCGTAAAATTACCAAGTTTTATCGTGTTAATTAAAACGGTTTTCAGCTGGGTTTGGTATGCTTCCGCGCGAAAGGCACCGACAAGCTGAATCAGAAGCTCCTCAGCACTATCAACGACTCCGGAAAGTTGCATATGGTGCCGGCCCGGGTGAATCAACGTTTCACAATTCGTTTCGCGCTCGCTGCGCCGAATGCCACCGCTTCTGACGTTGGTTAGCAATATCATTGTCGGTTGATAACAATTCGCTTCTCAAAAAATTCGTTCCCCTCTTTGTTGAATTTCCGCTTTTATTTTTACACCGTAGACATAGCATGGAGCATAATCACGGATTATCTGGCCGAGCTGTTGGAGTCCAAGGTGAGCGAAATCTCGACAATTGGAATTTCATTGACGTGATTTTTCGGCGATTGACGTTCTCGAGGGTGAACGCGTACGACGACTTATCTCGAATTGCAGGACGTTATGGACGAGCTGGCAGACATTCGCGAGAAGAAGAGGAAAGCCACTTTGGAGCAGAGGAGGTCCTTCTTCGTTCGCATGGTGTCCGATCCTGCGATTCAGCCTGGCTTCACGAAAACACCGAACAGGACAGGGGCGAAACTCGACGCTCAAGCAACGATCGGTGGCATCGGATCGAATCCTACGAACACTGCAACGTAAGATCTGAGTGTGTAAAAATTGGATTTAGAGGGAGAGTTGATAAAAATCACTGATTTAATTTGTCTGACGTTAGACGCTCGTGGATATCGTGGCCATTGGCGTATTTGAGGAAGGATACCGCCGACACCAGCGAATTATCTCTCAGGTATGTTGCGAATTACTCTCGAAAATTGTCATCTTTTTTCTCTCTCTCTCTTTCTCTAGGTGAAGATTTTGGGTTTGAAAAATTTTCCAAGTTACTCTGTTAGTTTCTCCTTCTTTCTCTGAAACTTTCTTAAGTAGAAAGATATTTTCTTGCGTTGCTTGTGTTTCTTTTGATTTCTTTTCTTTAAAATTCTTTTCTATTCTCTTTTCTCCAAAATTTTCCGAAATTGAAGGATCTTTCTATGTTCTACGCAAAATATTGTCGAAACTCTTCTTTTATCTTCTTCGTGAAATTCTCTTAAATTGAAAGATAATTTTATGTAATAAAATACTCCCGAAATTTCTTTTATTTATCCTTCTACTCAAGACCTTCGCAGACTAGATCAATCAAATTTGCTTTTTTCTTCCAACATAGAAATTCAAGTTACTCCAAAAATTATTCCATTGTCTCGTGAATATGAATATTTACTATAATATCTAATAGTACAGATAATAGTAATATAACAGTTGTAACATTAATGTCTAAGCGTGAAAATTTCGAAATGTCACAAAGGTAGTTAAAACATAATTTCGTGTCTGGGTATTATATGAAATTGTCCTATTAATTAAGAGGGATAATTTCAGATTTCGTCATTTGGACACCATGGTACGACTAAAAGCAAGCGGTACCGGAAGTCGCCGCGGGAGCAGCAACGGATGCAGCCCGGATCCATCGCCATCCGCCTCGCCGTCCCGCGGAAGATCGCCAAACGGCAGGGCGTAAAACGCTTCCCGATCGTCCATCATCTTTTCTTCAAGTTTCCTCAAGTTTCTTCAGGTGCATCGATAGGAACGAAACTTAAACAACGAGACAAGAATCGTCTCTCTCGTAATCGAAATGTCCTCGAATCGTACGGATACTGCCGATAAGATTGTCGATGAAGAACAACTGAAAGAAATGATGCAAGATTCTCTGAAGGAAAAAATTGCTCTTAAAATTGCTCAGCAACGAACGAAAATCTAGTGGAAAATTGATCGACGACCCGGTTCGACTGTGGCATGGTTTCTCGCCGCTTGTTTCGCGTTTAACCACCCCCCCGTTCGCGACAGTTGCAAAGTTTCGCGTTCTCGATTGAAGGAAGCACCGTCTCGATAGATATAAGTACATCGTCTTTACTTGCTTATCGATCTGTTTATGTAAGTGTGCTCTCTTTTGAATCGCGACGGAATCCACGCGAAACATGCTACATATATATATAACGTATTACTCTACATAATATAAATTACGTACTATGTTATATAAAAGCATGCTCGATACAGCAAAAAAAGATTTCGAGAGAAACTGTGGACCCTCGAACTCTGGTGAAAGTTTTAGGAAACGATTCGACATTCGAGTTAATTAAATGTTATATTAAAGAAACAATATAATTTAAATCAATGGAATCGATTTCAGATTAAACTGATGATAACGTGTTCAAAATTAAATTGATTTAATATGAATTGAAAAATTGTATAGTACAGAGAATGCTGAACAATACCTACGCCGATTTTGGTGTCTTTAATCGTCAAACAATATGAAATGTACGAACAAAATTTCACTTCGGTTGCTTGATATCCAACTCTTCGTTCGACTCTCGAGTCCCTCCAATTTCTTGCTCGAAATCAAACCGTTCGAAGATCGGGGGTCCATTGTATCTCCAATTTATTATTCACCATATCATGTCGGAGCGTAATAAAACAGTTTTCTGTGTCGTTCTAGATATATTTGCGGATTGGCCCGGCACACAAGAACGGGGTGGGATAAAAAACATGAAACGGAAACTCGTGTCGCGGGAATATCGATAGAAGGTCATAAAAAGCTGTTCGTTACACGATCGAAAAGGTTGGGGTCACGAGAGTGAGCGATGCACCTGGACCGTTTGCTCGATTTGCTTGATTATCATCCCTCCCCCCTCCTCCCCCTCCTCCTTCCCTCCCCCTATCTCTCATTTATAATATCCGGTGATAGTCACATTTCAATTTCATTTCGATTCTGCATTTTGTAAAGCTCGTTCTTTGCGCGAATGAAATTTCACGCGGTTGGAGAGGGAACACGTCGCACGTGTGTTCGGACGAATGATCGTGAGCCAGCGAGGTTCCCTTGCCGAAAGATACTACGTCAAGCGAGAAAAACACTCGCGACACAGTACACAATTGACAGGTAGAAGGGGAAAATCGTCGATGACATCGATCATTGCCGGCAATTACACGAGCGACAAGTATCAACGGAGGATGTTGCAAATCGACAGACATCAAAGGATAATCTCCGATTATATAGAAAAATAAACAAGCGCAACTTATTGTAAAAAAAAGGATATCTGTCGCAGGAACACTTTTTTTTTTTTTTTTTTTTATCAGCGGAAGACTCGACGCGGCTGAAAAATTTTAACTGACTAAAACTAATTCAATAATAAATGAAGATATTCGACAACAATTCGATAGTTGGACTGCGGATTTTTATGCATTTACGAGATATTCAATGGTGATTATACGTAGAATGCATACGAATGTAGTGTGTGCAAAGTATACAAAATACCAGTGCTTTCTATAACGTTCGACAGGTAAAGCAATTTCCTGCAAAGTTTCTGTGCTCCGAATTATATTTTGCATAAAAGTCCACGGTCTATCAGTAACAGATCAAACATGCCTTTTCTCCACTCCTTCTGTAAAAGTTTTAAATTACGCTTTCAAAGATATATATATATATAAGCTCGCGCAAGGAAAGACAATTTCTCTCATTGTGTGTTTTCGTTTCTTGATCGACAACACTTCGATTCCAGTAGCAAACGCCAGTCAAATGGACAATGGCCGGCGGAAAAAAGGGGATCGACGGCGGGATTAATTAATACGAACTGGATGGCAATCGTTCCGACACCCTCGATCGAGAATCCAATTCGAAAACGTCGGTCGCGAGCAGACCATGCGTGAAGGTGGTGACGAGAGAGAAAATGGTGTTCGCCATGTGTCTTGCATGTGTGTGTTACAAAGATTGAGCGGTGACCTGTCACCGCTTCTACGGGGTGTTGTAAATGTAGGTGAAGAGTAAACGTCTATTTATATAACGGGGGAAGGAAGGGGATGAGAGTTTACTCCCCGTGCATCATCGACAACATACTGGCGCTTATTCAAGCAGCGACCCCCTCGGCACATCACCATTGATGTCGACCACCCTTCTTACGAATTTTCGTTCAGATTTTTGGCATCGATACGCAACAACTATCTGCGCGGGTGGCGCAGTCAATTTTTTTTTAATTATCAAACACGCCTCTCTCGAAACGATTAATTGATATGAAACGCGATATAAACTCCAGTTATTATTTTCTATTGTTTTATTTTGTTTTTTTTTTCTCCTGGGGGAAAAAAATAATTGAAACGTGATATTTTGAGATTAAATGATGTTTTTTTTTTTATAGAGGAGTTGTTTTATTTAGTTGAACGAAAATATATATTAAAGAGGGTCCGAAAATTGGAAATTTTTTGAAAATCGAATCAGTATTTTTTTTTTTTTTTTTAATGGGAAAGGGTCAAGTGTATAGGTGTAGACAAGTGAGGGAAAGAATGAATTATCACGTCACACGTGGGAGACAAAAAAGGGCACTGATAAATTAGTTGGGTGGAAGTATGACGAATTTCAAGGGTTGGAGGGTGTGAAATTTCGATGGAGTGCGATCCCTTTTTTTTTTTTCGCGCGAGCATTTGCGTAATAAGCTGTGGTAGACGCCAGCGTCGTAATCCAGAATGAAGCAGGTAAATTAATATTTTTCACGATCGGCGAAGCTCCGCCTTAATTTTATTTGCGTGAGGCAGGGATGTACGAAGAGGAGGCGCGCATAAAACTGACCGGCGCTATGGCAGGTGCCATCAGTCTCGGTTCCAACGCGGGACAGACGTTTGTTACGCGTTTCCTTGGCAAGTGGAATCGTACTTCGAAACAATTCAAACGACGATCACCAAGTTCTTTTCCCAAATGTATTCGAACATATTCGAGTGATCACACATCATCGAGGTGAATCGGTAATTGAATAGTAAAAGTGAGTGAAAGATACGTAAATCGAGATCGTACGTAAATCGATTTGAGCAAGGAAACGCAATGAACACATAAAAAAGAAAGAAAAGAAAGAAAAGGAAAGAGAGAAAAGAAAAGAAAAAAAGAAAGAGAGAAAACAAAAGAAAAAAAGAAAGAGAGCTAGAGAAAAGAAAAGAGAACACGTATAGAGAAGGTATTTCAACCTAAGTATTTCTTTGCTTGCGAATGACTTTTATTTCGTCTGTAATCCCGATAAATGGCGGTGAAAAATGTCACGATCATGTACACACGCTTTAACCGAGAACGTGCTTAATCAAACATGAGTCTCATTGGCACGCACTAGCCCGTCTCTCCTTCGAATTACATTCCAGCAATTATCATGAACATCGATGAGTTTCAAGTACGCGGCAAGGAGATGATCGAGTATATTTGCGAGTACCTCCGCACCTTGGAGGGGAAGAGGGTGACAGCGAACGTGGACCCAGGCTACTTAAGGCCCCTTCTTCCGAAAGAGGCTCCGGCGAAAGGTGAACCATGGGATGCCATAATGAGGGACGTCGACAGCAAAATAATGCCCGGGGTGAGTGTCAACCATGGGCTTCGTTATCGATCCCCCTTCGTTGATTCCGACCTCTTTTGATATTATTAATATTCACGAATACTAAAAAAAAAAAAAAAAAAAAGGAAACGCCCGCTCGTCCGTAAAAACCAACACGTTCATTACCTACTTCCAATATTCTCTCTTTGCTATAATTCCAATTGTAATGTTCCTCTGTCTTGAGGTTTTAAAATTCATATATGCAAAATTAAAAAATTCACACACACACACACACACACACACACAAAACAAATGAATAATCTTTCCGCGTGAAAAAAGCAAACGTTAAGAACACGGATGGTTTGCAGATCACACACTGGCAGCATCCACGTTTTCACGCGTACTTTCCAGCGGGCAACTCGTTCCCTTCGATCCTCGGCGACATGCTGTCGGACGCAATCGGCTGCATAGGTTTCTCTTGGGCGGCGAGCCCGGCCTGCACGGAACTGGAAACCATTGTACTCGACTGGTACGCAAAGGCGATAGACCTTCCGCCGGAGTTCCTAGCCGAGCATAAAAGCTCGAAAGGCGGTGGAGTGATACAAGGTTCAGCCTCCGAGTGTATTTTGGTCACCATGCTCGCGGCACGAACCCAAGCGATTCGAACCTTGAAGGAGCAAGATCCCAACACCGAGGATTCGGCCTTTCTACCGCGATTGGTTGCCTACTGTTCCACGGAGGCTCATTCCTGCGCCGAGAAGGCAGCGATGATCTGTCTGGTGAAGCTTCGAGTTTTGGAGCCGGATGAGAAAGGCTCCTTGCGAGGTAAGCGACTGGAGTCAGCGATCCGGGAAGACGTGGCGAACGGTCTGGTCCCGTTCTTCGTCTCGACCACTCTTGGTACCACCGGATCCTGTGCGTTCGATAATCTAGTCGAGATTGGGCCAGTGTGCAAACTGTATCCTAACATTTGGTTGCACGTGGACGGTGCTTACGCCGGGAACGCGTTCATTTGCCCGGAAATGAGGCCGTTGATGACAGGCATCGAGCATGCAGACTCGTTCAACACGAATCCCAATAAGTGGTTGCTTGTCAACTTCGATTGTTCCTGTCTTTGGGTACGGGACCGAGTGAAGCTTACGTCAGCGCTCGTCGTCGATCCGTTGTACCTTCAGCATGCTAGATCCGGCGAATCGATCGATTATCGTCACTGGGGGATCCCTCTGAGCAGACGATTCAGAGCGTTGAAACTGTGGTTCGTAATGAGGTCGTACGGGATCACAGGATTACAGAAATATATAAGGAACCACATCAGACTGGCGAGACGGTTCGAGACACTGATGAGGAGGGACAAGAGATTCGAGATCACTAACGACGTGAGAGTCGGTCTGGTTTGCTTCAGACTGAAGGAGAACGACGAGATTAATCAAGAACTATTGGCGAATATCAATGCATCCGGTAGGCTTCATATGATCCCAGCTAGAGTGATGGGGAAGTACATCTTGAGATTCTGCGTAATTAAGGAGAATGCTACCGACGACGATATCGATTACGCCGTGGACGTGATCGAAGAACACGCGACAGAAGTGATGCTCGCCCATTACGAAGGTACGGAAGACGAATTCAGGGCGAAGGGGCCAAAGAGTCCCGCTGCCTTGGACAAGAAGCTGGTACGAAAGTTCAGCTTCACCAGGAGCGTGACGAGGGACGTGTACAAAAGGTCCATTTCAAAATCGAGCCTCCACGACGGTGCTACGCCCATCATGGTCGTCGATGATAACTCGCAGGTCGATACCATTGAGGAAGACGTGTTCTGCAACAGCAGGTAGACCGCACCACAGCTCACGGTGCCTAAGAAGAGGGACCAACTGCTATCGCTGCCGTGAGCTGCTGACGATGATGATCGGTGTAATGTTGTTTCAGGTCGTGACGATCCCGATGATGATACCCAGATGATTCGTGATTTATGTGATAGGAGTGCGCCTCTCTCGAAACCGGCCGATTTCTCGTTTGGAATATCACAGCTTCATGAATCATGTCGTTGTCTTTTTTAGGGAACGGAGCAAATTTTGCGCACCGAGATAAGTTTCTTTCAAATAGAAAGAAAATCTGAGAATCATTTATCGAGAGTGATTAATAAAGAATATTCAAAGGGCGTTCTCGATCTGGTGCTTTGAACGTTGGGCTATCGTTTCAGACGTTGATAGACTTATTTGCCGAGAAGGTTTACTGGTGGAAACGTTTTTTCAAGAAGTTGGCAAATCATTTGGGAATTTGCCTTTCCACGCACGATTTTATGCAACGTAAGTGCAACTGGAATTTATTTTCATAATTTATTTCGCGATCAACCAAAGCAAGAGACCATGTGCTGACGAGAATGATTGTTAGAATGAATTATTTCCTAATTTTGCAACTGAGAAACGGTATAGTAAACATGCCAGATAAAATAGGGGAGAAATAATTGTACGTAGTATAAGCAGTTTATCAATTCGTGTAACAATTCAGAGCGTATTAAAAAAGGAAAAAATATGAATACGTAGCTAGGCAGAAATAAGACTCACTGTTAAGTACATCGATTGTCTCTCTTAGGCTATTAATAGATATAATATTAAATTGTTTCATGAACGAATTATGTACGAATGAAGAATTAGCTTCCGATTAGATTACTGCAAATTAGATACGAAATGAAGACCTAAACGTTTCCGTTTTGAAATATTCTCAGTCGACAATGATCATAATGTTAGATCGTTTACTTTGGGTGTTTTACTTCTGGAGAAGATCGATTCCAGTTGTAAGTCGCATTGATATTTTAAACGCGTTTGGATTTTTATCCAGTACAATACAATGTAGATCATATTAGTGACTATTTATTTCGTATGTAAAATTTAACGTAATAAAATTGAAGTTCGTAAAACAACAACTTCTTTCATTTTTGTCGCATCAAAAATTTTCGATCGTACCTATAACTCGACCGAGTTATCAACTTGTTGATTGAGATGCAATTAATTAACTTTTAAATACAATTAAGTAGTTCTTAATAGGCAATTTCTATTAGCGGGAAATTATAAGATACCTGAGGGCAATGTAAGATGCCGTCAGCTACGAAGTAAATCATTACAATTATAATTAACAATTTAAACTACAATTATAGATTATTGAAATATAGTATAATATAAATATATTAGAAGTTATTTAAATACTGAGCTGAGGGAAAGGATATTTGACTATAAAATACTGCCCTTATTCTGAGGAAATGTAACAAATCTTTTTATAGCGTCCCTTACATTTAATTTACATACAAAAATATAAATTGTGATTAATTAATTGTTACATTTGTCCGCATTGAGATATTGTCACAGGAATTTTTGGTTTATTGTTTGGGCCTGTGGGAACATTCTCTACCTTTCTCATAACTAGGAGTCCATCAATAACTCTTCCAAAAACAACGTGTTTACCATCCAAGAAATTACATTTGGCGCACGTGATGAAAAACTGACAACCGTTAGTATCTTTGCCGCTATTAGCCATGGATAACAATCCAGGTGAGTCGTGTTTTAATGTAAAGTTTTCATCAGGGAATGTTCCACCACCATAGATACTTATGACTCCAGTACCATCACCATTTACAAAATCACCACCCTGGATCATAAAATCCTTAATGACTCTATGAAATATGGCACCTTTGAAACCCAAAGATACACCATCTTTTCTATACTCTCCAGTACAGAATTGTCGAAAATTCTCCGACGTTTTTGGGCAAACATCTTCAAAGAGTTCAAAAATCATTCGTCCGATTTCTGTAGTGCCTACAGATACGTCGAAGAACACCACTGGATTATTTGGATTTCGAAGTTGTGTTTGGATTTGATTCCAAGTTGGCATATTTGTATATTTTGATTAAAAGCTTTGAACACTTTGTAACTTTCTTATTTGAGATGAACACTAGTATTGTTTATCTCTTAAGTTATTCGTCAATTAGAACGACGAAGCGGCAACATAACCTCTTCAACTTATTAATATTTACATACGTTTGAGATTAACAAATTTGTTATTAAAATGAATTGTTTTCTACCTCAATATAACGACGCTTAAATAAACTTATTGTAACTGTAATAAACTTTTGTTACGTATTGTTTTTTTTTATGTTTACGAGACACAAATGTTTTGCAAATGCTTCCTGAGTTACAAACACGAGACAAACATGCTAAGTATAGGTTATTAAGTATAGGTTAGTATTTAATGTCAAATAAAGTTTAAAGAAATATTTGAAAATATTAAAGATGCATGTTAAAATTAATCACATTTGTAGATATATAATAAAAAAATATTATATAAATAATGTATTATAATATATAACAAATAATTATTACGTGTTATTACGTGTAGTGAACTCTTTCTTATTTTCTTAAATATTAATACTTACTTTTTTTGACTGCTTTGTAGATTTAATTACTTATCACACAACACGTTATAAACTAATTACATTTATATTAACAATTATATTACAATTGTTTACTTCACAAAATAACGCGCACTTGTATTTCGTTCCGGTAATGACACGTGATTAATCAAGTAAACTTTTAGCAAACCGCGCGATAATACAAATATGAAGGATAAAGGAGAAAGTACGACTCGGTATTAAAGAAAAATGTCTTAATATGAAATAAATGTAGAAAATAAAATGTACTTTATTTTCTTATTGCACCTCACATTCTACATTTTAAGTGTCACTCGATTCAATTATAATTTACGTATCGAAAAATGATACGTGAAATCAAGTTTTAAACAATACAAAGGAGAATTATATAATCTTGTTAAAATTGTTTTACGATATGTTTTAAGACAATCAGTAATGTGCTTTACATAATATATAAATCTTTATCTATATTTTATTTTAAACAATATACATTATTTATCATGTGTATAACATATGACCTAAAGGTGCAAAAGCATTTTGAAGGAACAAAAACAAATTAATTAAAAATGTACAAGTATCATTGAAATTCCCTGTTTCTTTTTAATATCAGTGTGCATTTACAAGACAAATAGAAAATTGGTGCTTTTCTACAACTACTTGAAACAATACTTAAATAGTTATGCTTAATATTTTTTTCTTTCTTTCAAGAACATAAGAAATTTTTGAATTTGTTATTTTCTACATAGCCACATTAATAGCATAAGAATATCACAAACTTGGATAGTAATAAAGTAACAATAATTATATGTGAATTTTAACATGTTCCATTAATACATTCTTGTCATTAAAATCTTCTCCACAAATACCACAGACTAATTCCTCTCCATCATCACTGTCTTGTTGATGATATTGTACAACCTGTATTACAGCCGTTTGCGATCCTCCTTCTTGTATTAACGATTCTTCTACAACTTCATCTTTGATATTTTGACTTTGTCTAGTTGAATGGTGAGTTACCATGTCCATAGGTAAATCATTACTTATTTGTGCAATTTGACTGGGAAAATTTTCATGGCTTTGAGAATTTGGTAATGTTAGAACAGGCAATGATTCATTTTGTTTTGATATTAAATGTAAAGTATTTTCTTGCTTTGAAGTTTGTATTAAATGCATTGTAGTTATTGCATTATGGCTGCTTGTGTGAAGTGCACTTCTTTCTTGCTCTGTAGAGACTATATGACTTGTATTTAAAGATTCTCTATGGTTATGATTAGTTTGTGAAATATGCATATCTTCATCTTCATGTTTCTCATCAACTAACAATTGTACATCCTCAGATTTAAGTTCAGATATTGAAATATAATTTTCATTACGTTTTTCTGTAGTAACAACAAGAAAAGTATTATTTTGTTTATCACTTAAAATTTGTTGGTCATCTGATTTATCTGTTTCTGTAATAGATAAAAGTGCTTCATTTTCCTCTGATTTAGAAATTATACGACTTCCAGTGCCTTGTTTTTCTTGTAAACTTGTACTTGTAGATGCTTTTGATTTCTTCTTAACTGGCTTGGTTTTCGGAGCATTATTGTTTGTTTTAGCTTTTGCTTCTGCAATCATTTGGTCTGAATGTTTAACAATATGTGCACATAATTCATCTCGATCTTGATTTAAAGCACCACATATAGGACATGAGAAAGGAGGTCCAGTTACTTCAGTTTCATTCTTTCCTGCTGCATGAACCCATCGAACATGTTCTCTTAAAACAACTTTTTGATTAAATGCTCTTGAACATAAAGGACAAACATGAGGTCTTTCTCCTGTGTGAATACGTTCATGTTTTCTTAATGTCCCACCATCTCTAAATGCTTTCCAACAAAATTTGCAACCATATGGTCTTTCCCCAGTATGAGTCCTATGGTGTATTAGATATCCTTGTCTTGATGAAAATGTTTTGGAACATGTATCACAATGAAAATGCGCAGGACTCCCAGCATGTGTTCTACCATGTTCCCAGAGTCCTTGACGTGATACGAAACTTTTGCCACATTCTGTACAAGTAAATGGAGAGTCACCAGGATGTGCTGATAATCTATGTTCATCCAATTGATTCTGTTTTTCAAATTGGGATCCACATACTTCACAAGAATGTGTTTTCTTTCTATGAATCCACTGATGTCTAAACATTTTTTGTTTGGTTGTAAATTTTTTACCACATTCAGAACATGCATGTTTACCCCACTTATTATTAGATGTACCTTGTTCCACATTACTTTGCATCAGTCTCTTTGCACAAGTTGTTTGATGCGTTGCTAAATGATTGCCATCTTGAAACTGTTTATCACAATATTCACATTCGATTGGCATGTTCCAATTTTTAGATGCATGAATTTTTTCATGGGACACTAGTGCTGTTGCACGAGAAAAACTAATTCCACAATGTCTGCAAGTATGCTGTTTTGTATCATTTGTTTCAACTTCTATATAATTCTTTCTATCTTCATTATTATATGGTAATGTTTCAACTTTCACCATTGTATCAGCATTATTAAATGAGTTTAATGAAAGATTGTATTGTTGATTGACTTGAGTATTTATATTATTTTGTTGCGTATATTCAAATTGCGTCACTTCTCCATTTGGCATTACAGTAAATTCATGCAAAGTATCTATTTTTTCTTCAGGGTTGGATATTGTATTAACTGCTGTTTGTTCACTTTGAAAGTTATAAGAAGGAACTGTCCATTGAACAGTATCATAACTTTGAACTGTTTGAACAGATGAAGATGGCACTTGATTATTTTGAGATTCTGTCATATTTTCAGGCCATTTTCTAAATGTTTCTGATTGTGACACATTATTACCCTGCATAATGGCACGTCCAGCGACATATGTATGAATTTTCATATGATTGGATAAACTAGAAGGCCTCTGAAAATCTGCTCCACATATGGTGCACTTATGAGGTCTTTCTACTTGATGTACTTGCAACATATGGCATCTTAAATTATTCTTTGAACGAAACAAATTGCCACAAGTTCTGCAAGCATGTGGGCGATCTACTTGATGACAAACTATATGGTTGTTTAAATCTATTTTTCTTTCAAATCTTTCTCCACAAGTAACACATGATAATTTACTACCAGAACAGGTAGTATGATGCTTTGTAATCTCAGTCTGTGTGAAAAGGTTTGCACAATGCGGACAAGATACTTTTTTATCTTCAAAACAAGGATACATGCCCCCAAGTTGTCGAAGGGCTTCCACAGCCATGGATTCGTCATCTCCAGATGTATATTGCTGTTGTTCTTCTTGTTTAATATATATAGGATACACTACACGATTTTCATCCTCCTCATCGGAATGTTCAGCTAAAATCTCAACTGCAACTTGTGCTTCTGTAATACTAGGATTAACATCTGTAACAGATACCTCGGTGAGTCCTTCTTGTAGAACGCATTCGTCAACAGGTTCACATATCTCTTCATGAGATATGATATTATCTTGTATACCATCATGTACTCCCGAAAGAGGAAATGTAACATATTGCTCATTCTCATGAGCTTCCATCATGCGATATTTTTGTAAAATGCTGTCAAGCAATATCAAATAGAATTTTTATAAACCTAGTTTCACCTCATGTTAAGTTAGGTCCTGTCACCATTAATAACCAAGCGGTATTTATCAATGTATTGAAATACATTACAAACAATTGTATTATTTATATTTCACTGTTACAGTTAGCTGTAGACATTATTAAAAATATGCGTATTCTTTTCTTTCGCACTATAATTCAATACGACGTACGTCTTATCTTCATTGATTACAAATTAAATGACGTGAATTGTTATTTTATGGTGTATAGATTATCCGTGTAACAATGTAATTAATAATATATTTTGTCAGCTGTGATTTATTTATTATATAAATTTGTACATTCACCATTCGAACAACAGTGTAACAAGGTTATTTGCACGGGAGTGCAGCAAATCGTGCGCCACCTGAAGTTGACGGCGTTCTTTGCGCAATGTCAAGTTAGTTTTTATATTTTAAAAAGGCTGATGAGCCGCGTTAAAAAGCATCGGAGTATTTTTCTCTAAAACATAATGTTGTTTGTGTGGTATTTGTAATGTGATGTGTGATTGTTTTTTGATTCCTTCGTAACTTTTTTAACAAATAATCTCTAATAATCTAATGAATTACGGTGTTACTTACGTGGTTATTCGTATTTGGTTAATCTCAAATTTGAGCTTCGAATATATGTCTAAAGTATGTATGTTTTAATTATATTTTCTTTAAATTGATCTTTTTTTACAATTTCTAACTATTCTTTTTATTATATTATATCTTTGGTTAACAATATTAATAATATAAAGATATATTTTGAATATGGTTGAAAAATAAAAATGGAGGGATAGTGCATCAAATAATAGTAGAATCTAAACCTAACCTAATATATATATACAAAAAAGTTAATTGTACAACATTGGTTGTTAGAAATTTGTATCCCAGTCGGACAAATCAGCCGGTACCGCTTTGTGATTTGGAGGATATTTATCGAAATTCCTTAAATCAAGATGATTTTTCACCTGTAAATGAATCGGATAATAAAACGTTAGTTATTTCAAAAATAATATAATATTCTAGTCATTTTTTATATACCGTTGGTACAATAGGGGAAAGTATTGTTTGATTTTGTAATTCTTGCCAATTAAAGTGATGGAACCACCTGAAATTAATTTAAAATATTTAGTCATCAGAATTTAAATTATATATTAATAAATATTCTATGAATTTTGTTTATATTAATAGTACATAAATTCGATAAATTAATAATAAATACTTGTGATTATGAATATCGGCAACACCGTATCGTAAACAGCCGAGTCTTTTATATGGATCATCTTGTAATAGAGATTTGATGAAACTCTTTGCCGCGCTTTTAATAATGGATGGTACAACTACGTCTTTAAAACCACGAAGAATATTTTTATACACTTCGATATCATTTACATCTTGAAAAGGTGTTCGATTTGTTAACATTTCGTACGTAAGAATCCCAAGAGCCCAATAGTCGACAGCTCTTCATTTATATAAAAAAAAAAAAAAAAATACAATCAATTATTCAAATCAGTATGACATTTAAAAAATATCTAATTTTGGACATGAAAATGCGTACTGATCATAAAGTTTACTCTGAATGATTTCTGGAGCCAAATATTCTGGTGTACCCATAAAAGTCTTTGTCTTGTAAGGACCAATCTTTTTACTGGATCCAAAATCAGTCTGTAAAAGAAATTGAATTAATGAATAAGTTTATTATCAATTACTGTTTATTTGAAATAGAAAAAAACTTGCAAGTTTCGCGTAGCCTCGACTGTCGATCACGATGTTCTCAGGTTTTAGATCTCTGTAGATGATGCCCAGTGAATGGAGATGTCGAATACCTTCTATGACACAAGCGATGATGAATCGAGTTGTTGAATTATTGAATTGACCATGTCTATATAAGGCTGTTCTTAAATCTCCTCCTAAACACGCTTCCAATAGGAAATATAGGTATCGTTTGTCTTTAAAGGTTTTGTATAATCTAGAAGGAATGTAGAATCGTGTTTCGTTTTAATAAGTTTCCAATAAGTTTTTTATAAGTATGGAATAAATAATTTTAGATTAAAGAAGAAGAAAATTTGACCTCATGACTCCTTAATTTATAAATGTATAAATACAATGAAATTTGAAAGGGTTTGTCTTCGAATCAGGATTTATAATCTTTAAATTATAAATTATATGTATATCAAATATAAAATATAAATTATGTATTGAATTATGTATTTTGATTATATATTATATCTTTTATAAAAACAAAAATACTTAAAAAAGTCAAATTCTTGCTAAAACTTTCAATTATTAATTCTTCCTTAAATTAAAATTGCTTATTCTGTTTACTGGAGGAAGATTTATTTTAGAGAAGAGTTAATTTACTTGCAGGTAAACAGTGAATTACACAGTTTCAAATTATTTTTCTCATTGTAAATCATTTTCTGAAAGCCACCTTGCGTGATCATATGCTTCTCCACCTTTTTTCTGGCAAAACTAATATTAGGCATCGATTTCACAACAACCAGTTCCACTCTGCCGTAGCCCCCAGTTCCGAGTATTCCTTCAGATTCAATATCAGACAGAGTTATCTTTTTAAATTCATCGTCCCATTCATCCGTTTCGATCACACTCTGATATGCTGACCAATTTTTATTTTTGATCGAATCCAATTCACCGAGATAATCTAGAAACTCTCTACAACATCAAAGAAACTCTCTGTTTCAAAGTTTGCAAATTCTATAATAGATTTGCATAAATGACCTTATTATAAATTTTCCATCAAGATTTCGAAATTTACTTTTTCTCAATAGTGTAACATTCCAGTCCAGGAGCCATTGCGATGGCATTCGCTTGCCGACGAAATTCCTCGGAGTACAGTGCTTTTTCACCGAAGTAGTCACCCTTTTCAAGGATCATTAGTTCCTCTTCCATGCCACTTGAGTTATTCTTCGTGATCCTCACGCTTCCACTGTTTATAATGTAGAACTTATCCCCCCTTTCTCCTTCCCGAACCACGTACGTGTTTGCCGGATAAAATTCCTGGAGTACATAATATACACTACAATTTCGAGATAACGTTATTAGAAGCGTTTTTATACGCACCACCATTATAAGATCGCATATTTTCAGAAGAATTTCCTCCGGTAGGTCTCTGAAGATATCAATCTGACGGAGAATTTTTAAATTCTGCTCCAAGGATTCTTCGTTGCTTTTCAACATTATCGCTTGAAACGCGTATCTCTCTAACACCCATAATTTTCCATTTGTACTCGCTAAAGAGTACACAAACGAGTTTTTCGTATTTTTAATACGAAATCATACGAAATATTTTAACTTTTAAGTTTGAGTTATTGGGAATTATAATGCTTTTGGGATAGATTAATTAATTTTAAAATCGTCAATTTAATTTAACCCTGCTACGGCCCTCAGATTTTTATACTTCAGTCTTACATTCAGTTTGCAAGCAAAAAGGATTTATAATGTTTTAAGATGTTTAACATCAAAATTAATTGAAAGAATTTCTTTATATTTTTTAAAAATTTGAGATACCTTTTTAATTTTAGAGAAATCGAATTGAAATTGAACAGAGAAACGTAGAGTTAATTTGAATTGCTGATCTTTGAATATTCTTAGAATATTATAGAATATTCTAAATTTTCCAAACGATACCATTTGAGTGTCAAAGTTTATTAAGTAATTCTTTTATGGAAAAGATTTCAACGTCTATTGTAGTGGTATTTTAGGGATATTGGTGGTATTTTTTTTAGTGGTATTTAGAAATTTCAAGGTCTATTCTAGTAGGCTATTTTACCATGGATTGAACTCTGTCTCTTGGTATTATACAACAAGGCCAATTCTCCAAAAGCGACGCCAGGGCCAAAGCTTCCGTAATACGTGTTACCTACGTAAATTTCGAAGGTTCCCTCTTCCGAAACGTACAAATGGGATCCTATCGCAATGGACAATTTGTATTTCGTTGTTGATTAATATGTCGTTCATTTCGAAAGATAATCACTCACCAGTTTCACCTTCGCGAATGACCCGTGTGTTGACTTTTACTTCTTCTGGGTACATTATCGAAATAAATTTCTCTATTCGCGACTCATCGAGATCTTCGAGGAACTTGTTGCTTAAAATCGCGTTCTTTATCAGTTTTTTCGTCCTACAAGTGACACGAAACGTGAATTTATTGCAGTTAGCAGGGATCGAGTCCATTATGTATTTACGAATCTATATGTGTAATATTTGATTTTAATTGTAATAATCAGGGAAAATTCTAACAATAAAGATAAATTGTAAGAATGATAAATAAAAGTTACAGGACGACATGTTTTGTTTAGTCAAAAATCTCTGACTTTTATGAGATACATCCCTATTCAGTATTCAAGTCTACTTAAAAATATAATTACTTATGAAACGTTCGAAGTTATCCTGCTTAGATTCAAGTATCATTGAAAATACGAATGTTTCAATGATTGAATTCAATGATTAAAGATTCGAACCTACTCGTGAGGTACTCGATCCCATGTATTCGATAATAGTTAGAAATTACTGGCGAAAGAATAGTTTAAAATTGCTAATTCACTTTTCATCTTTCTTGAAAACGGGGATCGGTGTACTGGTGGACACGTTTATTTCGCCGATGACACCGTGTTTCCTTTGCTGGGACAACTGTCGATAATAAGCGTCAAAGTTTCGTTGATTGAACTCTTGTTCATTGAAATTCTGTCGGGTACTTCTTTTCAAGCACAGAAAATGCATCTTCCTGTTTCTCTTTCACACTCGAGTGGTAAAATTTTGCTTCAACGTAACTTTCAATTGTAGTTCACTTGATGCGATTGTATAAGATAGAAACTTTATTATGTCGTTTAGAGTGTGTTTTCTGGGATGGATGGCAATTTACGAATCAAAGTTCAAATAATCACAGATCGATTGTTCGTACTTGAGCGTTTAACGCACAAATGGTTGAAAATCAACTAGTATTTAGATAATTCATTAAGTTGGTTAAAATTGATCTTATCTTGCGTGAATGCCACGATAATCTGTCAGTATAACCATTTGTTCGATAAATGCAGTGATATCGAAAGTATCTATCTAATGAATAGATTTTTTCCGAGTGTTCATTATCAGCATTTTTTCTTGGCAAAGTCACTTCATGACACGACAATGCTTATGTTAATGCAATACAATATGTCATTTTTATTAATTCCAGATATCATTTGTAATTATATAATGTGTCATCGCCATTAAGACAATCGTGAAAACTCGGAAAAAAGTAATTTTATTGAGGAAGATCATAAACTACAATATATAAATAAACTATATCCTGTATCGCACTCTGTACATGTACGTAATCTAGTAAAATTTCATCAGAAATGATTAACACGACATTTTAACAATTCATGTATAAATTTATTGTTAATTGGTAACGTTAAAGTTATTATGATTACAATTATTGTCGATCGCAGAGTATCATTTTATTACTTACTAATTCTTGATAAGTTGTTAATTAATTAGAGTTTAATCAGAAGATACAAAATTAGTTAGTTTGGATATATCAGTGTTTCGAATATAACAGGTATAAAGAAATTATTGGTCTGCAGTGTACAAGTCGATTAGAGATAATGATAATTATTTCGCTATCAATACACTTTTATTCGATGTTCCTTCATTAACAACATTTGTTCTTTGTCCTTGTTCCCTTTTTCTATAATTTCACGATTCTTATCATTCGATTGATGGACAAATTATGTACGCGTGGACAAGTTGACTGTCGCGTGGTTTTTCTTTTCTCTTTAGAAGCTCGCGTCCCATCCAGAGAACTCGTCTGGTGGAACATTACGGTCTGGCGGGTATCTCTCGAAATTCCTCGTGTCGATCTGACTTCGTACCTGGGATTTTATTGAAACAGAACAAACTAGTAAGTTTGCTTAGCGATTGAGATAATTTTTAGATAATAGGAAATTTAAAAGGGATTTTACGTACTGTTGGAACGATCGGCGCTGGCAAAGTTAATCTTTGCAAGGCATGCCAATTAAATCCGTTGAACCATCTATGAGAAAGAATATTATTTTGTTAGAAAGAATTGAAAAAAGACAATTTAAATAATTTTTTGAAATTCTGAACAAATTCTTTGATAGGCATTATTCCAAGTTATTTAATAAACTTACTTGTGGTCTCGAATGTCCTGGATGCCATTTCTTTGATACCCAAGACGTTCAGAGGGACTTAGGCGAAGAAGTTTCTTGATGAGACTACTGGCGTTTCTGCTAGTGGAATTAGGTATTCCAACTACCTCAATACCCTTTAAAATCTTGTTATAAATTGACATGTGGTCGGAACCTCGAAATGGTGGTTTACCAATGAGCAGCTCATGAGTTAAAATCCCGAGTGCCCAGTAATCTACCGCTCTTTAAATAAATTAATCTTAGGTTCATCATGTTTCTCAACTCAATTCAGTATATTTTTTTTCTTTTGCTAAACATTTTATAATTATCTTCTAGAATGTTTTACATTTATTTATTATTTTTATAAAATATTACTATTTAATATTTCATATTTATTATTCTGTTACTTATTTATCTTCTATTCTTTCGTTTACTATTCACAATTTTTTATAAATCGTTACTATTTAATTTTTTTTACATTTATCATATTAAATTATTTACCTATCGTGCCCCTTGTTTAAAATAATTTCTGGCGCCACATACTCAGGTGTACCAGCGAAGGTCCACGTCTTGGATGGTCCAATCTTTTTACTGAAACCGAAGTCAACCTAGAAAAAGTTTACAGGGTTACGTTTCATTTGCTCTTCTGTGAAACAGAATCAAGTTACTGAGTATCAACTTTCTTCAAGTTGTTTCTGCTGATTGAACTTACTAGTTTCAAGTATCCACGTGTATCGAGCATAAGATTCTCTGGTTTTAAATCACGATAAACAATGTTCATCGAGTGAAGGTGATCGAGTGCTTCCACCACGCATCCTACCATGAATTGTGCAGTTGAGTCATCGAAGTATCTTCTCCTTTGAAGGGTTGTCCATACGTCTCCGCCTAGGCACACTTCCATCAGGAAGTACACATATTTGCTATCTTTGTACGTCTGATAGAGTCTAAATAAAAAAGAAGTATATAAATTTATATTTTTATTTTAGCAAAGATCTGTATTTCGTCCACTAAATACTATAAATTAGATAAATTAATATTTTAATATTTTAAATATCATGGTGTTATATTAGGATGTTACAGAATTACAATTTATAAATTACATTAAAAGAAATTAATATGGATTAAGTATAAATGAAATGTGAACAATATAAAATAAACATTACAAAACTATACCTTTAGATCTATAATATAGACATCTATTTTATTAACATAGATTCTTTTTAATACTAACTTGCATATAAACGGAGAATCACAGGCTTGCATAATGTGTTTTTCATTCAACACGTGTTCCTGCTGTTGTTGTTCGACCATTACCTTCTTCTTCAGCTTCTTCAGAGCAAAACTCTTTTCAGAGTCTGACTTTAGAACGACCAATTCCACTCTGCCAAATCCACCAACTCCTAAGGTACCTTTGGTCTCTAAATCGGCCAAAGTGACGTTTGAGTACTCATTAGTCCATTTCTTTAATGTCAGGGATTGTTTCTGTTTTTCGTACTCCTGCAGCCAGTCTTTATTGCGAATTTCGTCGAGACCACCTAAATAATTCAGGAAGGATCTGAAATTTCATTTTGATCACTTTATTAATCACTTATAATATATTGTTACTTTTATGGCACGAAATTTTCGTTTAAAAGAAAAACCGAATTCTAATTTTATTTTAATACTTAATTCAAGATTAAGAAAAATGTAAATATTTCAATACTTTATATCCGACACGATGTAACAAATTATAATAAGACATAAGAAGATTGAAGAAAAGAAAATCGCAAGGCAAATTAATTCAATTTTATTAATTAAATAAATTTAATTTCTTATCATTATTGATAACTTACTGTCGATCCAATGTTAAACACTCGACACCAGGTGCCAGTGCAATGGCATTAGCATGTCGTCGATTTTCACCGATATCATCGTAAAGAGCTTTTTCTCCGAAGTATTGACCCTTCCCAAGGACCACTAGTTCTTCTTCGCCACCATCTGGAGTGTCTTTCGTTATCCTAACATTTCCACCGCTGATTATGTAAAATTTATCGCCTTTCTCTCCTTGTTTAACTATTTTCGCTCCAGCTGGATAAAATTCCTATTGAAAAAAGGATGAGTTACTGCAGTCGATTGGTTATTAGTAGACTCTGAATATTTATGAAATTTCATATTTTTATCAACGCAAGTGGAATTTAAATAGATATTTGTTTCATCTGCTAAATGCTATAGTGAAAAGTAAACTAAATAGAGAGACTTGTTTCATTTACTTAATATTATTTATATCGATTGCTTATATTTTAGATATATTTTAGGTACGTTTTTGCAATATTTTAGATACTTTTGTATATTAAAAATATAAGATGGAATCTAAACAGAGATTTGTTTAAATGTTATTGTCATCGTTTTACTTTGAATGTTTTAGATATTTTTGCATATGGTGTATATTTTGTAAATTTTTACACTTTAAAATTTCCTGTAATACATAAACATTCGCAGTTTACATCATGTACTTACCACGCGGATAAGATCAGAGATTTTAGCAAGCACATGATCCTTCGGCTCCGGTAATTTTTGTAGGACAGAAACTCGTTGAAGGAATCGAACGTTCCCTTCCAGCCTCTCCTGAGCTGTTTTCATCATCACAGTGAGAAACACGGATCGGTCGAGCACCCATACTTTTCCACCCTTTTTCACTAAAAGTTAAGCACAGCTTCTTTCAATAGAAAGTATAGTCATTAATCATTCTACAATTATAATTTGTAGTAATTTACCGCTGATAGATCGAAGTCTTTTGGTATTGTACAATAAAGCAATCTCGCCGAAGGCGACACCAGGACCAAAGCTTCTTTGAAACTTGTTACCCTGATAAATATCGAATTCTCCCTCTGCTGATACGTATAGATGTGATCCTAAATTAAATATTTAATTTTTGACGAAGATTTTCACCGCACTTTTACTTTTGTAATATAATATTTTATAAAAATGAGATATTCCGTCTTATTTAGGCAAAACAGACGAAAAGATTTCACGCGTTAATGTAGAAAAACGAAGATCATAACTTTACCTATGTCTCCCTCTCGAATCACCAAAGTATTAGGTGGTATTTGTTTCGAGTACATAGCAGAAACCAGCGCTTCCACCTGATTTTCTTCGAGATTACCAAGGAATTCGTTTTCCAAAATAGCCCTTGTAATCTGTCGTCTACTCCTACGGGAGACAAAAAAAAATATATATATTTTTAATACTTTTGTTAGAAGGAATACTCCTGTACAAGACAAATGTATATTTATGTTATTATTATATTTAATTATTATTTGCAATCTCTTTGAACGATTTCTCCAATCATTCTTTTCTTTCTCCTTTTCAGAAATTTACTTTTGGTCTTTCTCGTAAATCGGAGTTGGTGCAGAGGGTGGTGTTGGAGTTCTACCGATAACACCGCCTCTGGGATTTGCGGGCTGGTCAGAACCGTCCGAACTTCTGGCAGCCTCTTCTTCGTTCTCATGGTGCGTTGGAAGATGATTGTCATTTTGTCGAGGTGGTAATGGTGCCTTGCTTTTCCCGCTGGAGTGTACAGGTGGGCCGATACCATTAGATATCACCGCAGCACCAGGTAAGGATCGTATCTGCATGAGAGTTAAAATATTCATTCTCTCCGATTTATTCATTTGATTGTTAATTCTTCCTATCATATTTTCATTATAATGAATTTTTGTTATACATAACAAATGTTTTGACAAAATATTAAATATTGGTATATTTACTCAAAAATTTTTGAACTTTTCCATATAGTTTTTTCATATCATTGATTTTTATGAGATTTGGATCTGTTAATTGGTATCTACTAATTTAAATTACTACGTATTGGATTCAATTAATAAAGATTGGTTTGATAATATTAATATTGATAATTGATAAAAAATTTAAGATACGCAAAAGTTTCTACATGGTTTTTATATCACTGATTATGAAATTTATTCTTTCAATTATTGTAATAATTGGCTAATGTTATTATATATATTATTCTGTCCAATTAATATTTTTTTCTATAAAAAAAATTTGTTGAAAATAGATAATTATTTTACGAATTATTACATCTTTTTACGTAGTTCCTACAAATATCTTAGAAACCATATGGAAAAATTCAACAACTTTTGTATAAACGTAATCTTCGATAGTTTGTCAAAATATTCACAACCAAATATTTATTGGATAAAGAATTCAACGCAAGTAGTTACGTATTTAAAAATCTCTGCACCATTTGAAAAATATTTTTGTCTCATTGACTCCTTCGGGAATGTTACTCGTCATCGTTTTAATTACCATCTCGTTACTCGTCATCTTAATTAGCGTCAGTAAACTCGCGAAACGACGTATCCTGTTTAATTAGAATAATACTTTCAAATACTCACCACACCATGACTCAGATCTGGTTCACCAGCTTGCTTGTAGCTCGTTACCACCGGGCTTTTCGCGTTTCCATTCTACGAATAGATGCAAAGAATCAACAAAACATTTATAATATATAACGACATAAAACGACAGTATTCATCGTTGAAAATGTTTGCTTACTATGCTCGCGTTGTTCACATTGTTCGACTCGTTGTTCCCTGACAAAGAGGCAAGATTGATGCTGCCTCTCTGTCCCAGGATACTTGGTCTCGGGAAGCACGAGAACCTCATCATACGTTCTTCGTCCAAACCATGACGAAAGCACACTCTCTTGACTCCTGAAAACCAAATATATTTACCTTCTAAATATTTCGCGGCGAAGTGATTCCCGCGAGCAAATATTTTCTTGAAGATTGACTCGTTGATCGAGAGAGTTGTTTTATCTGGTTCCAATTCCTCCGGTGACGTTAATTAAGATAATGTCATTTATCGTTTCCGTGAACGCTGTTTAAAAGCAACTTGCTTTATTATATTGTGTTCTCGATTAGAAAAATCGTCGTATCGTGAATATTTTTTAACGAGTGATGGAACAGCGTTTCCACGTTTTAATTTATTGAAGGCCAGTGTGCACAGTCGTCTCAAGTATGTAACAACTATTAAATATGGTTGCGCTGAATCTTAAGATTTATTAACACGATAGATAATTGATTATTTAAATATTTATTAATATTTTAAATACTTCTTACACTTGCATTAAATATTTCGCAGTTTCTACATATTTTTATATTTCAAACCCGACTGACAGTTGGACACTCATTAAAATATTAATAAAATTTTGAAATATATATAATATTATAATATAGATATATTCCTAAAAAAAATTCCTGTGAATGTTCAAACATTTTCGCGAGTATGTGAATTCAACAGAATTCAATAACATAAGCTAGCTAGAAAAAAATCACAAGGTCCCCAATGAGTTAAGTGACAAGCTTACCAAATATAATAACAGCGTTCAAGTTGAAAATTCACCACTGATAGTCGCGATTTATATACATATATTTTTTCTATTATTAAGGATTTTTCCTTTGAGGATTTTTCCTAGTTGAGATCGACTGTCGAGATCGTCGACTCGCGTAAAAGCCACTGTCACACAAAAAGTTCTTACGCGAGACGATCGCGAGCACGTGGCTCGCTTCACGTACTTATGCTAATGATCTTTGATGCACGATACATATTCTACACTGACGTCATGATATATTAACACGTTCTGATGATGTGGATATTCTCGTTCGACGGATGTTTTTCGTTGCTGGAAAAAATTTTTGCATTGACACCGATTTGACTTATTGCTGTCTCGAAACACGATGTTTTATCGTATTCAATCTTCGAGTTTCTAGTACAAAAGTTATTCAACTTTTTCGTAAATTCTGTTGTGTAATTCAGTTTGATTAATTAGTTCATTGTACGAGTAATCGTTGACTCGGAGAGATATTAATTGGAGCTTAATAAAATTTGGATCGTTATGTTATCTATGTTATAACGATGTCACGATGCTCATCTTCGTAAATTAGAGCTTGGTCAGCGAAAAGTATGTACATCTCTGAAAAATTGTACGAGCTCGTTTACAACTTTAAATAAAACAAATATTCTCCAATTTTTGAAGAATGGGTAGTAAATTAATAGAAATATTCATTTGTTAATCATCTGATTATTGTAATTGAAGAATCCTTGCTGAGACTACAAGTTTGAAAATTTGAAAAATTTTGTTGCTTCGTCGAAAAATATTTTTCGTGTTAATAGGAGTACTTTGGTATACGATGTAAGTGGAATTTTCTTTTATTATCACCAAGAGTATAAAAAATATAGAAACTATAGAAAACACTGTAAATTACGAAATGTGAAATCCAGAATGATATATTTAAATACCTTTATAACGCATCTTATTTGAAAATAAAAACAGTATATATCAAAGACGTAGATCTAATGCATAAGAAATAGAAATTTTTAATTCACTCATTCAGGTTGTTCTCTCAGTGACATTTAGCAATAGAAAAGATCAAGATCTGCAAATAATTAGAAGTTAGATAAGAAGAAGACAAGAAGTTTTTCCTTCTTTCCCAAAAAATTTAGTTTTCAACACTATTTAGTTTTACACTATGGTTTCTACAATTGCTTCTCAGCTATATAATTAATTGATTGTCGAATTGCCAGAAAATTAATGAAGTAAAATGAAGTAGAATGATGATTGTTATCGAAACGATAACGTAGTCCCGTTGCAGAGAGTAGTCGGTTTGTAGTATATTAAGAGAACGATAAGGGTATTTGATTAGTCATACCAGGATCTGGCCGAATGTTATTTACGCCGTGTTTGCCGAGCACGTGCTTGTACATCCCTGTTGGTTGTCATACTTTCAATAATCTCGGTCGTTTAAAGAAGGAGAAAAACATAAAGAAATATTTGATTCGTCATTCTTATATAAGATTATATAAATGGACATGTGAACTTTCCTGGCTTACTGATTCAAATCAGATCTTATTACTTATTCATTTTTATCCAAGACACATTGACAAGACATCTCTGTTTAGTCCTTCAGTTTTTTAAAACTAATTACGATCTATTGGTACGAAATGGTATGCATTTCTTCAAAAACTTGGAATTTGCAAGAATGCAATGCATATAATAGGCAAATATATAAATTTAAAAATGCTCTTTAAAAACTTGAAGATGCTAGCCAATTTGTATGCTTTTTTTGTCTTTTCTTAATTTGTATTTGATTATTATTAATTAGAGACGAGTGGAATAATTAATTATTCATATTGAGTAATTATGTAAATGTTCCTAATTTTATTTTCTGCTCTTCGTTTCTTCGAATCTAATATTAATTTAGAATATAAAATATATTATTGGGCCTTAGTTCGTATAACATAAAAAGATCTAAAGTATAGTAATTTTTATAATATTCACTACGTAAAATGGTTTTCCACAGAGCCTTTTTGCCTTTTATCTATCAATCTTCAAAACGACAAAAAAGTTAATTAAACACAATATGAATCTCATGATCTATCAGTGATATTTATTTTGAAAAAACTTATCAATTCATAAAAGTTCTTACATTATACAATTCAAGTCAAAACTATCAAGTCAGGAAACTTAATTTATTTGTCTTAAAATTTATTTTCAAACTTAGTAGCTTTTTGCACAACTTGGCTCAATTTATAATAGAGATTACTGATTTATAAGATTAAATTACAAATTCCGCAATTAGGTAATTAAATCTTCAATTGCCATGGGTTATCCCAACGAGTTAATCACACTCTCCAAATTGAATTGTGAATTCCTGAATAAAAATTCGCAGTCAAATGATAAATGATCAGTAATATTTTTACAATTTGGTTGTACACTGATCAACAGAAGTCACGTGTTTAACTACAGGAAAGACGTCAATCTTCGTGACAGCCTCAATTGCTAGTGAATTTCGCTTCGCATCGACTTCCTCGTCATAAATCAAAACGAGATTAAGCCGTCCAGTTAGCGACTCGCCTCGCAGAGATCGGCATAAGAAGCGGGGAAACAAAGCGAAGCGAAAGAGATTATCATCGAAAGTTGGTTGGGCTCGAGCTCACGCGAGTGTTCCTCGCATCACGAAACGACTGTCAGGCCAGTGAAAAACTAGAAAAATCGTTGTTTTCCGCCGTAGATTCTATCGACAGTTGAAAAACATAATCGTGCCAATGACTAAATATTTCGTGTAAATTATTCTTCATTGTGGTCAATATTGAGACATACGAAAACACATTGCGCAACTAATGTTGATTTAAACAATTTTCGGAAGTCGTGAATATTTATCATTTGTCTGTAACAAGGAATATTCATTGAAGAGCATAATTGAATCAATAACGATGAAAAATTGTCGACATTTTATTCTTGTCATAACTTTAAAAGAAATTATGTAACGATCCGCTTGATTTCGTTTTAAAAGCTTTTATTTTTACAGTCCTAGACCATTTTTTTAACAATGTTTTTACATCATGTGGAACGCAGACGATAGGAAAGTAGGAATAATTTTATTCTCGAAAATTCTGAGAATTCAAACGTCTTTGAAAACATATACATTGAAAAACTATATCCGTCGCAATCTTGAAGATTGAAGTCTTCTCTCTAAAATTTGAAATTTAAAATTTTTGATTCAGGTCGCTTATTGATGCCTTAATATTGAAAGTTCAATAAAATAGTAAAAAATAGTAAAAGAAATATCGTGCGGCAGGTTTCAAAGGATCGTTGCGTAGAGAAAAATTTCAATTTTCGAGACGATGGTGAATCTAGTCACGAAAAATGATCTCTCAGTGTTTTCAGAGACGTTCGAATTTTACAAAACCTGCAGTTAGTGCCTCAGTTATGCTCTTCGCTGTAATTGCGTCACATTCGTTTCGCCAGGCGTTTCCTGGCTCGTTAGAGGTTGCGTTATTAACTATCGAAGAAGCGGTCGAAGTTGTTTGTCGTATTTTTCTTTTGCTCTTTTTCCTCTCCGCCATTCTTTCCCTTTTTCTGTCTCCTTGTGTCTATTCTCTCTCCTCTTCTTTTTGTTTTTTGTACGTAATTACGAGGACGTTTCACTGCAAACACGTGCACGCAAGCGTTTCGCAATGTTTCCTTGCACAATGCACGAACGAATGTCACTCGTTAAACGCGTGGAATGAGGAGCACGATGATCGAGATCTAACCAGTTGACGAGGAAAATGTCGGAGATATTTCTTATTCTTCTGCGTTATTATTCTGTCACGATCATGGAAGATTAACGTCTTTTATGTCTGAACATCTGAGGACGTTTGTTGGAATTGTAAATGATCCGCAGCTTTTTCTAAGTTCTTGTTTATTAAAAGTCAGACGATAATAACATGTTACGCGTAGAACGCGGAATTTTTACGTAAATTTACACTCTTGAGAATATAATTGATTCTTAACACATAGGCCATTGAGGATCAATGTAACAATTCAAGACTCAATTATTTAATTTTGGAATTTATAATTTAATTTAGTTTAGCTTTATTACTAATCTCTGTATCACGAAGAATATCGATCATTCCAAATTTCAGCAATTTAATATAAATTACTTGTTACGATCGATGATATCATTTAAAGGTTAACAAAACAGAAGCCTGGTAGAGAAAATCATTTTACATACATCTACAAATTTTTTGATAAAATCAAAAAAAATCACTGGGTCAGTGAATTATTAATAAAACTTAAACGGGATAGAGATTTATTGTCTATCAAACATGAAGTAAATCTGCGAATTTTTTGAAACTATAATTAAAAAAATAGGAGCCCGAGGAAATTCCTTTACATTTATACTACATTTTAGATACTCTTTTATATATATATATATTTCCATATTTTATTCTGTGCGATTTTAAACTGGAAAAAATTTCCTACAAATACATAAAAATCTGCAGTCTAGTCATGTGTGTAACGTAACGTAATGTTATAATGGATAATCATTGACTGTTCACATTAGTGAATGATAGAATAGCTGATGCTAATATTGGTAGAAATGAGTAAATAACAGTGGAACAAAATGTGCTAATAATACCGGCTGGATTTCGTGACACTGGAAACGTACAGAACAATATTTTTAAGTACATTACTATTTTAGTCTTTATCGGTATCAATACATGTCTGTTTTTCATTTTTTTTTCATTTCAAACTAATTACATTCTCGTTATTATGTCAGACGATTTTTCCACTACCACTAGTAGATAATTGCAACAGAATACTTGCAAATTATCTACATTTCATTTGACAAGCAAATAATTAAATAATTTATAGAAAAATCATTTGCTCAAATATGTTCAAATAAATTAACTGAAGCAAAATTACTTCAAAATAATATCGAGTTAAAATTAGATGATATATTATTCATTTTTCATGAATCATTTTTCAAGCATTTTATTCGAATAATAAGCCTGATTCGTAATTAGTTTCACTGGTACTTTAATACTTCTATGTTTCGTTCATCGGTCACGAACAAATCTACGTGCCTATCTCATAATTGAAGAGGTTCGCATTAACAAAACACCGTTGAAACCGAGCACCGTTTTAATTACGTTCCGCGTTTAATCAACCACAGCGACAAGCGCAATTAACTCGAGCATAATCATGTATCGCGCACGTAATCGTGAATATATAATATATTCTCTTTTTTTTTCTAAAACGTCATCCGTGATTTGGTCTCTTGCTCTTCGTTAAATATTCCTTTTGACATTTTCATCTTTATCGTCATTATCGTATTCGAGTTTCATTTAATCTGTTAACGTTGCGATAACATGACACTTCATTTGCAATTTTTTTTTTACATTAATTTATGTTATTAAATTCTACGAAAAGAAATTCATAGGATTCACTTAATAATGTTTTATCGTTGTGTCTTCCAGTTAGATTCTCTAACTGTGATGAAATTTAAAGAAACAATTGAAGTATTTTTTATTAAGTTATGATAAATTATTAATAAGTCCTTATATATTATTATATTATATTATTATATTATAATCCTTACATAGAGAATAATTATGATAAATTATTAATAAATCCTTAATAGGTTAATGGTGGTTATTTACTCCAATTTCAGATGCAGCACAATTGAAAATGTTACAAATAAATCATTTAGTATTTTCGCGAAATCTTCGAAAGTATTAATTTATTTCTTAAAGAAAATGTAATAGGGAGCATTTTAGAATTTTCAAAATGTGTGGACATATAGATATTACATATTCCAGCTTCCAAATTATACATGATGTTGCAGAGGGTTAGTCCATTAAGTATTTCTATCGAAGTATTTATAATATTATGATAATATCATGATTATTAATTATTTTATGTTGTAATTATTATAATATTATAAATGATCTATCTCAATATTACAATAAAAAATAATTAATAATTATAATATTATCATAATATTTATAATATCATAATATGATATAATGAACTTTGTAATATCCTGATAATATTATAATATTATGATAATTAATGGTCCAAAATTCTTTAGTTATCCTGTTTGTTCTGTGATGATTTTATTATCATCGAATATGCACGCATCATATACTGGAAACTATATATAGGATGATTCGAAGTTTTTCTCCCATTCGATTAATAAATCTCAAACCGACTGCTCTGATTACTGACCAACTGATTACTCTCCGATCATCACAATTTCTGCCTATTCTAATCCGAAAATGATATTCTATGTGCATAATCGTGCAACGAAATTTTATTACATAACGCGCAGTATTTATTTCCCGCGTCACGACATTATGCCAGGCAGAAATGCGTAAACCTTATCTGTTATCCGATGTTGCTTGCTCATTGCTCATTAAACTGCTTATAATTGGCTCAACAGACATTAATCGAGTCGATTTTATCTTACGAATGTGATGTTGTTCCCTTTGATCGATTAGATTTGTCCACCAATTGTCGAACAGACTACATAATCCTTTGCTCTTACAAAGAATACATTTTCATCGCATCGGGATCTTTGTTCTTGTGAAATGAAACTCGTCGAGTTTCGTGTTTGTAACGTGGAAACTCACCTTTCGGTTCTAGCGTGGAGGACGTGATCGAGGAACGAGGAAACCTGCCGAGGAAACGAATAACCTCGCGAGGTGGCTTCGCTCGGTTGGTTTGCTAGATGTAGATTTCCGACGCGTCGGGCAACGAAATTGATGATTTTTCGAAGGAACGACGAGGTTCACTCGGCAAATTCGCACGTAATACTGACGCCTCAAGTTCGACAAAGACGTAGAAATCTTATCTAGCCGATAACAAAGAGACGCAGTGTCAACAGACAGGTACATACGCGGTCGTGTCTTATCTAACGAGTCCTATTCTCTTTTTGTTAATAAGGTCGGCGTGCCCGTTTCTTTCTTTCGGGCAAAGAGCACAGGACTTTGTAATCGTGTTTGAAATCCTGCGGGGCAGGTCGGTCTTTTGGTTCGTTTTTTTGTTAATATTTCTGGTGTCATTGATCTCACGATAATTATTATCTAACTCTAATTTCAGATTCTATTTCATTTTAATTTCTATTTTGCATGATCATTGAATACGAATGAATACGTACATTATTTAAAAGTAAATCTTTAAATTCTACTAAATTCCACTATGAATCATCACAATTCTAATTATACTGATCAGCGGTTAACATTCGGGCATCGTTATATTGCTCTTGTTAATTGTTTTTTTTAAATATATTCATTAATTGTATCTTCACATTAATGTTACAATTTATGCTTTTAAGAAGATTTTCTTTTAATTCTTAATTACTTTGCCGCGATTTTCTACAACCGTGTGTCTGAAAACAAACCATTTCCTTACATTCCGCCCCCTTATCGTTAAAATGATCTTTTATCGCTCAGCCCTTATCACCTCTCATCCATCGAACGTTCTCTCTTTTCCACATTTTTCGCTTTTTTACGTGTAACGAGCCAACTGTTTCGACAAGATCTCCTCCTCTAATCGTTCGAAGCTTAATAAAATGACGATAGAAAATTGTACAGCAACTTTTAAGGGATTGTTGTAAAGAGGAAACTTCGACGTTGAAGAGCATGGTCGATTTGATCATTAAAAAAATTTTTCAGTGACGTTTGAATTTGTACAATTTTCGAGACAGAAGGTATCCATATTCTCCTATCTGCCGCACGATGTAAGAACATTTTTGAAAAGGACGAACTTAGAGGTGTCGAAGTAGAGATTCCACGATTTGAAATGAGACCAACTGAACTGTTGTGCGATTTTCTTTCACGAAGTTATTACAATTTTTCGTCGAGTGTGCAAATATTTCTTCAATTTCGTTGTTCACGAAAATTTATATTCTCCACGATGAGAAATGACAGAAATGAAACCCGTCTGTAAAGCGTCTGACAGTCAACTTAAAAACTTACGGCAACCCTTCAACGATGAATCATCGGCCAGGTAAAAGCTTTCGTGCTCCATTTCTCCCGCGAGCTCGACGTAACAACAATTACAGATATCCGGTGCCTATCGAGCAAGCGAAACGTGATCGTCAACACGAATTTCACGGACTCACATGAACGAGGAATGCTCCGTCTCTCCGAATCTAATCTCGACAGGAGAGCTCGTTGCACGATTCTACCAACAAACGTATAAACAAACGTAATCGAGCTAAAATACTCACGTATCTTTGAATGTACGCCTGGATTCCTTGATCGGCTTGTTCTCTCGAAAGGATTCACGAAACTACGGGGAACGAGTTGCACGAGCCACTTTCGATGTTCATTGTCCGTTACCAGCCGCGATCGATTATTCAAGGATAATTAGAGAGCACGAGAGACTGTCAGTAGGCGAACGTGCGCTTTCATTTTCCTCGTTCAAACTTCAGTTCGTCAAATGTCGAGAGATCGAGTCTCTGTTATTGAATTCGTGAAATAACAAAACATTCGAACGCGTGAATTTGACTTGGCATCGAAAGAGTGCGAGGATGAGGAGGAGGTGTCAAACGTTCCACTTTTCCAAACTTTGAGAAAAATTATCGAAGTTGAGTGTTAAAACTTTTAGATAGAATAATAAACTTCCAAGATTGAGATATCGAGTGTTCGTCACTGGATCTGAGAAACATTAAAATTCTTAGCAGAGTATTCAAGTTGAAAGCGCGTGTGAAAATAAGACCAAGCAAAGGGGAGTCGGATGAAACATTAAATCCGAAGAGTATCAAAAGTTTTTGGTAGAACGAAAGAAAAGTAAAAAGTATAAAACAAAAGTGTCGAAAGAGTACAAGTAAAAGCGGAAGGATGTGGACTCGATGGACTTTCGCTTGCGAACCCGCGGTGTTATCGACAGGCCGGTCTCAATGCCACTGGTTGGAAAACACGCGCTCGTTTTCCATCGTCGGCAAACAGTGGGGATATTGGCAATTATTATATCTTTACGTGACATACGTATACCAGCCAGCGATTACGTATGCATTCGGCTACACATGGTTGTACGTGGCGCGACAACAGACAACGCTGAGAACGCTCCGTGAAAGTAGATTTCTATTAATTCTGATTAGGAGACGTATCGCGTTGATACGGGCATGGTCGCGGATCCAGCAAGTTAATCGACTTGAGATTACTCTTTTCTCTTGCTGATTGATGTTTGTGTGTAGAGCGGACGATGATAAGAATGTCGTGTGACCGAGAAACCGGGGACTTTTTTGGAGTGGTAGTAAAAGTGTATACTTGGAATTATTTTTTTCATTAACCTCTATCTGGTGTCGTTCACTTCGTTTTGGAAGCTTGAATTTGATTTAATTCCGTTTTTGACTAATCTCTGCCAGAGGGTGTTACGAAGTAAAATTTAATACGAATCATTACGAATTATTTACAAATTAATGACGCTATTCGAGGGTTAATAACACCAATATTGTAAACTATTGATTAAAAGAGGATTTTGAATTTCTTCTTATTTGTTATTATCTTGTGTCTGTGATGTCTCGTTTGATTGATTTTTTCTCTTTCTTTATAATATGATATAATATTGTTAGTAAAATGTCGAGAATAATAATTATGCACGATCGTGCGACGAAATTATTTTCTTCTTGATGATATACAAATAAATAAGATACAAGTTAAAAGAGAAATAATATATATATATTTTTAAATATATTATTATTATTTAACAGTGAATTTTGATTTTTATATGCAAAACAGTTTCATTCTCTGTGAAACATGAATATCAAATGAAACGTGTCTCAGATCGATCAACGATCATTCGAACATACATATCTCTCTTTGTATTTGTAAAAAGTATTTCAAGAATTTCTTTTATCGCTACGATTCGTATCAAAAATAAATACTTTGCGATCAAACATGATACGTTCTTCCATTCCAGTCTTTCAAATCGTTTCTTTATCGTATCGTTCTTTCACGCGTCGTGTCTTTTTTCTCAACAATTGGTCACTTGATTCTCTTCGTTGGACTTCAACATATTCGCGAAGAATCCCTCTTGTCTTGTTAGATCTGCCGGTGATCCATCCTCGACGATTTTACCATCGTGGAACACGATCACTCGATCGCAGTCCAATAACGCCGATACACGATGCTGAAAAGAGAAAGAGATGCTAAAGGGAAGGAAAGATAATTGACAAGTGGTTACAAGCATTTTGCTTCGCGGAGAAAAAGAATGTTGGAGGGTTAGAGAGACAAAGTTACCGCGATAACAATCACTGTTCTGTTCTCGAAAGCAGTTGAAACTGCTTTCAAGAGACACTTCTCAGTGACAGCGTCTAGCGCACTGGTTGCTTCATCGAGAACGACGATCGAAGACTTCCGGAGGATCGCTCGCGCCATACAGAGCAGCTGCAGCTGACCGGAAGAGAAGTTTTCACCTCCTTCTTTCACCTCGAAATCTGTGTTTCAAAGAATTATACTCTTATTTTTCTTCTAAAATATTGTTAAAAATATGTTGGATCGTTATTTAAAACTTGGACAATTAAAATGCGGTTTAAAAACAAATTAAGGAGAATTGATCTTTGCGAATATCTTTTAGGATGTTGAAGCTGATCATTGGATTGTTTTTGAAATCTTTGATAATAGGAGATGTATTCAAACGATTCAGCCAATTATTATTTATTCCTAGGAAGTTGCAATAAAGTTATGACAATTGAAGCTGTAATAATAAGACTACCATAAATGCATAAACTTACGACAATACGATTGTTGGTTTTTAATTATTATTATTTTTATAATAAGAAAAAATTCAAATTTGAGATTTAAAAATTCACTTACTGAGACCTTCAGAGTGAGAAGCCACGATGTCCTTGATTTGCGCCACTTCCAAAGCATTCCACAGTTCTTGATCTTTGTGCATTGACAGAGGATCCAAATTTTCTCTATTAAATTAAATATAAATAATACGATATATTATTTATAAAATTTTATGCAATATATTATATATTACGCTTTCGAAAGACGCGTTTTTTAAATAATAAAACAATAGATAGAAAATACCTAATGGTACCACTGAACATGATCACATCCTGAGGGATTGCTGAAAGTTTCGAACGAAGAATTTCCAATGGAATTTGACGGACGTTCATCCCGTCGATCGATATACGCCCTTGAGTAATTTCCAGCAGTCGAAACAGCGCCATCGCTGTGGAAGACTTGCCGCTTCCGGTTCTGCCACAAATTCCAATCTACGAGAAATGTGTTTAGTAAAATCTAGAATTTAATTTGGTTTCTCGTAAATTTCTACCTTTTGACCTGCTGGAATTTTCAACGAGAGATTCGAGATCACTGGTTCTTTCTGTGAAACGTATCTTAGAGAAACATTTTCGAAAGTAATTTCGCCTTTAGTGGGCCAAGTGTCAGGTACATGACAAACTAGAAAATAATAACAATAATAATAATTTAATTGTAGTATTAATAGATCATGCGAAATATCATCTATTAAATAAAAATTCGTATGATTAAAATTAGAAATAGTTTATTACTGAATATTATTAAATGATGATTTAATATCATTCAATAACAATGAAAATATTATTAAGTTCTGTTTAAATTAAATATATAAAGTTATCTACATTATAAAAATATTGAGCAATATTAAAATTAATCAGTCAAACAATTAACCACAGTAATAAACAATTTGTAGTTTTAAAAAGTTTTATTTGCTATCTCATATGATCTTCTGTTGCTATTCAAATAATAAGATTAAACTGCGGTATACTGTAATATTTTATCAAATATATTTGATAAAATTAAATACAAATATACCAAAGAAGATACACATGAGAAAAGCAAAATGTTGCTTTATGTTGTATCATAGATTTTAATTAACTTTTTGCAACGAAATAACGAGAGAATGAGAAAAGGGATCAAAAGTACCATTTTGCTGATAGTTCTCAGCAGTGGCGTATCTGTAAGCAGAGATACGAGCAACGCTACCAAAATACATCTCGGTCTCCGCCGTGAACTTCACCACCCAATTTAAGTAAATTGGTACTAAGAGGGTGTAATTAATCGCCAGGCCAACTAGAGCAGGCGTAACACGATCTGGGTACAATTCTGCGGAAATTAAGGCAGCGAATGTCGCAGATCCAACTATCACTGCGCCCAGATAGTCCTGAAAAGTGTTTACGGTGTTAAAGATCATGAGCTGGCCAAGTTGAAAATTAATTTCAAAAGTTTTCTCACTAAAGCAATGCCGAGCCATCGACTACTGGAATTCAGAAGGAGGAACGCGTTCGTGTTGACATCGAGACATTTCATAGCTTGTTTCATGAAACGATTCTGTTGCTTGGAAGCACGTAACGTTGCTAGTCCGCAGAGTGTTTCAGAGAAATGCGTTGTGATGGGCCATCGGGTACTAGAAATGAATCAAATTAAATTAAAAGTGAAAAGTTTCTTGAGAGATTCGTAAACATTCGAGGAACATAACTGAACTACAATGTGTTCGAACTGCAAAAGTGGATTTGTATAAATCTTTTTACAATCGTAAGGATTATTTTATAATTATATTTTATATATGATAATATATAATATATAATTATTTAATCTTTTACTGTTGACATTAAGATACAAACGTTTTGTGCGCAAGTGAAACCAATGTAAAGAATTTCTTTATGTTGCGAGTCTTTTTTTTTCTAGTAAAAATGTATTCACTGATTCGATATTGCACAACATCAATTTCAGTAACATACTTAGAATTAATTTTCAACAAGTCACAAACAATACAAAAATGCCATACCTGCCGTCTAATCTTTGCAAATGTTTGGCACTGCGTCTGTAAAATCTTTGGACGAGATAGTAAGCTGCACACGTAGGTACAGCAGCGATGAAGAACCACGGTGATATAATAACATTTACTATCATTGCTGAACTGCACAGTAGGACGAAAAATGTCAGTCTTTGGATTGACATGGATATTTTCTACAGAAGAAAAAGAGAATCAATAAGAATAATTATAAATTGAGTAATCATCTATTTTGATTGTCAATTATTTCACCTTATCAATGACACCTGTATCGGCGCTGAATCTGTTCAAAATTTTTCCAACAGGATTACTATCGAAAAAAGACATCGGTACTCTAAGAAGTCTGGACACGGCCTCCTCGTGTAATTTTCTTCTTGCCCTGGCGCCTGTCCATTGGCCAGTCGCATTACACACGAAAGATAAGAGTATAAAGATAACGGAGAGAATTATGTAGACTTTAAAATAGAACACCGTCTGAAATAAAATAAGATTCTTATCTATTTGGTATTTCAGTAAAGGGTAAAGGGTGTTTCTACGCGCAAAAATTTAGAGACTAAAGTTTGTTTGTTAAACATCTAGTTTTCCAAGAACGTGTTCTGTTTCAAACAAACGGACTTCGAACGATTATTTCGAGGAAATGAATTTTGAATCCATTGTGTCTTACTAAGAATTGACCTGACCTTTTATTTTTTATATTTCTCATAAATAAATTATATCGACGACTATGCAAATTTAATTTTCTCGGACAATCCACTTCAATTACACTTAAGAAATATTCAAAGTTTGTCTTCTCAGAGACGAGACTTTTTTTTTTTAATGAAAAGAATTTTGTAAAAAGTCGACATTTTTAACTTATTGCCTTCTGAATAACCTTCTGTCGATTATTTTATTTCTATCTTGTCCTGAATTAATCTAATTCAATTACATTTAAGAGATATTCAAATTTAATTTTAACGCAATATCATACGTTCAGCTTCATTTTTGCATTCCTTTGTCAGTTTTACCATGAAAATTGGTACAACCCGGTATAGTTACATTTCGATTTTCTTGATTGAAGTTCACGTTGTCTTCGTCTGTCCACTGACTCAGCCAGAGATCGATGTAAACTCGAAGCGTTTGACAGAAAACTGCCACTCCTATATAAATTAGACCTGGTATCCAACCCCCTGCTTTAACGTAATCACAACAGATCATTCTCGTGATTATTCCACTTCTGTCTTCGTACTGAGATTTCTCTTCTCGTTCCTCCGTATCACAGTCATCTAAAGAAAAAAAAAAAAAAAAAAAAATGATCTCTTTATAATATCTTTTGAGACGTTCAATACAAAATTTTCTGACAACAACTTTTCCATACTTTGTTCAAACTTAAAGTGTTTTTTGAACGTTGAAAGAATGCAAGCCAATCGAAAATGGGAAGGGAAAACATAGTAGAATTAATAGTTATCTTTTAATAGAATCTTTTTTTATGATATTTACTAACTTCCTTCGATTTCATCGGATTCATTAGCCCCTCTGGATTCGATCGATAACAACGGTTTAAGGGGAAAACGATCGTTCTCCTGTTCTTGATTAGTTCTAAATGAACAAAAGCTCTGCATGAGAAAGATGTCCGTTGTTGCTTACGAGAAATAATATGAACTTATTCTTTTCGTACTTTCTGACAGCGAATTGTATCTGTCTGTTCGAGTTAGGGGATATCAATCTTCGTAGCACGCTTTTGTCTCTGTTTCCTGTCAGTTCGTCGGAATGCGTGTTGATGATACTACGGAAATTTTCGAACATAAAGCTCATTCGTTTAAAATTCGTTTAAAATTACAAACAACAAGGAACTTATGCATAGATGTTTCACTCACGCGCTAGAAAATATTTGCCTCAAAACGCTGCTTCGTTGTTCGTTGTCAAATGTGCTGTTCCTTTTTCTGAAATCGAATTTCGAATTTGGAAATTTGTCAAAGGAACGATGAATATTGATTCAACGATATTCTAATTGTCTAACTGCGGACTTTTATGCAACTTAAAAGTGAAGAACCCAGGCAGAGACTTATTTTAACATCTTCGCGTATCTTTTATATATTCTTGTGCCTATTTATAAAAAATTTTCCATAAGCATAAAAATCCGCAATCAGTAATCTGTGAATTACACACCTAGGAACAGCGTATTGACTCTCAAGGATTGTTGGAGTGCTGCTCTGTCGTAGAACAGGAGGTCGTTGTCGTTGAGGTTGAAGACTGGATGATCGGACAGCGTTTCGATGGCATTGAAATTTCCTTTTCCCTACGTTCCATTCCTCTGTGGGCACTGGCAGATCTGTTAGATCATGGGCTAAGTATCTGGATCCAGAAAGGGTAGCTCTTCTCATCCTTAATGGGACAAAATCCGGAGGATTCTGAGATGAAATCAAATTATTTGAAATAAATAGTAATTTAAGTTCATCAATTGGAGGGAAAAAAGAAAAGAATCAGACTGCACAATTTTAATGTAAATTCATTGAAATTTTCCGATAGAAAATTGTATTTATTTTTACGTTATATACTAGTTTATGTGTATATTTATTTTTATTTATTCATATATTTCCTAATAGTTCATATATATATATAATTCTGTACTTTAAAATTCCATATAAATATAACTTGTTAATTGAAAAGTTTACCACATGGGCGTCTTGATCCGTGATCCACGATCCATCACTAAGTTGTTTGTTCCTTGCGCTGATTCTGGACACTAATTTGATCAATGTCCATCTGTCTTTGGCAGTTCTATGAGCACGGTATTCTTCGTCTTGATTTATCGCTGTTTTCCTCCATTCGATCGCTAATTCTGGATCAGCGTCTTCGATCGTCGATTTCGTTCCTACTGCTCGAACACGACACCCATCCATGACGACGACCTGAACCATATCTATGATTAACAGCTGCACAATCAACAGTTTATACTTCCTACATCTATATATATATATTTTTTTTTTTAAATAATTATCTTCACACGAGCTGAAACTTTCATACTTTTATTATTGTATTAGTTATTGTTTCGAGTAGTGTAAAAGCAAGTACTATACTTGATGAGCGGTGGACAACAATTCCAATCGATGAGTAATCATAATCACAGTACGTCCACTTCTGAGCAGCAATTTTCGGACTCCTTGATCGAATACCTGTTGTCCAACTTGATGATCCAACGCAGACAATGGATCATCCTAGAAACATTGATAATCAATTTAAATTAAACTATTTCAATTCACTATTCTTTGTTAAGAATATAATATAGGATGAAGGAAGAATTTTTCTTTCTTAAAAAAAAAAAAAAAACAGAAGAACTTCTTTGCATTATTATTTTTCATTAATTTAAATTCAACTAAAATTATTTGTTTATTAGTTCAAATTTATTTTTATTAGTTTTTTATTTTTTTTATTTTTATTAGTTTAAATTTATTGTTCTTTATTAAGAATGATTACCATTATTATAACATCTGCGTCGCTATAGAGTGCTCTGGCTATAGTCACCCTTTGCTTTTGACCACCGCTCAAATTAATCCCTTTTTCACCTATCCGCGTGAAATCACGGCCCGGAAGTATGTCCACGTCCGGCTGCAAAGCGCATGCCTTCAATACGTTTCTGTATCTTCTCGATTTGTACGGTGACCCGAAAAGTATATTGTCTCTTAAACTGGCGTTCTGGAGCCAGGGTTTCTGAGCCACGTACGCAATCTTTATTCCTCTGTTCCACGATATTTTATCGACAGTTAGAACATAGTAATACAAAAGCTAGACAATTGAAGGTAATAAGAAAATTTTGAGTTTACTTAGCCCATTCGATCGATCCTGTTGTCCTTTGGATCTCTCCTAACATTCCTAACAACAAGGAGGTCTTTCCGCTTCCTGTCTTACCGACAATCAACGTTAGCTGACCTATACAATATACATCATTTTTCCAATTTTGTAAACTATGAATGTTTATGTAATTCCACGGTTTTATGGGCGTAATTGAAAAATGGAAGTTTTAAGTTTGTCTCGTCCATTAAAGATTATAGCGAACGCTGTGTTTTTTGAATTTTTGTTTTTCGTTCTCCTGTATGTTCTTGTGACTTTAAATTTTCCAGAAATGCACAAATGTTCACGATTAATGATAATTCATCTTACCACGTGGAAAGGTAAGATCAGAGATCGATAGTAGACTTTCGTCCGTGCCCCAAGAAAATCCGCAGCGTTTCATCGTAAGCACCGGAACTTCCGCATCTTTCTCGAACACAGTGTCAACTGAGGAATTTATGTACATTGTGTAATTTTCTAAATCACAAGACTGACCGTCTTCTTCGTCCTCTTTAATATTATCCAACGATCCAAAAGTGCCAGTGCTATTTTTCATCGTTTCTATCTGAAAAAATATTTGAAAATATTTTTACGATACCTCACAATGTTTAAGATATTAATGTTTCGCAATGCTTTATGATATCTGAAATAATAATAATAATATTTCACATCATTTCAAGATATAGAAATATTTTCATGTTGAGGACTTCTAAGATAAAACGATGAGTTACCATTAATTATCTCTAAATCGATAATCATAGTGATATCAAAGCGACTAATTTTACTCGGGAATTTTTCGTATCTTTCGAGATTTGAATAACTTCTCAAATGAATGAAATTTATATAAGTAAAAGCTTGTGTCAATTGTGTTATAAATTTTTAATTATTCCTCGCACTTTAATTTCTTTGATGCAAGTTTTATACCTTGAATGATCGATAGTTCCAGTGTTAAAGAACGTTGTTTTGTCTTATATTTATAAAATATATAAATTTACAACTCTTCGTTTAAATTCAAGTTTGTTTGACTAACAAATTCACTAAATACTTACGTATATATCGATCTATAAAATCTTTTTGGGAAAACGATATTCAGTTAGTAAACAATAAAATGCTCACAGCGCTTTCCTCGATAGAATTCGCCACTGACGATGAATTTTCAGCCACTTCTGCTTTTCCATCGGTAGGATCAGGCAGGACGCTGTCAATTTCCGGAAGTTGAAGATACTCCTCTATTCTGTTCGTAGAGATCTGAGGGAACCTTATGTCAAAGTACTTGTTTCGAAAGAACGAAAACAAAGATTCACGAAACGAAGTTCGCTTACCATAGCGTTAATGATGATGGGTATCATCACGGGAAAAATGAGAAGAGGCACTGTGAGCTGTGAAAATAGAGCTAAGCTTGCAAAAACGTTCCCGGCCTCGAGACTTCGCTCCTCCAACCAAAAGTAAGCAGCAAAAGTGAAAAGTGTCGTCAGTACCGACGAAGCATGAGTGAGAAAGTCTAATTGCGAATGATCAGTGTTATAATTTACTTTATTGTTTTCAAACGAACACCGACAAACTTGCACCGATCGAGAAACCGAACTTACTGATGAGGGTCCAATAGAATGAATCTCTGTCCAGCATTTTAAGCTCTTCGTCTCTCGTTCTCCTTATTTTCTCCTCGAAGATCTTTTCCCAGGCTCTGAGCTTCACCAGTCTCATTCCTTGGAAGATTTCGTTCACCAAGCGTAGCCTGGCATCGCTGTTTTTCTAAAAAATCAACGTTATTTCTAAACATGTTTCACCATTATATACTGAATATTGAAAATATTAAAAGACAAATAATAATAAATTATATAATACAAATAATAAATTTATAATAATAAAATATATAATATTTTTTATTATTATATAATAATAAATTATACAAAGACAAATAATAATAAATATTAGACTATTAAATAACAGATATTAAGAAAATATTAAATTGAATGCAGACATTTTTTATTTAATTGAAAAATATGAAGAATATGGAAATATATAGACGTTGAAGATTAAAAGCAGAATGAAAATATTAAAATATAAAAATATTGTAATACAGGTGTTGAAAATTAGAACTTACAGCGACCAATTTAGAGTTCTCCGACATCTTCTTCCCGAGTACTAATTGCAATGGTGTCACTATCAATATACAGCAGAACGCACCGATAATTGCACTGACTCCCAAGTGTGTATAAAGAAGAAAAACTATAGCAGCGATCTAGAAAGAAATAAGATTTTTGTTAAACATCTTGCGCGAAAAATAGTGGCCCAGTCAATTCAATAATATAAAAATATTTTGTTCGTTCTTTTACCTTCAACGGAATTGCCCAGGTGTAGTGTCCAATCCAGAAGAAACTCATCACATTGTAAGCATCCTCAGATATCAGATTGGTTAAAGTGCCAATATCAGCAGATTGCTGACATTTATTCGATTCTTTCTCCTTATTTGTCGGAAGATCCTCTTCGTCGATACTCCACGAGCACAAGCGCAAAGCTTTATCGTACAACAGCGCCTGCAATTTTAATTCAATTCTCCTGATGGTTTTCGATGGTTGCTATTTTCGAGTTTCAAGTGTACCTGAAGAGACGTTTTCAAGCGGATCCCTTCAACGCACAGGATGTGAGTGGAGGCTTGGCTCAGTGTGCTTTGCAACAAAGAAAAGAAAAATACCAGCAGGCCTAAAAAATAGCCATTTTGCCAGATTTCAGGAAATGTCATGACACTCTGAAATATTTCGTAAGACAGGTTCTTTTTCTTAATTTGAAGAGATGAAAGATTGTCGATTGACTGTTGATCATTATGCAGTTTTATTTTAAACGTCATACTTTATATTTTATATGTGAAGTATATACTTTATAAACATTTTGCTCCATATTAATAGAATATAAATTATTAATACTTTGATTTTGATACTTTTTTTATATTTCTGCATATTCTTTGCATCTTTAAATTTCCCAGAAGTGCATAAAAATCTACAGTCTAGTTATCAGGTAGTATAACAGATACCATAGAGCTCTGATTTATTGTTCCATTCTGAGAGGCAGAGACATAGTCCAGAATTTTAGAAATTGACATTGGTCCCACAAGGCTCGTAGCATCTCCCAGTAATTTCAATAGCCCTCCAATCGCAAAAGGACGCCATATTCTTTTCCAGTAACATCGCCAGAGACACAGTTTTTTATTTTTTTCCTACAAATAGAAATAGACTATAATAATAATAGAAACTAGATTATCACAGTCAAATTAAAAATTTTGTTACGTGTGCCACTTTTCTATCGCGAGTTTCCTCAATTAATAACTCCCGTTTAACATTACTATCATTAAATTCAAAATTTTATCACTCATATCACCACCCGCCTTAATTAACATCATTACAATTAAATTCAAAATTTTTCCAAGTATACCATCTTTCCTCTTACGAACTATTGTTGCTACAAAGTCTCTGAATCTCTGAAACACGATTAACAAAATTCCCAAAAATTACCCTGTGCTCCTCGTAAACTTTCCGGAACTTCTCAAACTGTCTGCTGGTGCTCTCTTCCTCGGGAACTTCTCCGAGATCGTGGCTCTCCAACGGTGTGCCGTATCCCTTAGAGAGGAGGTCGATCACCCAGTGGTAGGTGATTCTGTTGAGAAACGGCGCCTCCGCGTGTTTGTACACCGTTCTTCGTCGTTCCGTTCGCTCGATCAAGTACCTTCTCCTCCTTCTCGTCTAGACGGGGCGAAAATCGTAAGTTGGCTCATCCATGACGGCGTTTTTAGACGCATCGGGTCTATTTGCATGCGGCGGCTCGCTTGTTTTTACTGGGTCAAGGGGCCGGCGTGCACGCGTGAAATATATTTGGAGCAAAGACAGAGCGCCGTCTTACCTGTTATCGAGAAACCACTTACGGAACCGTTCTTACGGGCCGCTACTATAGTTAGACGTGAGATATGTTTTCAATTTTACCAAGAGAACGATGCTTGAGAAAAGCGTTCGCATATGCTGTAGGCGATATTAGGCGGTAAATCAATGATGAACGGCTGTATTGCAGAAAGTGGATGATCTATTAAGAGCACGCGATATGTTGTAAATACTTTATCAATTTATATAAAATTGTACAGTCCAACGAAAATAGAGAAGTACCATCGAAATTTGTCGAATTTTCTTTTGTGACTATGAGAATAAAAAAAAATGGAGATAATTAATGTAAATTGATCGAAAAGAAGTTGCAGATGGAATTGCAACGCTGGTGTTTAACTGTTTCTGTACGTGATAATTAGACTGTGGATGTTTATTCAAGTTCACAAACGTCAATCAAAAGAAGACGAAAATAAATATTTCGTATAGTATAAATCGCACGTTACGTGCATTCCACGTACTTCTCCGCAATTTCAAATTCCCGAATAAACGCGTGAAACATTTTTCTACGAAACGATACTTTAGTTTGTTTCCTCGAAGCTCATTGGAGAATATCGAATGAACGAGACAGATCTATTTTTGCGATCTAGTTCTGCAGCGATCGAGGAAGGAAAAGTTCGTGCTGGCACACTCGACGAGCCCCGCCTTCTCAGGCTACGATAATAAACATTATTATTCAAACAAACTGAGTAAATGTAAAATAAATATTTGCCCTCGGTTTGCTCGGAACTGGCTGGTTTTCCTCGATAAGGTTGTAACGTCGTGTCGGTAATTCGCGGACTCGATGCTTGCGTTAAGAAGCAGCATGTTTGTAAACTACCTATTTGATAGCCTAGCTAGATAAAGCAGAAGCTAAATTAAATCTAAGCCTTGGGTTTATAGAACAGCGTAGAAAAGTAACACAGGCCGGAATTGATAGTGTAATTGGACCATTAAGCAACTTACCATAAGGTAGAACGTGTAAGAATCCAAAACGGCCAGGAGACCGCAGAAAATGGCGGTGAACGTAGTGGTCGCGAGTCGAACGTGTACCATGGACAGACCGTTTCTGTATGTATCGGGAATTATTTTAAAATAACACGAATTCACGCTCATTAAAAATAATGAAAGAGAATATTTTCAATATTATTTGATCAGAGTCAGTTGATAAGATAAAAAAGAGTGCTTTTTATTAGACAAGTTTCTCTTCTCTGTTTTTTATTAAATTAATAATTGGTGAAAATGATCTGAAAAGCAGTTTATAAAAATATTTGAATATTCGAATATTTGTTCTCTTTTAAATAAATTAATAATTAGTCTACAAAGTATTAAAAATTTTGATAGCAATTTTTCATCTTCGTAGACCAACTGTTATTTAAAAAGAACACACCTTATTATTTTTAATACAAATGTTTCGTATAATAAAGTGTATTATTTTTAAATAATAGTTCTAATGTTACCTAATATTTTAGGTAATAAAATCATTTTTAAATGATAACTTTTACGAAACGCGAAAGCATGAAAAAGAATAATGAAATAACGAAACAATAATAATAAAAAAAGTAATATAGAACAAATAAAATAAATAAATTAAATTTTCTTTCTACTGAAGTGAATAATAAATAAAACTGACCTAGAGAGATACATGAGTTTCCACGCACGCGATAAGCTAATCGCGGCGAGGATTCCAGCGGAAAGGGCCGTACCAAAAGCATCCCTCACTTCAGTTCCTCGATGAATGATCCAGCAATGAAGAATGGCTATGATCATCAGAATCAACGAGAAAGAAATCGACGTGAGCAACGACTCGCAAAGTTCCAAAAAAAGGGTCATTAACACTGCCATGCACAACAGTGTTCTAGTCGTATGAAATGGAAGGAGTCTCCTGCAATCTCTAAATAAAACATATTACGTTAGAAAAAGAATGCATCCTTCACCGAGTGTTGGATGAGATTTCAATTTCACGACTTCTTTTATTTGTTAATAATTTCCTAAGAGGTTTAATATTCACCGAGCTGGTGATCCATAGTTGTTATTCTACGTTTAAAATTACTTAAATATAAATTGCAATTTGCTCACGAGCATTGAATATATCTCTACCTGAAGTGATCGATCTCTTCGACAAACCTTCAATTACAAGAAAATAATCTTTCCTTCCAATAAGTATAATCAAAAAGTTGAACTGTCTTGTATTGGTTCAATCTCCGTATGAAATCAATCTAAGTGAAACGGCAACAAAACCAACCACGCGATTAATTGCCATGTAATTACCTTCGTTAAACGGAAGTCGAATTTTTCTCGTGATGGAACATCCAGAAAGTTAATAATTTACACTTACTTGTCCCTCTGATTTGATGGTTTTATTTAGAATTTCGAGATTTTACGCTAACACGTTAGGTCTTTTATAATGACAATAATTTTCTTCAGTTTTTAGTTTCGTATCTACTATTATTTCTCATTGGGGTTTAGTTATTTGGTAAATAAATATTGATAATATAGTTGCTTAAAATATAAAAATAATTGTATTTATATTATTACATATTATATTATAATATGTAATAAATTATATCATAATTAATTTATTTTATTGCCATTAGATTGTACATAAATATTAATAGTAGAGTTCGCACGGGATTTAAAAATTTTACTTATAACATATTTTATAATTATAATTTTTATATAATTATATTTATTATAATTATAATTATTATATTATATTTATTATAATTATAATTATTATATTATATTTATTATAATTATAATTTTATTTATAATATATTTGCTACCTGCTTAAAATATAAAAATAATTGTGTTTATTATATTATAGTATGTAATAAATTATATCGTAATTAATACATTTTATTGCAATTAGATTCTATATAAATGTTAATACTAGAGTTCGCATGGGATTTAAAAATTTTACTTGTAGTAATTTTTAAGAATTTAAGAGACGGCGTGGAATTACTATTGATTTTCCAATGAACGACTAAGGATAAACCGAGCATCCATTCTCGTTCAACTTCATTAAAATTCCTTGAACGGACCAGTGTAATGCAAACCGGGAAAGTGTGTATACGTAGGTGTGCGAACAGCCCGTACTAGCACGTGTTATAAATTATTTTGCTAATTAATCCGGGTCTTCTGGTGAATTCGTTTGAACCATGCTTCTCGCTACTCTACGCTCTACACGATTAACACGAACCGTGATGTTTTCATTTTCGTCGAAAGATTTAAAAAGGGCTTACTATTATGCGTTACGTTATTACCAAAAAATATAAAATTGTTATTTCGCAAAATAATAATTTCACAGGGTAGCAAGTTTAAATTTCTTCCTCCTCAGAATCTTAATCTCAAAACTATCAGTGTCCCGTCTTGAAGCAATTCATATTTATTTCTAATAGAACAATGACGATATATATTTTTTATATAAGTGTCAGCAACTCAAGAAACCTTGCGGACAAAGAAACGATTATTCTTCAAATCGTACATCTTGAATTCTCGTTCTCGTTTTCCTTACACCGTTGAAACAGCCTAAGTTGGTTGTTCGAAAAGCAAACTATTAATAGAGATTATTGGATAAGCGTGATACGGTAAGTAGTGTTGTATTTGTCGCGTTTCTCAATTGTACAATGGAACAAGGAACAATGGAAGTGACGAGTGTGGCATGGGAAACAGATGAAAGTTTATAGACGTGGTGTTCCAGGAACAAGCTGAAACGTTACAGATGTTTAACGCGAGCAAATATCCGACAAAATCCATTTCTCAAGAAGAAAACTAATTACTCATCTTTACGATTTACTCAGAAATCCGATATCCTGTGTTTGTTTGTCCTTCTCGCGAATTTTCCATTTTTTTCTTCTACACGAAAAAATTCTTTTAATTATCTCTAATCATTTATCAGTAGAAAAGGAATAAATCGTGAATAATTCCACGTAAGAAGGGTCAAGTAGACATTGACAGGCTGGACAAACTTTTACCACAATTAATTGAAGCAAATTGTTTGAATGGGAACGTGGTAGTCCCATATGAATCATGGGACATCCCAAACGTGAAATATTTCGTTTAATTGAAGGCTGTTTCAATTGATGCTAGCTAAGTACGTGTTTCTAGCCTCGTGTCTTGGATGCACATTAAACATTCAGTACATGTTTTCTATAGGAGCAAAGGAAATGCCGCTTCTTCTGCCAGAAGTCAAATCTTATCGTTTCGAAGGCATCTCTTCGGAACATGACATCAGTTTCAATCGTCATTATCGAGCGCTATATCGGTGACTGGGCAATAATGTACGAACAAACCTCGCTTTTTGTTATTAGGATTTTTGTCAAACGATGCGAAGCTATCTTTTTCAAGCAAGTCAAGTTTGAAATAAATAGATTTAGTGGAAATGTTCAGAGACGAAATTTCGAGGTAATCGAGCTTTGAAACAAGAATTTCAAAGTAACTAAGCTCCACAGGGGAAATTTCAAAGTAACTTTGAAATTAGAATTTGAAAGCAACGAAGTCTCGGAGAGGAAATGTGGAAGTAACCGGGCTTTGAAACAAAAGTAACTTTCAAAGTAACCAAGCTTCACTTTGGAGAGAAAATTTCGACACAAGTTTAAATTTCGAAATAACTAAGCAAATTTCGAAATAACTAAGCAAATTTCGAAGTAAGAATGTCTCGAGAAGAAAATTTTTAAATAGCCAAGCTTTGAAGAGAAAATTTCAAAGTCCAAAGAACTTCTTTTCTGTTAAAAAAAAAAAACAGATCTCTCACAAAAAATTTCTTCTTCTATCTACGATCATCGATAAATCTCTAAACCGATCCATAGATCATCTCTCTGTCGTGAAATTGAAATATCGTGAGGTTGAATCTTTCTCTTCATCCTGTCAACTTACTTTGGTTGTTTGCTGCATTTACACCTGAGAAAGGTTATCAGTGCAAGGACGATCGCAATAGCTGGAACGCAGACATTGACGAGTTCCACGAGGCAGTCCTCGCCGGAGTCATCTTCGGTGAACCGGATGTACGTACCATTTTCCGTTCGCCAAGACCATACGACGTGTTTCTCGGGTTTTGGCAGAATTTGTAGAAATTTGTAATTCTTGCAGAAGTCCATTTTAATGGTGTTTCAAGGAACCATATTCGTGTGTGATACACGTTCATACATAACTTTCTTCATATTTACCTAAAAACATCGTCTTTTTATATTTTTTGAATTGCGAAAGAGATTTCGCTTTCTACTCAATTAAATTAAATTGATTCATTAAATTTACTTATTTATTTATGTGTTACGTTCTTCCTTTCTTTATTTCACTTTTATATTTTGTACTTTAGTTTTACATAAAATTTTATATTAAATTAATATTAATATTAATTGAGTTGATGTTTTACTACTAAATTTTATTAATTTAAATTACTTAATAATCGATCATCATTCTACGTAATATATTATCTCGGACAGATTATTCTTGGTATTTACTAAAAATCTTATCTTTTTATAACTTCTTCGTTACTTATATTTTTCGACGAACAATGAATATCTGCTTTCTTTCTACTGTTGTTTTTCTCTCTCTTTAATTTAGAGTGTTTCGTACGTACAAAAATACACGATCTCTTTTCTCTGGATAAAAGAACGAAACGAGTCGTTGTTATAAGATTTCAAATTCTTTAAGCAAAAAGATAAAAAATGTATTTACTCCTTCAAATAAGGAAAAATATTTCAATTCTTTCACTGACAACGATGTGCTTTGATATTCTTAACATTCTTTTCTATAAGTGAATGTGATCCTTTTTCAACATTTTTGTATTTAGTATAGTTATATTTGTCGATTTTTCTGCACTTTCTACGTGGTTTATTTAATCCACTTTCGTTTAACCCGTCTATTTGCCTTTGATTGCACGTTTTGTAGTGAGAAAGAATTTGCGTAACTTCAATCAAATGCATTTTGCAAGTGCTAAAAATACCATGCTTGTTTTCATTATTTTCACTGTGACGTGGCGATAGATGGGTTCGCCGGAAACTGTTCTAACTTCCGGTCCAGGGGGTTTCAAACGCGCCTTGTTTTCCGTCAGTGCTTTATTCTCGCCGAAAATATCTTACGCTCGGATAACTCTCGATGCGTTCGATAAAAATGCGTTCGAGCCGAGTGCTTTCTTCCGTGAACTCCGGTCGAACATGTATTTTTGAATCAGTGTGTCTCTTTATGAATTGCAGAAGCTCGATAAAGCTGCCCAAATGATAAATAATATTTTACAAATTTTATAATAATCTTATATATATATATATATTTTATATAATGTTATATTTTAATATTTATTAATTAATATTTTATTTTAATATTTTGTTAGAATTTTAAATTTTAATCGGTATTCACTCACAAAGCCAAGAGTTGATAAAGTTTGGTTGCACTCGACCAAACTTGGAACGAATACCAGAAGTTTTTAAATTCAATCGCGATTAATAGTGACCTTTCGAAAAGACATGGTTCTTTGATGGTTTAAATTAGTACTTGAAGCTTCCGTGACGCGTTCCGTATTAACGAGAGGTCCGTGCAAAGAGTTCATTAGTCTCAAGGCGACGCAACGTCCGAAAATTTTAAACACCCGGGCAAAAAAAAAAAAAAAAAATGAATATCAATCGGTCAATTTCAATTCAACGATCGCGAGACATATTTGTCACGATTCGCTTCGCATCCACGCTTCGTCTTATCCTTGCGAGAAAAATGGATAATAACAGACGTCGAGTAGGCTCTTTTCTACAGGATGGTTCACACGTTAAATCTTTTTGTCGTTCTACGTAGAGGTAGTATTGAGATAATTCGAAGAATGAGCAGTTTAAAAGATACTTGTAACTTTGATTTTAATTTCAATTTTGCAGGACGATTAAATAATTATAAGTAGTTACGTACACAATAGTAAGTAGAATTTTATGATAAACAGAATTTTAATTTCGTACAAGATATTAATTTGATATTTTAAGATATTTTAATTTGAACTTGTGCATATGTACCCCTGATGAAAATCGAAATTAAATTTTTTTACGAAGTTAAAATCAAAGTATCTCTTAAATTAATCATTTTTTCGATCGAGTGTCGCTTTAATACCTTTCCATATAGAACGATGAACGAAAGAGCGTCATTGAACTTGAAAAAGCATGATCACGAGTTGATGCATTTCGTCATCTATTATTGGAATATATAATATTCTTTTATTAATTTCAATCGGTGAGAAACGACATGTCTCGTTGCGTGAATCGCCCTGTATTTGAAAAACGTCGTTATCGGCGTGTCCGTTGTATAAACGATTAATTGAAATTCACGGATGCCAGTCAGCGATATGCTAAGCTACAAAGTAAAGTAACAACACTTACGTGTCCTCACAGCCGGAATTCCTTGGCTCGTTACCATAATTTATACAGGAACTCCATTTGCCCCGTGTTTTCTGTTATGTCACCGATGATTTACGTTCTGTTACCTTGCGCGACCGATTGCTTTCCGAAATCGTGCCTTCGCTTTTTTTTCCGCTTCGTTCCGAATGAAAAGATTCATTTGTTTATAGAACGGTCGATTGAATTACTGTTTATCGATGACGAGTTTCAACGACGAGTCGAAAGATTCACTTTTTCGAGGTAGTCGAGCTAGTGAACTGAAATTTTCGAGCGATCAATTTTTTGTGACGAATCCACGCGTATAATGATATGTATAATAGATTGGTTATAAGTAGACTGCGGATGTTTGCACATTTGTAGGAAATTTCATGCATTGGTGTGAAGTATTCATTGCATATTCATTCTAAATTGATACGTCATCATTTTTGTTATTCTCTAAAATGATGGAGACTGTGTTGAAAAATACGAGTGATTTGGAAATTACATTTCCGCATCATTCGTGAATTTATTTATTTACTATTTACATTGATCTAGATAGACAAAACCGGAAGAGATGAATCAAATTTATTTGTAGAAACGAGACTTTTATTTTCTAATATTTTTGCATTGAGTTACGCCCGATAGGTAATGACTTGGTCATAATTTATTTGTTTCTATCAGAACGAAGATTTTTACTTCTTGGTACGCTGAATTTCAATTCAAGGATAATTTGCATGTTCAGATTACGTTTTTACGCGGTTCAACAAGTGTATATAATATTAGATATTCAAACTATCGAAAGTTGCTCGCGTTACGTAAAGTAAAAGTGTTATTAGATTCTTTTCTTAATTTTCCTTGTATTCTACGATTAATTTTGGAATCGATATTATCGAGGAAAATGTCGATTGATGGAAAATGAAATCGAACGATAGTTCTAAGTTTAATATACGATTGTAAAAAATTCACTTAACATGATTTTACGTAATTACTTTTTGCATTAATATTGAAATGACGTTGAGGAATGCAAATAACACTTCTCATCTCTGTTATGAAACCTCTGCCAATAAATTTCAATGTTGAAACTTCTCACTTCTCAGTCAAACATTGGTGCGTTTTAAAACGTTTTAGAACTTCTATGCCATTTAACGCACTCTATTTTTCTTTTTTTAGACGATTTTTATGTGTACTATAAGTGACGTCTAAGAATAATGGAAATCAATCTAGTTCAAGAATCTTAGCTTCCTTTCCAACATATTTTCGAATAGTATCAAAAAGCGTGCAACAACGTCGTTTCTTCGAATAATTAAAAAATCAATATTATCGGGAACAAAGGAAACAAATTGAAGAATTCAGAATAGTAAAAAGTACACGTTTCGAATAATAATAATTATTCGAATAATAAAAATTACGATATTGATATTCTTCCGACAATGGTTAAAAAATTGACGACAATTTCGCAACGAAGAATGACGAAAGGTGTCAATTCTAAAAATTGACAACTTGTATTAAAATCAACGATAATACCCTTTCAACTGGTCTCGAAAAATTTTCCAACTACTCAGTTCTCCATCTCGCGAGAACAAGCGATACATAATCCAAGTAAAAAGAATCGAATGAGAAACAAAAAAAAAAAAAAAAAAAGAGAACAAATCTCAAGCATAAATATGCGAGTCTTTTGCACCTTCGCTCTTCGCGCGATTATTCGTCGGATGCTCGATTTCGAAAGGGTGAAGAACCACTTGTCTGCTTGGAATTAGTATTCCTGGTCACGCACGTGCGCGTCGATCGTTCCCGCAGAGAAGCACGCGTGCTTTCTGCTTGACGGTCCGCGGCTTACTGACAGATCACAGAGAGCCGAATGTCGAACACAGAGAGAGAGCGAATGGTAATTCCATGTGCGCGATGAGTCACTGGCGAAAGAAAAGAAAAACTAAAAAAAGAAAAAAAGGCTACCAGCTCCTCTTTCACTAGAACTCCTCTTTTACACGTCCTAGAAAAGCGAATTCCTTCGGGTTCTGCCCTCGTGGCTCTCTGACACTTTTCTCGATCTCGAGACACAATCGCGTCACAACCGAAAGAATTTAACTGTGACGAAACGCCAACGAGGTGAGAGCCAAGAAAGATTCCGCGGGCTTGTCGAGTGTTTTGTTTTTTGGCAGCTCGTTACCTTTCGTTTTATTTATTTCTCTTTTATAATACATTTATTTATATTTTATGCTATGTATATATGACATAAGATTGAAATTTTGTTACGCGTTCCTTTGTGATTGACATAATATTTCTTAATATTTCTTAATCATTACTGACCACAATTTGTACACTTTTAATAGAATTTGTCAATTATTGTTGTGAAATTAACCCGTTATTATAGTTGTTATTGGTAGTCTCACTTCAACAAATAAAGAAGGAAATCTTTAAGAAAATTTAGGAAAATGGAACTCTTCCTTTGATTTCATTATTTTACTATAAAAATGTCTATGAACCTGTAGATAGAATATAAAAATAAGAAACTTTGAATTATATCACATTAGAACGTAAAATTATATACGCAGGTTAGTAATAATTTTCTTCGTTTCGTCTCCAAACTTAAGGAATTGAAATGTCGATCGAGCATAGCAGAAACAATAGGAAAGGATAGATACAACAAAACAGGAGACGGCGGGTTTTATTTGAAAAATATTTAATAATAAACATTGACAATATACAGAGAAAATACGCCATAAGAAGTCGCTATGGGAGTAATAAGAACCTAACAACTGGTCCAGACTTACAAAATATCATCAAATTAGATAATGATAACGGTGTTCCGAATGACACCCCGTATGTACTCCTATCAGTATTTTGCAACTAAAGTATTTTCGAGTTGATCGTATCTTTTGTTCTCTCGACATGTTTTTTTTTTTTTTTGTTAATATTTTTTTGCTTTTTTGTTACCTGACGTTTCGATACAATTAATTCTTATTTACTTTACTTTATTTAACCTTTTATTTATTTATTTACTTATTTTTTTTTTTTTTGCTTTTTTGCTTTCTTTTCCTGCGGATTCATCGATTACCTACTCGTCGTCGAATTTCCATCGCGTGTTAAAACGTGTGTGTTTTCGCGGATGCGTGAGTATGTTAACGCTCGATTCTGTTGCCGTGATTTCTGCCGGCGTAAAAAAAATCGCTTACGCCCGCTTCAGCCAATATCTTTCTCTTTGTTTCCTTCGGAGTTGGATTCGCAGCCGGGGAACCAAATTCGCGATTCGCACGCGTCTCCCGTTGCGGATCCGTTTACACTGCGAGAGAAGCGAAAAAACAGGTGGCGTTTAGCATTTTTTTTTCTTTTTTTTTTTCTTTTTTACGGTGTTCTCTATTTTATATTAATTCCCTTTTCCCATCTAATCCAATGTTTTCTGCTTTTTCTTTCGTGTCCTTGCTTCGTCGAAAAACAACTTTGCGCATCGTCGAATCGCGCGCGTCTTCATCCTCATTCTCTCCTCCCCAGATTAGCGAATCAAGAGTTACAGTCCATCTGAGTTACAGTCATCTGCTGTTACGAATATCATTGCCTCGAAGTTAGTCTCTAAAAGAACAAATCTCCTCTCTCTGGTGGATTCTCTCTGTCGTTTCTTGGCCTGTCGCTCGCGATTCGACGATGAGCCAAAAGCATCATCACGCTGGTTCATGCACACGACACACGGACACATATTGATGTCGTTTTCCTAATATCACCCGCTCGTTCACAATTCTAAGAAGTTTAGAGTTTATTATCGTTAATAACGCCCTAATGTCATGGAACGTCCTCTTACTTACTGTTAATTCTCTTTCTATCTTCTTTTTCTCGCTTTCTCTCTCTCTCTCTCTCTCTCTCTCTCTCTCTCTCTCTTTTTCTCCCTTTGCCTCGCGATAATTCGAAAAAAGAAGATGTGACCACGTGTCGTGCTCGAAATCCTCGAAAGTGCTGGCCTCGCGTGTTCTCGAATAACACGCGTGTGTCCTTGTTAGAAAAGGACAACGCCAGAGAGAGTGTGTGTATGTGTGTGTGTGTGTATGTGTGTTTCCGAGCCCGGAAATAAAGAGAGCGGAAATAAATGTGCGTTGTCGCGCGGACGAATCGCAAGGTATACGTGCCTTTTCTCGTCGGCGGAGGGATCCGAACGAGGATTTCGAGCGGGGAAAACGATGGCCACGACGCCGCCTAGATTACGCTAGGATATGTTGCTCGTAAAGATGTGTCGTTTTTACGTAAGTCATGTAATCATCTAGATTCACTTTTTTTTTCCTTTTTTTTTTTAAAAATCCCGTTTACGGTTTTTACTGCCTTTAATTAATAATTAGAGTAGAATCATATATTTATATATGTATAACGTTACGGTGCGTATCGATCGTATCTCTGGATTATTTTACAATTTGCGATTTTACCCGCTAGCACTCGAGAACGTACGCGGTTCAATGGAGAGAAAAAAAATGAAAAAAAAAAGAGAAAAACGGTGGTAAAACAAACATTGATGAACGCCGATTTTTGAAGGGTTCGAAATTTTTGTCTACCTCTCGTATATTTGGCTTTGTTTTCCTCTCTCCTACTGCTCTTTTTTCTTTCTCTTTTAAGTTTGATTTAATTTAATTTCAATTTTAAAAATTCGTCCGAGAGCGATCGACGATCGAATCGTGCTTGCTAATTGTTATCGTTTTCCTTTTTTCTTTTTTTTCTTTTTTTTTTTTGTACAATTCGCGAAGAGAGGATTCTAAGCCGAAGCACTCTGTTTTCGTTCGATGAATATTATAAATTAGTAACGCTAGAAGTATGAAAAAGTATCTGCATTTCTATTCGAGACGAACTCTCGATTCTTCCTAAGAGACTGCGGAACAGACACTATCCTAATCTATTCACGTTCCTGGCTACCTCTAATTTCATTACACGTTCCTTTGTACAGCAATTCGTTCGTTACTCTTGGATCTATTTACTCCAATTTCTATAGATAAATATATCGAGGTTGCTCGTAGAATGTAGAGAATACTCCGAGATCGAGTTCACTACACAGAATCGATAGGGCAAGGTTTTCTTTAGAGTTTGCGCAGTCGAACCTCCTTCCTCGAGTATTTCTCAAAGCGATTAAGGACCAATTTCACAACGTTTCACTTGCTATTTCTTTCGATCAATTTGTACAATCGAATACTATTTCTTTTAATATTGAGAAACTGCGAAAGGAGATGCTTTTATCCATCAGCTTTTAATTTTCTGAAATTTCAGTAAACCGACTTTTTGTATCTGCAACATTGGTTCTTAACGGGTTAAGAAATTCGCGTTCGAATCTAAAAGCCATTTTTCAACTGTCTTTGTTTCGATTTAATCAGCTTTTTTAAAACTGTTTCTTTGCACTGAACTCGTCCCAATTAACAATTATTCGTTAGTTCGTCGGACATCCTGACAGCGGGACATCCTTGGAACAAACTATCACAACTAAATTAAATCGAATCTAAATTAATCAACCTTGCGATCGAAATTATTCAATTCGAGAACACGATTCGTCGATCGCCTGGACGCACTTGAGAGAGCCAATTAGAGATCCCGTGAAGAATTCATTTTCATCTCTCTTTCGCGAAGGAACGGAACAAGCAACGCAAGAAATTAATTACAGAACACAGCGGAGAAAGAAACGAATCGTTTAATTGAAAAGAGAACGTATCAACGTTCAACGACGTGAGTAGTCGCGAGTTTATTTATCAGGAATCGTGTACGATAGGCCTGCGTACGCAATCGGAGAACACGCCGGAGAAAAAACGATAAAAGTCCCGTAACAAGAGGAGGAATATCGGAGGGGGTTTATGGGAGTTGTGCACTCGTGACGAAGAATAAGACGCGAAGACGATGGGCCTCGCCTAGATTTGAGCTTGACTTACGCTAGCCACTAGTTGTAATAGCCTACCGATAAAGGTACCGATTACGAGTAAGTATAAATTGTAATTATAGTGTACAGGGATAGATCTTTCTCGCTTCGGTTCCTCCGTGAACGAACACCGCGTTCGAGAGCGCGATTAATCCATTCTAATATCAATATATCATTTTCGAGAGCCATTTTCATATATATACATATATATATATATGAAAAGTGCGTTCGTTCCAGGAGAAACGAGTGAGCCGCGAGTAAACGACCGAGGCTCGAAGAGAAAATCTTCCCTCCTCGATCCTGGGAACGTTTCTCGCACTCTCAAGACAGAGAACTTTCATCGAGAGAGTATCCACCTTCTTCTCTCGTTTTCCCTCGCCTACTTCGTAGATTATCATTCTCGCGTAACACTAGCATATAATCTTGTGTGATCCGTTACCCTCTCTCTCTCTCTCTTTCTTCATCCCTATTACATATCTCGTTCGCAAACTTTAAAACCTACCGCTCGTTAATTTAACGTTACAAGGATCAATGAGTATGTTGTGAGTTGTTCGATTTAGCTCCTAGAAAAGAAAAACGAAAAACGGGGAGGGAGGGGATCGTCGTCTCCCTCCCCCGTTCGGTTTAATTTTTTTCATTTGTGCTCGACGAAAATCGATTTACAGAGTCGCGATCCCTAATCGCAGTTATCGTTATTTACATGTACTCGGCGCTCGCACACGCGCGAAAAAGAAACGAAGAAAAGAAAAACGAAAGTCGAGAAATGAGAATAACGCTGCGTTTCCCATCGGCGGCCAATTTGGTCGCGGGATCAACTATGCCTCTCTAGCCTAGTGACCTATCCTAACGATAGAGTAGAGCTTTGAAACGTAATCGGCGATGGTGTCTAATACAGACGTTGTTTGCGTCTTTTCTTTTCAATCTACGTAATAGAAACAGAAAAAGAATAAAGGACGATAGAAGAGACAAAAAATCAGAAGAAAAGAGAAAAAAAGGAGAACATCTTTGTCATATTTGGCTATTTCACACGAATCTTTCGTATCGTATCTTTCTTCTTTCTCTCCCCCTCGTTATCCATCGTGTTTCTTTTTCCATTACCATTTTGTTCCTCGTGCTTCCTTCTCTCTCGCCTGTTTCTTTCTACGTCTCTCTTTCATTCTTTCAAGTTCATTCACTCGTGGCCACTCGCATTCGACCTTATGCTTCACGTTGAGTCACGCGACCTATATATATGTATATATATATATATATATATATATTATTTATATATATATAATATTATATAGCCGAGTGACTGATAATCCCTGTTAAACAAAACAAAAACTAGAATTTCTTTTTCTTTAAAGAAAAAAGAAGTTTCATTTTTTTCTGTTTAACAAAAATTATCACGCACTCGGTTCAATGTGCGTACCATTTTCCTATTGCATTCTTTTCTTTACCCCTTCTGTTTCGGAGTACTCTGTGTTTTATGTGTGTCTGTGTTTGTGTGTGAGTCTCTCTTTCTCTCTTTCGTTTGCTAATTCTTCCGTTTGCCTTCGTGATTACGCTTAAAGAAGAAAACAGACAGATTTTGCCGATCTTTTCGAGAAACCGGGTAATCCCGTGATCGAGAACGCGGTAACTTTAAACGCGAGGAACTTTAAACTCGAACGAGCATTATGAACTTCGTTCATTGTTTGAGATGAAAAGTGTAAAAAAAGAAAAAGAAAGAAAGAAATAGGAGTAAGTGAGTTTAGTTTAGTTTCCTTTCTTAGTGACAATGAGAGGAAGATCTATCGGTGGATAATTATTAATAATTGGAGAAACAATATTGAAAATATCACGTAAGGAACTAGACAGTGTACTGAGACAAATTGTTTTAGAGATTGCTTCAGAATTCAAAGGATCAGTCTATCAGTTTCAGCGTTCTCGATCACTCGACTCGAGTTCCGTTACAATTTTGTTAAATTTAATTGTGTACATGTACTTGTCACGCAGATACTTCAACTATCGAGGAATTGGAATTACTTTCTCAGTTGATACATTATGTAAATTTAACCCTGCTGCGATCTTCGCAGGTAAACATAATTAAAGAGAGATTGATTCTAAATAGAAATTTATTTCTTTGAATTTGTTTATATTTGAATATTTTATATATTTTTACATGTAATACGTAAAATTATGTAGTATATGTAATAATATATTTTTACACGGTATGTGCATTTCGTGGAGCTTTGAAATTCCCCCAAAAAATATATAAAAATTCGCCGATAAGAATTCATACTTCTCTTTGATCATTAATAAAACAGCAAAGAAAGCAGCAAGGGTTGCGCGTGAATTCCAATCGATCGAGAGGGTTTCTAAATTTGAGATCAAGATTGCCATCGTCCAACCAAATAACTCACCGACACCGCGAATTAATTTCTACTCCAATTCCTCCGCCAGAAACCTAATTAAAAAAAAAAAGAAAAGAAAAAATAAGAGAGCGCAGAAACCTCGATCAACGAGCTCCAAGATCTACAAACTTTCTATTCTCATCCTCGAAATGAAAACTTTCCATCCTTGAAGGAAGAAAAAAAGGCTGCCACATTCGATCCTGCAGTTGGAGCGTCGACGAGGTCGTGAGTATTGAGAAAAAGCTGCGTTACATTGTCATAATCTCGATTAGGAACCGGTAGAGATTGACTTGATTAAATCCTGTTGTCTAAAAGGTTTCTCTCTCTCTCTCTCTCTCTCTCTCTTTCTTTCGGTACTGTATTTACTAAACTACTCTTTACAGCCGCGATAATCTACGCACACACACGCGCAACATAGACACACACATATTTGGCATAGAAACCCTACCGGTCACGCGTAACTGCTTCGTTTCAACTCTCGTCGTCGTTTTCCCCTCTCCTTTAAACGGTTTAAACGGTTGTCTCTAGCTACCTAAAAAGGGTTACGTCTCGCGTGTATTATTTCCTTATTGGCCGAATCGCCAATCGCGTGGCAAATGTCACCGGAAATCGCGTTTACCTGGTCGACACGAAGCAAGAGTTCCTTTCCGGCAGCCATTAGTGACAGCTAATCTCTGTTCCGTTCCGTCTTATCACGCGTCTGACAATTAGCGTTTTCGATTCATGATTAGAGGAATCCTTCGTTCGAGCGATCCCGTTACAGCGACAAATTGAAAATCAAAAAGATTTCTCGCACGAGGACAAAAAAAAGTAATAATAAGAGTAATAATAATAATAATAATAATAATAATTATGATGATAGTAATATGACAATAATAATGATAATAATAGCAATATTATAATAATAGTAATAAAGAGAAAATGTGAAAAGAAACGATCGATTGCCTATTTCTTTTTGAATTCATATTCAAAAGTATTCTCATTCCGTGGTTAAATCTTATAATGAATTGTATGTACAAAATTCTTTGTATATTATGACTCAGTGATTTTCACCCATCCGCTGGATCACGATGGTCAAAATTACATCGTACAATCAATTCGATTCGTAAACGTTTACGCGATTAAAATACTAAGCCATTCTCCCGGCCCCACAGTCTCGTTCGTGATAAAAATTCTTGCCTGGAACGCGTTTTCTTTTTTTTTTTTCTTTTTTCTTTTCTCTCTCTCTCTCTCTCTCTCTCTCTAAAGTTTTCATTCCTCCCGAACGATTATTAGAAACGTGCACGAGCAACGAATTGCATAATTACAATTGATTTCTAGATCAATTATCTATATCTATCTACTTATATATATATATGTATATACATAAATATATATACACGTACACCGGCTAAATTTGACACGTTCCCTGCCCCTCCCCTCCCCTCCCTCTCCACTTTGTCATTCGATTTTGCGACAGAATGGCTGCCGGGTCTGAACTCCCTGACACGAACGGACAACTAAACTGAATTTAGCGATGCCATGTTTTCCTTTAAACACGAATATCGACGGCTCCACGACGCTCCGAACCGAATCTATTTCGCAAGTTTCATCCCCATTCGGACACTGGACGAAAGGTTTTTTACTTTCTTAACACGACTTAACACGAGTGTTTTACATGTTCCCGACAAAACTCAATTTAACCGGGTCCTCTTTGTCTGCTAATTCAGTTTACCAATTTCCCTGTCTACCCATCCGTCCCTGTCCCACCCGTCCCGGCCCTCTTACTATCGATCAGGGTTCGAAAGTTCGACGACAGACCTTTGTCGTCTGCCGTCCCAGTCGAGAACCATCTCGAACTTGAAGCACGCCTTCAAATCTAATTCCGATTCAGTTCTTCAATCTGCCGCGATCTTTAATCTCTCCTCGTCGGTCGCAGTTTCTTTTTTTTTTTTTTTATTTGTGCTCTGTGCATCCTTTCCTTTTATTTCTCTTCTGTGGAATTTTTGCGCGACGTCTTCGCAGTTTAACTGGGTAGTTTCTCCATGGCTTGGTTGTCCATAGTGGCCGGACAGGAGTGATTCCGGTGATGAAAGACTTCCGTTACCGCGTCGACGAGAGCCGAAGTCGATGATCTTTCGCGTCGGGGGCTACGAAGAAGGCTAGCGTCAGCATGCGCGGAGGATCCAGGCATCGCTTCGTGGGTTGATCGTGATCGATGGCGGATGACGGTGATGATTGTGTCGGTTTCTTTTTTTTTCTGGTCATGTTCAGCTGAGTATAACGGTGTACTTGGAAGGCTCGCGCTCCGATATCCGACGATCCTTAGTATGGCGTGAACCTGTTGTAGCCGCCCCTGTATACGGTCGCCTGCGAAAACCGTTCGTTTTTCGATCAGTGTTAAATGTCAGAGAATATTAGAGAATTAGGAAGATCTTTTTTTGATTTTATGATCGATGGAAATTATTATGTAGATATGTTGGATGCTATAGAGAATAATGTTAGGGAATTTAGTTTTCGATAATGGGAGTTACATCAAAAGAAATTATAAGAAATTATAATTTCCCAGTGTATATGTTACAAATTAATATTATGTAATTCTGGAAATAGTGTACGAATTATTATACAAATATGAATATGCACAAATATTCTCTTAATTTAAAATACTCTACATTTTGTTTTAAATTAGAAAACTTTAAAATTAAGCAATCTAATTCGAATATAATCCAATCTACAATATTATATTTGTGATTCAATGATATAAATAATTTCAGGATTAATTGTTGGAAATAGATTTAAGACAAAATTCAAAAGTGAAAGAAATAATTTAATGAATTATCAGTGATAAAGTCACGAAGTAGACGTTTCTAAAGAAACACTACATCTACTATTATCTAATATTTTAAATCTATTATTATTTCTATGTGTTATGTTCTATCTAACAATAATTACCAGTGACGAATTCAGTGTCTGAGGACGAAAGAAATATCTACTAACTAACAATATCTACCACTAATATTCTCCATTAATAATTAATATACTACAATAACTAACGAATGTTAATAACTAGTACTATCTATGTAACATTAATTTTCAATGAAAAATCTACAAAAGTGCGAGAAAATAAAAAAGATTTCTTAATCAGTAATAAATCGATGAAAGTGCTCAAAAATTAAATATATATTCGCAGTTAAATTGCTAATCATTAATAATAAATGCTACTTGATATTAATTAACGATGACAAATTCGCAAAAGCGTCGAAAAATAAAAAAATAAGCAGAACATATCCGCAATCCAATTATTAATTCTCAGTAATGAATTCGCAAGAATAATTAAATTATTAATCGTTCGACAAATCGTTTGATAAATTTACAAGGGCGTTCAGGAAGGGGTGAATCAGTGGGTTCATTTGTTATTTCGAGAAATGAAAAATTGCATTTACCCCATAGCCGGCCACTGGTCCAATACCATGTCCAAGGTAGGGATCGGCGTATTCACGCCCGTAACTGCAACATCAACGTCGAGAGCTTGTTAAAATCTTCTCCATTGAAACATCATTTACAATTGTTCGATGAATGGTCGTGGAACAAATGAAGGGTAGACAAATAAAAGGAGATACAAACGTAGGATTTATCTAAGGATTTTCAATGGGACTGTCAGGTTTTTCGACGTGAGGATCATCGGGTTGGTGGCTTTCGAGGTATCTGCGACTTCTAAGAGGTCGACCACGACGACGAATTCTTCTGGAAGGAACGGATTCCCCTTGTACATCTTTCTCAGTATGTCTGAAGTTAGATTCGTAGAATGTCATGAACATAGGACATACGACGTTGTTTCGATTAATTTTCACCCCTTACGGTCTGGTGTATAGTCTTCTCGATTGATGAATAAAAATTAAAAGGATGTAAAAAAATTTTAACATTTTAACCTCTCTTCAATATTTACAATAATGAATTCTATCTTGTAAAACAATTCAATTTATTATAAAATAATTCAATTCTATATAAGTAATTTTCTAAGCTATGAGTATAATTTAATTGCACGACGAATAATGTATTTGCATTGACACCGAGTATTTCTCGCCTATTAATTCTTTATATTTTACTAGTGAGAGTAAGGGAAGTTATAGAATTTTTTTTCTTTTTTAAACAAAACCCTATACGTATGTACGTTTAAAAATCTTACTTAATATAACGTAATAATATCATAAAAGTTTCTAGAATACGAAAGATCAAACTAAAAAATAAACTTGACTCGTAGAAGATTAATTTCTAAATTATCTAGAGAAACTTTCGTTCTCTGAACAAGATTCTAATGCAAATCATATTGGAATTGCTGCCTAGTACCAGTAAAAGTTTCCAAAACAAAAAAAACAAAAACTATTATCCCCTAGTAATGAAGACGCTTCCCTTCTGCGAACGAAATACAATCACTTGTTGAAGTCGCTAGTTAACACGTATAAAAATACTTAAAATCCCAAGAACGATTAACCCCCAATTACCCCTTAATTATCCCGCGGTACTAATCTCCAGAAATAATCAAACTGAATCTCTTCATCGATCGCGACTTCGAAGCAGACGTATCGTCTTCTTCAATTAAAGAAAAAAAAAAAATGAAAAAAAAGGGAGATCCCACGCGGAAGACCGTAAGGGGTGCAATCTACTACATACGCGTATGAAGGAGGGCAGAAGATGGGAGTGCAGAGCCCGAGGGATAACGCGAAGGAGGCGTTCAGTAGGGAGTATAGTGATGCGCTTACCCCGCGACTGCGGCATATCCTGCGACCGGTTGTGCCGCAGCTGCAGCTGCGCTGTATGCGCGCGCAGCCACTGCCGTGTAGGTCGCTGCAGCTGCGTAGGTGGCCTGCTGCGCGGTCGAGAGGGGCGTCTTCAGCAACGGTGACGCTGCAGCTGCTGCTGCCGCGGCCTGAAACAGGAACCATGACCCGCCATGCAAGGCTCAAGCAAGCTCCAAGACAGAACCAGACAGGATGTCCTAGCGGAGAAACGGTACTAACGCGTCCTCTTCCCGCGTTCGCTTCATAAACGCTCCCTGCACGTTTCGCAAATATTGGAACTCTCCTCCCGTAGGATGTTTATGGCCCTTGCTCGCCAGAGTCAGTAAGGGGGGGAGAGGTTGTAGTTTTGATGAAGAAATTGCTTGGTCCCTGGATTGTTGTTTGACGGAAGGGGTACAAGGGGGGGGGGGGGGAGGAGGTAGAGGTCGTAAAATTCTCGTCGAATGATAGAATTGCTGGAACTGGCCTGAACGAGTAATTTTCGTAGCTGTAAGTTTAGAACCATGCGTTTCTTTTCTTTGGGGGATCAACGTGATTAATTATGGATAATTCTAGCATTAAATTCTGTGGAATTAAAATGAAAGTTGATGAAGATCATGATGAGAATCTTGGAGAAAAAGGATCTTTTGTTATTTATATTTTGCAAACGAATTTCTCTGGATATTTTACAAATTTATAACTTGTTTGTGAATTTTTGAAGATGATATCTAAAATATAAATAAAAGATTTTTCTTCTCTTTGTATCATGTTATTTTCATTATGTTTGATCAATGTGCTTTGGTACAAATTTCTAACAATGAAAACAAGACTCTAACGTCAACAAATAACTAAAAAGATTTTACAAAAACCAGGCGCTCATGATATATAAAACTTGATGTGAATATAATCTGATATTCGAAGAGCATTCTATCATTTGATGTTTCAATTTACGATCTCAACATATACGAATCTTTTCGATAATTTGCGGATGTTTCAATGGGAAATTGGTTCTCGGGTATTTTACAGTTTTTCTGTACAAGGCTTTAAAAAAAGAAAGATACATTCAGTCTTTTTAATCACCAGAGAGTTCCACAGCTATTTGCAGAATTTTTCAGCAAAACTAGAGTCGTTCTCAATTCTACCAACGTGCAAGGACCTTTACGGATGCGTTTTTAAAGCGTATGGATGAGACAAGCGTGCATCGTTCGTTCGCGACATTTTTTCCCAATTTTGTTTACGTAGAACGGGTATTTCTCCTTTATATCCGTGCGTTGTTTGAACAACGAACTACTGTTTCACCCATACGCGACACGATGTGCAGATAGTAAAAAGTTTCGAGCACTCGGCTAAATATGGTTCTCGAAGCTACTGCTTTCTGTCGATCAAAAGCTCAGGGAGGCGTGACTTATGTACAGAGAATGATGCGAAAATGATTACGTGTTATTTACTCGTCGAAATCGATTTCTGTGATGATTACTCCTTTCTGGCTTTTTTTTCCCTTTCTCTCTCATTTTATTCAACTTGTCGAACATCTCTTTGAAGAAGTTACATTTTATCTCTTCTTCGTTAATAAGTTTTCAAAACACAGAACGTTATTTGAATACAAGAATCGTTTATTACAGAACAGAATCCGAAAGGAGGAATTAATTCTCTTTAATTTCGTTAATAAATTTTTTAATAAAAAAAAAAAAGAAAAAAATAGTGTTTTAGCAGATGAAGGAATCAGACGTTCTATCGTAGGATAACAATGTCCGAAAGAAGAAACGAAATGGCAAGATTGATTTGATAACGAGTTTAGCAACGATAAGTGTTCCAGATAACTTTCGAACGCGGCCGGGTATCGATGTTCACGTCGAGATTAAGACATATTCATCGAGTACACCATTTATTCTTGGCGGAAGCGCGGAATCTACGTGCATGCATCTAAAGTGCAAGTGTACCTCCTCTAAAGATATCTCTCTATCATGGGATTTCACCTGTCAAAACGCTCTTACGCTATTTTCATCTCGTGCGACACACGAGGATAAAAGAATTTTCATCTCGGCACAATATTAAATATTAATTCGTCGCCTTCTCTGTAGGAAACGACAATTTCACGTTCATACTCTGTTCACGTTTGTGAAACATAATGATCTGTTAATTCGGTTGTTTAAAGCCACGTAGCAATGAGAGACGATGATGTACTGTATATTCATAAAATATTTATTTAATATTAATATTTGCAAATATTTATCTAGTAAAAAGTTAATATATCTTTGATAATAATAATAATATAAATAATATAAACTTTAATAATAATATAAAGTTAAGATAACAGTGTCAAGTTAAGATAACAAAGTTGAAAAATTATTATCTCAATTGATAATTTCCATATTTCAACGTATTTCTATCGCATCACTGTCAAATAAAGTAAACTTTCAAATATAATACTATCTTACTTCAATATGTAGAAATATTTTATGAATGAATATGGAAAATATTTTATTATGATTTTATGAATTTTCGAACAAAACTGAATCGTTGCTCATTTGCACGTAATATTCTGCAATTCTATTTGACGTTCGTAAGAAAGACGTATCTCTACCCCAAACGATTTTCATTGAATTTTGCATTCGACGGATTGAAGTCAGGCTTACTCCATCACCGTCTGTCGGAGAATGCTCAAGTCCACTGAAATTGAAGCCTGTTTTATTAAACTTGCAATTCCGGAATCGTATTAATCGTCAAAGGAAATCCCGCGACCCTTTTCTCGAACAAAGTCGTTTAGCATCGGCTAGAAAGCGAAGGTTCGAAGCTAGCCAGCTCCTCTCGCTAATGAAACACGAACCATTTGCCAGATTAGAATCTTTTAATTAGGTGTATAGATTCCGCGAAGCAGTGACAAATTGGATCTTTCGAGAACACGAGTTTTGGCTTTCTTTCTCTTGAAAGCAGTTCGCTGCTACTGAAACATTGCCATTCGTCGGTGGTTGTTCCTTCCTTGGAAAGGTATTTGAGATGTTGCTTGTTGCTTTCTTTCCTCAAATATCTCTGAGAGCGAGAGACATAATAGAGTCACTAGTGGGATTAATTGGAATTCAAATTTAATTGGAATTACTTTAGAACTTTTTCAGATTCAGTAGAATTAAGTAGAGTTTCATTTAGAGTTTCATTTCATTCAGGAGCAGAACTAATTAGAATTTTAGTGAGACGAGTTTAAAAATTTTAAAGCGTCGCGTTAATTAGAATTTTAGTACGAATAGTTCAAATTTTTCTTAGAGTCAGAAATATATCAAAATTAGTTAAAATCTTAGCAATTTCAAATCTTCCTTTTTTCGTTATTAGAACCAGAATAATTGTTCAAGCAGAATTAATTGGAATGTTTGTATTTCAAATTAGAATTTAGTGTTTTAAATCTTTTAAGTAATTTTAACATTTAAACGAAATATAATAACTAACTGTTTGAATATAATAAATAAAAATTATCTTAAATTATTTCAGACTTGGAAACTGCTTTAGTAGAATCGATTAGAATTTTATTAAGAATATTTCAACTTCTCGTTTCGGTAGAATTATCCGAGATAATTGATCATCAGTAGCAGCGAACGTGTTAACCTAACAGTAAAATTTGACAAAAAAAAATTCGCGAGGATATTTAATATTCGAGGTGTAAGAAAGATCTTAGAGCTTGCGAAATTTCCTCCGAAGATGGAACGGTTACCATCGAAATATAAGCGAACGTTTTTCAAGACCCGATGATTAATGATGCCTTCCAACCGCGTCGCTTTCTTTCGCAACGCGTCCATCGAGCAATTTTCTCATAAATCATAAATTGTAAGATTTTGCGCAATAATTGTACCCGATCTCTCCTTTCATAAAAATGTTCCGCGCATTTCGAGGGAAGCTGACGCCGATTCAATCGAAAATCATCCTGCCAGTCCTTTATATTCTGAATGATGCCACATTTAGAGAAATTTAGAGACTAATATTAGGATTTTAAGTAGATTTCCTCATAGTAGAATTTCAACAAAATGGTACTTTGAGTTCACATCTCTTGAACGAAAATCGAATAACAATGTCGAGATAGGTCTTTGGAATCTACGTTTACGACATCGTAGTCTAAAATTAGTCAAACTAAATAAGGGAATAAAGTGGATCACAAATCAATATCTCGACATTGCGGTCCACAATTAACTCTTTGGGGATTAGCCCGATATTGACGATTTAGATCTTTTTACAATTTATAGATAGATTTGAATTTGCATTAATAATAATAATTAGACAATTTAACACTCGAACTAGCAGAATGATCAAAACCATCGACATCCGAATAATTTTTTGCAGATTGACATTCGAAACCTCTTCAGAACCAATTCAAAAATATCTTTGTCGAAACAAATCGAGCTCCCCAATCCAAATCAATCCAAACATTTTCCAACACTGCTCTCAAAAAATCGGCGAAACAAGGACGAGAACCGAAAAGGAAGATAAAGCTACTTGTTCCAAGATGAGCATCGAGAAGAAATTAGAAATCGTTAACCTTCCATCAATGTTACACGAGACACCAAGGAACAAAGCTTCCCATCCCTTTGAACGTCGCGGAACTCCCGTTAATATAATAATTCTCCTGCTGCCTGGCGGGGGGAACGAAAACACGATTTCGACGGCGCCAGAAACTCACGGGCGACGAAAGCATCGCGATCGAAGGACGGAGGCGCGACGCTGGAAATAAGTATCCGCGGAGAAACGGGAGAAAAACACACACACACACACACACACACAAACACACGGGGGGAAAAGTATCTGGGTCGCGATTCGTTTTCAAACGCGAGACACGTCGCGCGATTTTCGGCCGGTGGTATATATCCCGCGGTATGTGGGTCAAGTGACTCTTCTCCTGGCTGGCCTGCCGCGTTCTCCACGCGCTGTTTAACCAACCGACCTCTCTCTGACCGTGGAAATTATTCAACGTTCCTTAAACGTGATATCCTGCAACTTATTACCGTTATTCGCCTGTGTTCGTACGAGCTGAGATTCGAGGGGCAGAGAAGCGGTCGGCGAAAGTATTCGAACGCTCGCCCGCGGGGAACGTTCTGTTGCGGAAAACAGTGTGGAATTTCATTAGTACTGTAATGACTCGCGACCGTGGATATTTTCATGCGTTTGCAGG